TGCTGCGTGGGTCAGGGAGCTGGTGAGCAGTCTCCTTTGGGGTGACCCTGGCGGGGGTATCTGAGGAAGTTAATTCCTTCCCTAGCTCCCCACCAATTTGAGAAGTCCTCTCTCTCGGAAGCAGAAATCCTCCCACTAGGACTCCCCCCACCCCAACGACTTGCTCCCAAAAGACTGCCAGGGGGAAGTAGCCCCTGGACACCTCCCTACCCGCTGCCCCTGCAGCCACACACCAGTCCTGGCTCCCTCCCGGGGCGCGTCCCGGTCTTTGTGTTCCACCGCTAGAGGGCGCGGTCCTCAGCCACGGGGGATGCACTTCCCAGCTCTGTCCACCAGATGGCATGACGCTTTCTCCTAGATTTTTCTTTTCCATCCCAAAGATGAACCTGCCTGGTGTTGGCTACACCACCTGGGGTCTAGGTGGGATTTCATGTCATCTTGGTACTTTAACCACATAATAGTTTCTTGGAAATTATTGTTTTTTCACCTCCAGAAGTAGGCACGCTTGCCTTTGCCAACCCCGTCTTCTGGTCACACTTACTTGCCAACGTCCCTCTGACAGCAAAAAACCAAATTTGTAGCTCTGCCCTCACCCACCCACTACTCAATTGTCCATCGTGCATTCATTCATCCACTATTTTCTTTTTTAAAAGATTTATTTTTTTTATTTATGCATACAAGAGCTGGGGTACAGGCCAGAGATGCAGGGGGTAAGAGGATTCACCAGAGACAGAGTGGGGAGCAGAACAGGTGGATTGACTGAATTACACTGCTGAGGGGTGCAGCGGGGAGACAGGAGAGGTCTGCTGTGCCTTGTGGGTAGCTCCCTGGCCGGGGATCTGCCTATAGCTTCATAGTGCTGAGACTTAACCCCTTGTGCCATCAGGGAGGCCCCTCATCCGCTGTTCTCTCGATAAAGATCTTAAATGTTACCTTTTGCCCAGGCCTTTTGTGAAAAAGGCAGATATGGGTCATGTGCACGGAAGCAGGCAGAGGAGAAAGGATAGGTGCTCACTCTCTAGATACCCCTACCTCCTTCCCCCGAATGTCCCACTAAGATCCCCCTCCCTCACCAAATATCCTGTTACAGACTGAGGCAAGGGCACCAGAGAGAGTGAGTGAGGAGGCCACTGGCAGTCTCGACTGGCTCAAGGGGATTCTAGGAAAAAGAAGTCTTAATCTGAAATCTTGGGGCAAAGAGAGAAAGAATTGGGGAAGCGGGCAGAAGGACATTCCAGACCAGAGCTGCCTGGGCCATTTTCACCTGGGGATCTGGCTAGAGCAGGAGTTTGGGATGCAGGACTCAGGGGTAGAGCCTGAGATTCTGCCTTCCCAGCAAGCACAACCTCAGCTGAGTGAGGCTGCTGGTTGAAGGGCCACAGAAACCAAGGCCAGCAGGGGTGGGTGAGGCTTCCCAGGAAGGCTCTGAGGGAGACTTGGAGGGGAACTGTTCCCTCAGGAATAGCAGGGCTGTGAAAACAAAGTCAAAGCCAACTGCTCCCCAGGGACGTTGTGTAAGTCTCAGGCATGCCTCGTTGAACATCAAAGTGTGTCTCTACTCCATTCCATGCTCCACTCAAAGGTCCCAGCCAGGACTCTGAGGAAGGGTGGGACCTTGTCACACAGCAGAATGCACCTCATTCTTCCTGGCACATCATTCTCCGGGACAGGTCCCGGGCCAGACCCTAACTCAAGTCTCAAAGGAGAGATCATACAACAGATGTCCTGTGTGATAAAACAAGAAATCCAGAGCAGAAGGAAATTTGGGGAATCCACAACATGTAGAAATTAAAATGCCAAATCCTCAATACCCAATGGGTCAAAGAAGTAATCAGGGGTCTCCCCGGTGGTGCAAGGAATTAAGACGCAACCTATAAAGCTCTCGGCAGCCACTGCAGCATGAGTTAGATCCCCAGCCAGGGAGCTGCCCACATGGCGCAGCAGACCTCTCCTGTCTCCCCGCTGCTCCCCTCAGCAGTGTATTTCAGTCAGTCTGCCTGTTCTGCTCCCCACTCTGTCTCTGGAGAATCCTTTCACCCCCTACACCCCTGGCCTGTACCCCAATTCTTGCATGCATAAATAAGTAAAACTTTTTTTTTTTTTTAAAGTAATCACACATGAGCTGAGAAAAGGAAATCAAATCAGAAATTCCACTTCTTGGTCACACGAATCGTGGTCACATGATTCAAGGGGTCAGTCCTGCCCCACGCTGTTGGCCAGGGCAGCTGTAGACAAGGTTTAGAACGTAGTAGCTGCACAGTAAATCTTGCATGTGAACAGGTGAACAGAGACTTCTGGAGGGGGCACCCTTCACCCTACCACCCACAGCTTTGCTGTCATTCCATCTTTTATTTTTTTTTCCATTGAAATGACATCACATTATAACATTACATAAGTTTCAGGAGTGCCTCGTTGAATATCCAGTGTGTCTCTCCTCCAGTCAGTACTCTACTCAAAGTCCATTTCTCTCCTTCACCATACTCTTGTCCCCTCTCACCCCGTTTACCGCTCTGGTCACCATGGATTGGTCTTAGAGTCCAAAAGGTTTATTTTTTTTAAAACTTTTTATTCTTAAGATTTATTTATTTATTCATACAAGCACTGGGTACAGTCAGAAGCGTGGGAGGGTGAGAGAATTCACCAGAGCCAGAGCGGGGAGCAGAGCAGGCAGAAGGACTGAAGTACACTGCTGAGGGGAGCAGCGGGCGCGGCAGGAGAGGTCTGCGTGCCATGTGGGATCCTCGCCGGTGGCCGGGGTCGAACCGGCGCTGCAGAGGCTGCGGGCAGCTTCACAGCCCAGTGCTTAACCACTGCGCCACCAGGGAGGCCCACTTTTTATTCTTTTTAAAGATTATTTATGCATACAAAAGCTGGGGTACAGGCCAGAGATGCAGGGGGGCGAGAGGATTCACCAGAGACAGAGTGGGGAGCAGAACAGGCAGATCTACTGAAATACATTGCTGAGGGGAGCAGCAAGTGAGACAGGAGAGGTCTGCTACGTCTGTGGGTCAGCTCCCTGGCCAGGGTTCGAACTCATGCTGCAGTGGCTGGCAATAGCTTGATAGCTCTGACTTTAACCCCTGCACCACCAGGGAGGCCCTCCAAAAGGTTTATTTTTGTTTTAATTGGTTCACCCCTCTGTTTTCTCTGCCTACCACATATGAGTGACTTATTTCACTAAACCTAATTCCCTCCAACTCAGTTCCTGTCGCACATGATAGGGTCTCACCCTTCATCAAAGTCTAAGCTCGGGCCTTTGAAGGAGCATTTCCCATTGTTTCTCTGCCCTCCCTGCCCTCCATCCCCCAGGAAGTTTGAGAACATCTACATCGGCTGGGGCCACAAGTACAGTCCGGAAAATTTCAACCCACCCCTGCCGGCCCCCGTTCAGCAAGAGTACCCCAGCGGTCTGGACATCACAGAGATGAATGACCCCACAGTGGAGGAAGAGCAGGCCCTCAAGGCTGCCCAGGAGGAGGCCCTGGCTGCAGCAGAGGAAGAGGAGGAAGATGAGGAGGAAGATGATGAGGAGGAACTGGATGACTGAGGACCCCGCCCCGCTTCCCCTAGCTGGTAGATAGTGAGTTTCCCCTTATACATAGCCACGTTATTTTCTCACTGTTGGTTTGCTTTCTGCCCCTGGAGGACAGGGTTTGAAGAGGAAGGAAGATGCTCTAAATAAAGCTTCCCCATGGCATTTACGGGAGTGCTTCATTCATTTGTTCACCACCTCTGTGAGAAATTCCCCAAGGCAGGGCGGTTGGACTCTGCTGGGAACACAGGCCTTCCTGGGCCCCATCTCGCCCAGTTACGTCACTTATTCATTCACTCAGTTATCAAGCAACTATCAACAGCCCAGCCCTGTGATTGGGACACAGAGGTGACCACGCAGCCCCAGCTTTGCTTTCCCAAGGCTCACAGGATACAGGAGGCCCCCCCAGCAGTGAGCACCCAAAAAGGGGAGTGCGGAAGACTGAGAGCTCTGAGCTGACTCTTGGGTGGTCAAGAACAGAGTGAGGAAGGGCATTCCAGGGGGAACCGCACGTGCAAAGACCCAAGGGCAAGAGGGTGCGATGTGCGAGGGACTGTGACCAGGCTGCAGACTGCAGACCTGGGGGTTTTCAGATTGGTACTACTTCCCCTCACCCCGTTTCCGGTCTCCCCCCCCCCCCCCCCCGTCTTTGCATTCTGTCACCCGATTTCCTCTTTTCCTTCCTCTGCAAAGCCCTGCTTCAACCAAACTCCTTGCCCTGCCGACTTGTCTCTGGTCCCCCAGACTCCTGTCTACTCCTCTACACTCCACTTGGCATCTGGACAGCTCTTTCTGAAGCACAAATATGATGAGGGGCCTCCCCTCCCTCTGTGGCTCCCTAATGCTCTCAGGGCAAAGTTAAACCGTGATCTGGATTCTCTCTTCAGCCACATCTCTCACAACCAACTCCTTACACATATCTCCCCCCAGCCAGGGCTAGTGGAAAAAGTGGAGACGTTTGGCGCTAGCATTTATGGGTAGTGGATCAGATGAAACCCTTGGAGTTCTATGGAAACACTGGGGATCAGCGGGATTGCGGGGTGGGGTGGCCAAGGGTGGGCAGGCATAACTGAAGATGCCGTGGGGCGAGGACTTATAAGATAGCCGTGGGAAACAATGGAGATCAATAGGGTGACTATTGTAAGGAGGCGCTGGGGTCACCTGGGATCATCCACGACGTATGGCAAGGACAAGAAATGGACTTGACCTCTTGAGGGTCCCTGCGTTGCTAGGCAAACGGTTCCCAAGGCGCCGTTGCCAGGGAATTGGGCTCTCAAGTGGCCACGCCCCCTTTCCACTGCGGGCCCCGCCCCCGCAGCCAATCACCGTGCGGTCCCAGCTACGAAGGCCGCGCCCACCTCTTCGCCCCGCCCACAGCACCCGTTCCGTTACCCGAGCGACGGCCGTGGCTCGTCCCGCCTCCGGACTCCGTTGCCAATCGAAGAGGCGTCGCCCAGGCGACGACCCCACCCCTTCCGGTGCGGGCTCGCGGCTTCCGGCAGGGGGCCCGGCGGCGGGCGGCGGTCCGGCAGCCGCGGGGCCCGGTGGGGGGGGGGGCGCCCAAGATGGCGGCGGGAGGCTCGGAGGGCGGCTCGGGCCCCGGCGCCGTCATGGGGGACTGCGCGGAGATCAAGTCGCAGTTCCGCACCCGCGAGGGCTTCTACAAACTGCTCCCCGGCGACGGCGCCTCTCGCAGGTCGGGGCCGGCTTCTGCCCAGACCCCGGCGCCGCCCCAGCCGCCGCAGCCCCCGCCCGGCCCTGCCTCCGCCGCCGGCCCCGGCGCCGCGGGCTCCGCGCCATCCCCGCCGCCCGCAGGCCCCGGTCCCGGTCCCGCGCTGCCCGCCGTGCGCCTCAGCCTCGTGCGCCTCGGGGAGCCCGACGGCGCCGGGACCGGGGAGCCACCCGCCACGCCCGCCGGGCTGGGTGCGGGAGGAGACCGCGTCTGCTTCAACTTGGGCCGCGAGCTCTATTTCTACCCGGGCTGCTGCCGCCGCGGGAGCCAGCGGGTGAGCGGCCTGCATCGTGGGGCCCTGGTTGCTGAGAGGGTGGGGATCCTTAGGGGAGCCGGGCGTGATGGGGAAGCCCCGGAATTGAAACAGGGCCCGAGGTGGGCATCCTGTAGATGATGGACATGGGGGGCGGGGCGGGCTCGGGAGAGTTCTCGTAAGAAAGGCGGGGTTCTAAAAGGTGATGGGAGACCCCTGGGGTGCTGGCGACCTAGAGGTGACGGGAAACCTTCAGGTCATGTGAGAACCCCCGGTTATGCACACCTGGGGTGGTCAGTTTTCTGGAGGTGATGGGGACTCAGAGGGTATGGAATGCACCCAGGTTCCGGGCGGCAGGCATTCTGCAGCTGTTGGGAAGTCTCAGGTGATGCAGGCTCAGAGGTGATGGACAACCCAGGGGTACTGCAGTCTGGAGGTGCTGGGGGGGTGTCTTGAGACTTGGGTAGCCTGGTGAGTGGGACCCTAGAGAAAACGGGGGTTCTGAAGGTAATGAAAATCTCTGATTCATGGGAAACTGAGGTGATGACAGTCCAGCAGGGACATTCTCAGGGTGTCTAAAGTGATGAAGGTGCCAGTGGGAATGGGACCCCTAGAGTTAATGTTGATTTGTGATGGGGATCCCGAGAGCCCAGAGGTGATGAAGGGTCCTAAAATCCTAAAATGTGTGTGTCTGGGAGGGGGGAAGGGTGCTGTGAAGTTTAATGGATCCCTTAACTGTGATGGGCTCCTGAGATTTAGGAGCTCCAAAGTGAAGAGAGTCTTGGGATTGTGGTCTTTAGAGTTCTGGGGATTTGGGTGACCCTGAAATTTGGGGAGCGTTCAGAATATTGTGCTGAGCCCCAGGGGGCTTGCTGAGGTTGCAAGGCAGGACTGAAAAGAGCCCATGGCTGGGCACCCTAAACGTTGATACTGTAGGCAGAGGTGTCCCTGAAATTGGGAGTCCAACTTTGGGGCGACTGGTTTCATTCAGGAGGGGAGTGGGGGGCAGTCCTTCTTGTCTGATTTTTTTCCTCTCTGTGATTTGGGTCTCCCTTCCTGTCTGTGGTTGCCCTCTCCCTCCCCACTCACCCACCTACCTACCCACTTCCCTCAGGGATCTAACCCCGCTTCCTCTTAGCGGTTTCCCCCAACCTCAACACCCTCTTCCTTCCTCTTGGTGGTAGAAGCTGTTAACTCCTTTTTCTCCCATCACTCAAGTCCATTGACCTCAACAAGCCAATTGACAAGCGGATCTATAAGGGCACCCAGCCCACCTGCCACGACTTCAACCAGTTCACTGCCGCCACGGAGACCATCTCCCTGCTGGTGGGGTTCTCAGCCGGCCAGGTGCAGTATCTGGATCTCATCAAGAAGGACACCAGCAAGCTATTCAACGAAGAGGTGATTGTGGGCCCCCAGGGCCCAAACTGCCCCTCAGTCCAGCCACCCCCGGCCACCCGCCGCATGCAGTTTGCACGGGACTGCAGCGGCCTGGGGAGGAGTGTAGACTTGAGGGGGGCAGGCTGAGGGAGAGACGGGGGCCAGACTGACAGCTCTGTGGGATGAGGTGACGGCCGCTGGTGCGCTAGACCTCGCGCTGCACACGTCTCTCCGGGCGTTCTCATCAGCAACAGGTTGATGAAACATGGCAACGGGTTGTGAGACCTGTTTTGCAGATGAGCGAACTGAGGCTCGTCACTAGTTGGGGCTTGTTTGAAGCCAGAACTCTTGCCTTTCAAATTCTGGGCCCTGTGGGCACCAGATTCAGCTCTTTGCTGTCGCCTTTACTCAGCATGTGGCTTTGCTGGTGGTTCCTCTTGGAGCCTCAGTTTTCCTCCTCTGCAAAATGGGACTCTCCTCCCTGCCTCACAGGACTGTGTAAACTCACACACACAAACCGCTCAGTCCTGGGCGGGCTGGGCACAGAAGGAGCTGCGGGCAAACCGCCTGAGCGTGAGCAGGGCTCACCCGTGTCTCGTCCTCTGCGTTCAGAGGAGGGATTCCGCGTGTGCGGAATTTGTGGCCGGCTGAAGGGATTGAGTGGAACAGTGACGGGGTGAAAGATGCACGGGGTCTTCCACGCACTGAACCTTTAAGGGGCGTGGAAAGTTCTGTGCGCCGCAGGCAGCGCCTCTCGGCGACCGGGCCCAGGGCCTGCCCCTGGCGCATCCGTCTCTCTGGCCAGGCAGATGCTGGCACGTGAGCTGACTGCTGTGGGTGCTGTGCTGTGGGAGGGCAGTGCGGGCCGTGGTGAGAACCCCAGCAGGCAGCGCTTGGCGAGGCTGAAATACGTGGTCAGGGACATCCTCGCTAGGAGGTGACAGTGGAGTCAAGACCTGAGGGAGGTGAGGCAAGTTGGCAGGGGAAGCACGTTCGGCGTGGAGCCCTGATGCAGGAGGCAGAGAGGTGCTGGGGCCGGGGCGGTTAGTTATTGACGGGGCGACGAGCAGGTGAGTCCTCAGAAGTGTCCGGGAGGGTCATGTCGGGCCTGTGAGCAGGGGAAAGACTGGCAGTCAGAGTCTGTCTCCCCCGCTCGTGTGAGCCCCAGAACAGAAACGACGGGCTTCTTCTCGCAGTCCTCCAAGAATGAGCAGTGCCTTACGTGGTTGGGAGGACTTGGTTCTTTATGAAGAGTGCCCGCCACCCAAGGGCTTTAGGGCTGTGTTCGCTCTGGCCGCCTGGCTGTGGAGGCGGGAGCAGGGCTGCCTTGCAGCGACGCCTGTGTCTGGTGCTCCCGAGCAGAGAGCCGAGCTTGGGCACGAGCCGCTGCTGCCGGGTCGATGGCGCCTGGGGCCCGTGGTTGAGGGGGGTGGGTGAGAAGCGCTCAGGCCCACAGGCTGTGTGGAAGGCTGTGAGGTAAGGTAAGAGGAAGAGGAGCAGAGGTGGCACGTGCAGGGGGCGCTTCTCCCGCACGCGTCCCGGAAATGCCGCCTGCTGCCAGCCCTGGCGCGCAGAGACAGCCCTGCCGCCCGCGTCCCCCCTTCCTGACCTGTCAGCCCTGTGGCTGGTTTCCTCACGGGGGAGCTCCTGTCCAGGGGCGTAGACCTTGGGGACTGGCGTGGGGGGAGGTCTCCAGGGGTGCGTTGCCTTCTCCCAACGCCCTTGTCTCCCCGGCAGCGGCTGATTGACAAGACCAAGGTGACTTACCTGAAGTGGCTGCCCCAGTCCGAGAGCCTGTTCCTGGCCTCCCACGCCAGCGGCCACCTGTACCTGTACAACGTCAGCCACCCGTGCGCCTCGGCCCCGCCCCAGTACAGCCTGCTGAAGCAGGGCGAGGGCTTCGCCGTCTACGCTGCCAAGAGCAAGGCGCCCCGCAACCCACTGGCCAAGTGGGCGGTGGGCGAGGGGCCCCTCAACGAGTTCGCCTTCTCGCCCGACGGCCGGCACCTGGCCTGCGTGAGCCAGGATGGCTGCCTGCGCGTCTTCCACTTCGACTCCATGCTCCTGCGCGGGCTCATGAAGAGCTACTTTGGGGGCCTGCTCTGCGTGTGCTGGAGCCCCGACGGGCGCTACGTCGTGACGGGCGGCGAGGATGACCTGGTCACCGTGTGGTCCTTCACGGAGGGCCGGGTGGTGGCCCGCGGCCACGGCCACAAGTCCTGGGTCAACGCCGTGGCCTTCGACCCCTACACCACGAGGGCCGAGGAGGCCTCGGCGGCCAGCGGCGATGGGGACCAGAGTGGCGAGGAGGAGGAGGAGGAGGAGGAGGAGCCCGAGGCCGGGGGCACGGGCGGGGGCGCCCCGCTCTCCCCACTGCCCAAAGCCGGCTCCATCACCTACCGCTTCGGCTCGGCCGGCCAGGACACGCAGTTCTGCCTGTGGGACCTCACCGAAGACGTGCTCTACCCGCACCCGCCGCTGGCCCGCACCCGCACCCTCCCGGGCACGCCTGGCGCCACGCCGCCCGCCGCCGGCAGCAGCTCCCGGGGTGGCGAGCCCGGGCCCGGCCCCCTGCCCCGCTCTCTGTCTCGCTCCAACAGCCTCCCGCACCCCGCGGGCAGCGGCAAGGCGGGCGGCCCCAGCGCCACCCCGGAGCCCGGCACGCCCTTCAGCATCGGCCGCTTTGCCACGCTCACGCTGCAGGAGCGGCGGGACCGGGGCGCGGAGAAGGAGCACAAGCGCTACCACAGCCTGGGCAACATCAGCCGGGGCGGCGGCGGCGGCGGCGGCGGGGGCGGCGGGGACAAGCCCAGCGGCCCCGCGCCCCGCAGCCGCCTGGACCCGGCCAAGGTGCTGGGCACCGCGCTGTGCCCGCGCATCCACGAGGTGCCGCTGCTCGAGCCCCTGGTGTGCAAGAAGATCGCCCAGGAGCGGCTGACGGTCCTCCTGTTCCTGGAGGACTGCATCATCACCGCCTGCCAGGAGGGCCTCATCTGCACCTGGGCCCGGCCGGGCAAGGCAGTGAGTAGCCCCGCGCCCGCCCGCCGCGAGCCGGGAAGAGGGGGTGTCGCTGGCGCGACCTGGCCTCAGGGGCCGAGGAAGACGGAATTCCTCGCGGCCGGGCCCTCCGAGATGCAGTGCCAGGCTTCGGGGCCCTTGGGCGCGCCCGCAGAGAGGGGGTGGGCGGGGGAGACCCGGGCGGGCGAGGTGCGGGCCGGTCGCGCCGGGGCTCGCGGCTTGCCGCTTGAAGTCAAGCCTGCGTTTTTGTGGCGAACGGGGTTTTCCGCTGCTGAGGCTTTTTGAGGACGGTTCGGTGTCTGGTCAGCTGTGAGCTGGGTCCCCGCATCCAGCCCGCGCGTCGCGCCGGGGCTGTGGGATCCAGCCCGGGCTTCTGCTCCTGTGCGACGCTGGACGGGTCGCTGCCCGCTCTCACCTCTTAGCACAGGGAGGCTTTAGGAGGGCCGCTGCGTGGCTGCACCCCCTGGGTGCAGAAGGGTCAGGGCGCGTCCCCAGGCGAGGGAGGCCACTGTGAGTGGGGAGCTGTGGTCTCAGCTGCCTCAGCTCCTCGGGCTCCGGTTCAGGTGCTAGGGTGCCGGGTGCGAGGGCCTCGAGCTGTGCCCCGGAAAGGGGTTTGGGAGCCGCAGGGTCCGAGTCCCTAGAGCGCCGCCGCAGCGCCTCAGAGGCAGGGGCGTGGGGGCTGGAGAGTGGGGCAGGTCCTGAAGGAGACCCCTCTATCTCGCTAGTTCACAGATGAGGAGTCCGAGGCCCAGACAGGGGAAGGAAGCTGGCCCAGGTCACCCAGCAAGTCAGTGGTAGAGGTAGGACTGTCCTGAGTGATCGCCCCCTACCCCCCGCCAGAGTCTCAGGACCCCCCCAGTCAGGTGGGACCCCAGTCTCTCCTTCTGCCCCCCCACCTCTACCCCACCCCACCCCCTGCTCAGGACCACCTGAGGCCTTTCATCATCGCCCGTGAGCGCCGACTGCTGGGACAGGGAGGCCAGCTGAGCTGAGCCCCTCAGCCTTGAGGAGCGACCTCGGTCTGGGGGTCTGGGGTGGACCCAAGGGCAAGGCCAAGGTGGCAGCAGCCTGGGGACTCCGGGCTGGCTCCTCTGTGGGACTGGCAGCCCTGGGTGGTCTCTAACCCTCCATCTCCCCTTTCATCTTCCCCAGGGCATCTCCTCCCAACCAGGCAACTCCCCCAGCGGCACAGTGGTGTGAAGTCATGGACGTCGGGGTCTCACGCCCCGCGCCCCAGCCTCCTAGCCGTAACCCTCCCTGCTGACCTCATGGATCAACGTATTCACAAGACTAACCATGACAGATGGACTGCTCCGGTCCCCCGCCCTGCACAAATTTGGGGGGGCAGAGGGTCCCCCAGACATGGGGACTGCCAAGTACAATGACCCCTTCCCCTGAAACGTCAGTGTTAGCTCATCCCTGTCCCCAGCATGTGACTGGTTGCTTCCCAGGAGACCCACTTCCACAGGCCCCTGCAGTGTCCAGTGGCCTCGGGGGCGGGCCGCCCACCCTGCTATTGTTTGTGCTTTTGAAGAGTGTTAAATTATGGAAGCCCCTCGGGGCCCCTCCCTGGCCCCAAGACCTTTTATTTATACTAAAGTTCCCTGTTTTCACAGCGTCTGTTCCCTCTGCAGAGGTGTGGAGGGGTTGTGCGCGCATCGCTGCAGGCTTAGAACCCGTCCATTTTGACCACACGAATACTGGGCCCTGCCTCCCCCAAACCGCCCCCTCTGCACCCCCTTTTAGTAGAAAAAAAACTAAGGAGGGAGGGGCAGCCCAAGGCACATGGCTGGGGCACCCACCAGCCCCAGCGGGCCCTATTGCCAGAACAGTGTCCCAAGGGCCCCCCAAGATCTACAGGGAAGAGGGCTGCCAGGACCCCCTCGTCAGAGTCCTGAGCTGGAGTTTGCAGTTTGTGAAAGTGCCCAAATTATCCATATCAGGGACATTCAGGAACCCATCCACATGGGGTCCCCCGGGCAGACCCCGAGTCTGAGCTGACTCGGCCAGACCCAGGTGTCCAGAGCCGGCTGGAGACCCTGCGACCCTCGGGAGAACTGTCCACCCTGGCGAGAACACACAACCCTCCTGGCTGGCCCGGAGGCGCAGGGAGTGGTGTCCCTGCACCGCCCTCCACCCCCCGAAATGTTTCTAGTTCTAATCCTAGCCCGGGCAGGAATGTGGCTATGCCGCCAGGGGCCAGCGAGCTATTTTGGGGGCTCCCTGCCTCCCCCATGCTTTGGCTAGCGGGTCACCCTGGCTCCTGGCTCCTGAGGGCCTCCCTTCTCTCACCACCCCTTCCCCACCTCCTGCCAAAAAAAGGTCAGCGCAGAGCAGAGGGCCTGCGGGCTAAATTTAAACCATCGGAAGCCTGAACCCGTGGCTGAGTCACCCGTGAAGCTGTCCTGGCCCCCGCCCCCCTTCCCAGGCCTCACCGGTCCCTCCTCCCCCCAAGTTCAGGGCTTGGGAGGGGTGTTTGCATGCAACCTCGATTGGCCCCCTCTGGGGAATGGGAGGCTCCTCTTTGTCATCTGTCACACCTGTGGCTTTTCGCTTGGCTTCGCCTTTTTATGGAGGGGTGCGAGTTGACATTCTCCACCCCCCATGTCACACCGAAGCGCCTGAGGGGCCCTGGGAGGAGGGAGTTGGGGGGCCTGGTTTGTGAGGGGTTAAGGTTGGGAGGCGGGAGGGGCCGGACCGAGGGGTGGGGATAAGGAGAGGAGGCCTCAGCAGCCAGCGGAGAAGCGCCCAGAGAGGCTCGGGAGGGCCAGGAACAGCCGGACATGAGACCAGGGCCCGTGGGCCTGGACCCAGCCCGCCAGGCCCCGTGACAGGAGGACCTTGCGCCCCGGGCCCGGGGAGGGGCCATGGTGCTGTCTGGCCGACATGTCAGCCGAGGTGCGGCTGCGGCGGCTCCGGCAGCTGGCACTGGACCCCGGCTTCCTGGGGCTGGAGCCCCTGCTCGACCTTCTCCTGGGCGTCCACCAGGAGCTGGGCGCCTCGGATCTGGCCCAGGACAAGTACGTGGCCGACTTCTTGCAGTGGGGTGAGTGCCTGTCTGCATGGGCTTCCCCAGATTGAGGGGTGGTAGCAGGACCGAACCAACAGATAGGGCTGGGCATGCGGGCTGACGGTTGGGGGACAGAATGGACATGGGGAGAGCCTTCCCTTCGGGGGCCCAGAGCTGGGGCCTGGATCTCAGGGTGGCACACCCCTACCCCTGTGCCACCCTGGCAGGGCAGAGGGGGGTCAGTGAAGGCCGGGGCAGCCACACTCAGAGCCAGAGCGGGGAGCCCGGGCTGGGCTAGACCGGACGGCTCCCAAAGTTCCCTGCACCCCTTACTCAGTTGATGCGTGGAGACATCAGGGGGCCCTCTCAGCAGTCCCCCCACCGGATGGGCCTCCTCCCTGGTTTCCCAGAGCACAGGGGCAAGCAGGGAGGGGCAGCATGGGGCAGCTGCCAGGGGCGCAGCCGACAAGCAGGTGCTCGGCGCCAGCCTCTCCAGCTGGCCCAACAGGTGCCCAGGCGCTAGGAGGGCAGTGACTCAGGCAGGCCCTGCAGGACCAGCCCGCAGGCAGGCGCCCTCGGCCAGCTCCCCTTGGCCCCTGGATGGAGGGGGAACACTGGAAGGGCCTGGGTATGCTCCCCCATCCCCAGTGTTGGTCGCTACTAGTCGACCTGAGTTAGCGCTGGGCCCCGAGGCCCCCAGACCTAGTTCTTCAGGCCTCCAACCTTCCAGCTCTCCTGCCAAGCCCCTTCTGGCCCCGTTGGCCCCTGGAGACAAGTCCGGAGGGAAAATGCTAGCTCTCGGCCTCTGGCCCTGGCTGCCTCCCCCGCTCCTGGCCAGGACACCGGCCCCTCCGGGCTCTGGGCCTCCCACACCCCCACTGCTCTGCCCCCGCGTGGCTTGCCCGTGGTCCCGGGTGGCGTGCGGCCCTGGCCCTCTACCCAGAGCTGCCTGTCTCCACCTTCTCCCTCTTTCCTTAAGGCCCTCTCTGAGCCAGGCCCCGCAGGCTCCCTGCTCCCATTTTGAAGATGGGAAGGTGGAGGCCCAGGGCCTGGCACTCGGCCTCTGGAAGAACCTTCTCCCCACCTCCCCCGGCCGTGGGCAACTCGCTCAGGCCCCTTTTGGCCGAGGATGCCTGCGGCTGGGAGGGCTGGGTAAACTGAGCCCGGGGCGGGGGCAGGGGTCTGGCTGTCCCTTAAGGAGCTCTCCTTTTCTGGCCTGGCAGCGTCCTGCGGCCCCTCCCCTGCAGGCTGCCCGGGAGGCGGAGGGGGCCCGGGTTCCCGCTGCCTTAAAAGGGCTCAATGTCTTGGCGCTCTCCTCCCTCCCCCATCCCGGGCCAGGGCTGGTGCGTCCCTGCTGGCCCACTCTCCCTGAACCCCAGTCCTGTGGGGGCTCCTCTCCTCCATCACCCGCTGCCTCCCCTCGTTCCTACTCAGCCCCTTCCCTCTCTCCATCTTGCCTGCTAGCACCCCAGCTTCTTCCACCCCCTGGGGGAGGGCCAGGCCTCCCTCTCCCCAGGCCCCTGAGTGTCCTGCTCCACCCCAGCCTCCCCTTCCCAAACAGTCCTCTCAACGTTCCCAGCCAGGACCTCGGGCAAATGACCTCACCTGTCTCTGCTGTGACCCCCGCCTGTAAATAAGGGGTAAAGCCCCCCACCCAGGGTCGGGAGGACACTTGAACTGAGCCCCGAAGTGGGCACCCGACTTTGTCTCCCCCTTCGTCTCAGAACCACCTGCATTTCCCCCAAAGCAGGGGTGGTCTCTCCCACTGCGGTCCAGGGCTGCCCACCTCAGAACCTCCAGGCCCTGGAAGAAGCCACTTGCCGCCTGCAGCCGGGGACGAGATGAGACCCTGGGGTGGGGGTAGGCTCTCTGTCACAGGCAGTGGGGGGCTCACCGGAAGACCAGGGAGCTCTAAGAACGAGGCCTGGTTTCTTCTCCCTCTGCTCTTCAGGGCCTCCCTCCTGCAAACTTGATACCCCTTCTCCAGCCTGCGCCCCCAGAGCCAGCTGGCCCAATGCCTATCCTAAAAGGGACTCCCGGGCATCCCACCTCGCTTTGCCGTGGGGCAGTTTGGGGTGTCCAGGACCTCACACTGTGCGGGGAAGCCCTGGGAGTCAGTGCTAAGGTGAAACCGAGGGGCAGGAGAGGAGGCAGAAGGTGGGACTCCCCCGCCTGGCGGCCGTCCCGGTGACACTCGGTGCTCACCTCCCCCGCCCCAGTGGATCCCATCGCCGCCAGGCTTAAGGAGGCTCGACTGCAGAGGGATGACTTTGAGATTCTGAAGGTGATCGGACGCGGGGCGTTCAGTGAGGTGAGCCCTGAGCTCCTCAGTGGGCGGAGACGCGACTTCAGGGCAGTGGGCGGGGCTTATGGGTTTGGGGCGGGGCTTTAGAAATTGATGAATGAGTTTAGAACCGCGGGGCTCGCGGTCGATGGGCGGGGCCTGGGAGGGCCGCCTCGGGGCGGGGCTAGGGGCGGAGTCCAGCCCGGCGAGCCCCGGGCCCACCGCCTGCGCCTCGGCGCTGGTCGCCCCGTTTCGGCCTTCAGGTAGCCGTGGTGAAGATGAAGCAGACGGGGCAGGTGTACGCCATGAAGATCATGAATAAGTGGGACATGCTGAAGAGAGGCGAGGTGAGGGCCGGGTCTGACTGTGCAAGGCGCCCGCCCCGCCCCCCACTACCTGCTTCAGGCCTCCGGGTGCCCCCCAGGTGTCTTGCTTCCGTGAAGAGAGGGACGTGTTGGTGAACGGGGACCAGCGCTGGATCACGCAGCTGCACTTCGCCTTTCAGGACGAAAATTACCTGGTGAGCCCCTCGGGGCCCTGGGCCAGCTCCGCGGCGGCTGGCGAGGCGGGCAGCGGGCGGGCAGGGGGCGGGCAGGGGGCGGGCTGCGGGCTGCCTCCAGCGCCTCGGGAGAGTCTGCGAGGGGTCGGGGCGGGGAGATGTCCCAGTCGGCTTTTCCCCGGCCGTGCCGGGGGACGGTGCTCAGAGGCCGCTGTCGTCCTGGAGTCTCGTGCCCGGAGCGGAGTAGACTCACCTAGCCCACGGGAGGGGCCCCTGGGCAGCGCGTTCCTGCCGGGCCTGCGCTGGCCCGGGGAGGCTTCTGGTTCTCTCTCTCTCTCTGTCTCTCTCTGTCTCTCTCTCTCTCTCTGTCTCTCTCTCTCGGGAGTGAGCCTCTTTCCGCGGTATCCTGGGAGAACTGGGGTTTCTTCGGGAGGGGAGCTCCGATTTGGCCCTGGAGATACCTTCTGTCCTCCTGGGGCTGCGGCTGCGGGTCTCTGCCCAGGGCTGGGGCATCTCCGGGAGTCTCCGGCCATCAGCTTTGGGCGCCTCGGGGGGCTGCAGACCCCACAATGACGCGCCCCCTCCCAGTACCTGGTCATGGAGTACTACGTGGGCGGGGACCTGCTAACGCTGCTGAGCAAGTTTGGGGAGCGGATCCCGGCCGAGATGGCGCGCTTCTACCTGGCAGAGATTGTCTTGGCCATAGACTCGGTGCACCGACTGGGCTATGTGCACAGGTGCGCGCTGCGGGGCTGCGGGGCGGGGCCCGGAGAGGGGCCTCGTGGGTTGGGGCGCACTGGGGACAGGACCGGAGGAGTGGGGTTGAACACCAGAATCCCCGAAGGGGGCAAACCCTCGGTGAGGCACCTGGAGGGGCGGGACTTGGAGGAGGGGCGGCGCTCGCGGGCGGGGCCTGAGGGGGTGCTGCGAGGGGGTGGGGCCCGGCGAGGGGGTGGGCGGTAGGCCCCTTATCCCCCCCGCCCTCCCCTCCCCGCTCTGCGCAGGGACATCAAGCCCGACAACATCCTGCTGGACTGCTGCGGCCACATCCGCTTGGCGGATTTCGGCTCCTGTCTCAAATTGCGCGCGGACGGAACGGTGAGCTGGCGCCCCGCCGCGGCCCCGCGGCCCCCGACGAGGAGGGGGAGCAGGCGGGGCCGGGAGATGCAGCGTGTGGGGTCAGGGCTGAGGCGCGGCCGCGCTGGTGTGGGAGCGGGACTCGGTTTGGAGGGGCGAGGAGGGGCTCCAGGTGTGTCTGGGTGGGCAGGGTTAGGACAGGCAGGTGGCGGGACTAAGCCCCTGGGGCGGGGCTAGGGAAGGGGTGGGGCCAAGTTTGGAGGGGCGGGGCCAAGTTCAGCTCCCGTGCTGTTGGCTCAGGTGCGGTCGCTGGTGGCTGTTGGCACCCCGGACTACCTGTCCCCCGAGATCCTGCAGGCCGTGGGCGGCGGGCCCGGGGCAGGCTGCTACGGGCCCGAGTGTGACTGGTGGGCCCTAGGTGTGTTCGCCTATGAAATGTTCTACGGCCAGACGCCCTTCTATGCCGACTCCAAGGCGGAGACCTATGGCAAGATCGTGCACTACAAGGTGAGGGCGGCTCCAGGAACCCCTGGTTGCTCTCGGAGAGTGTGCTCCCAGGTCAACATCCCTCACTTTCCGAGCAGGAGCACCTGTCTCTACCGCTGGCCGACGCAGGGGTCCCAGAGGAGGCTCGCGACCTCATCCAGCGACTACTGTGTCCCCCCGAGACGCGGCTGGGCAGGCAAGGAGCAGATGATTTCCGAAAGCATCCCTTTTTCTTTGGTCTCGACTGGGACAGTCTCCGAGACAGCGTGCCCCCCTTCGCACCGGATTTCGAGGGTGCCACGGACACGTGCAACTTTGATTTGGTGGAGGACGGGCTCACTGCCATGGTGAGCGGGGGCGGGGTAGGTACCGACAATTCCTGTTCAGCAGAGGGTTTCCGCCCCCCATCCCACCAGCTTAAAGTCGGGGTCAGAATAGTGCCTACCAGGAGAAATTCTGAAATCCTTCCTTCCCTAGAGCACCTGCTGTGCGCCTTCCCAGGCCTGGGAACCCAGCAGTGACCTAGACTCGCAGTGCAGTGGGGGACACACCCTTGTCCTCAGACAATGATGCCCCCCATGGAAGGTCCTGGAGGGCTTCCTGGAGGAGGGGATATCTGGGCTGGAAAGATGAGAGGCTAGAGGAAGCTCTCTTCCTTAGGCCATTCTCTCTCAACTGTTGGTCAAGCTGTCCGAGTACTCACTCAGCCTGGGTGCCCTTATGTTGGGCACTCCTGGGGAAGCACACGCACCAGGTCATGTGTCCTGGCTCTGCCCTCATCTACCCACCGTGTAGAGATACATATAAAGATACTGTGGCTAGTGCCCTGAAGTAGCAGGATTCAATAGGAAAAATGATGAAAGGGCCATTGTAGATAGGCCCAAGCTAGGTTGGCAGGGGGGCATTTCAGCCAAACCTGAAAGAGGGGAGGGGCCAGGCTGGTCACCCCAGGCCTGTGCTTCCCCCGTGTAGGAGACGCTGTCAGACATGCGGGAAGGCATGCCGCTAGGAGTCCATCTACCTTTTGTGGGCTTCTCTTACTCCTGCATGGCCCTCCGGTAAGTGCTGCCTATGGGTGTGGGGTGCGGCCTCCAGAGTCCTGGGAGCTTGCTCAGGGGTCCTGCCTCCTGGCACACTTGGGTCCCCTAGAACTGCAGGATGAAACTTGAAGTTTATGGTCTTGAGACCAAAGACTTTTAGGAGTTCAGATTTGTCAGACCTTAAAATCTCAGGCCATAATACCTTGAGATTTTAGATTTATGTGAAAAACCTTAGAACTTCGGATTTGGCCTTCCAGAATCTTCCCACTTAGGCTTCAGTACAGTGATGAGAGCTCAGAATCTTGGAAAGTGAGAAGTGGAGGCTTTTTAAGTCAATGTGAAAAGAATACTAATTTGCTGAATCACTCATGTAACCACAAAGCCTTTTAAGAACATTAATTATACAAGTAATAGATTGCTTGTCACAGATAAATTAGAAAATACAGGTAACGGTAGAGGAAGCCCACTGGCAGCTGTGGCCCCCCTCCTGCATGCACACACACGCTAACTGTGAGAACGGGCTGGATTCCCACCTGTTCTGCACCAGACAAGGATTGCTGCCGTCATTTCTCATCGTGAATGAACTGCAAGAGAGCCTGGCCCAGTCTCCTCACACCGGCTCAGGCTCACTTAACCCCTCCTCTGCTGAGCCCATGCTGGGGACCTGCCGCGGGGTGTGTCTGGCTGGCGCCTGTCCCCCACCATCAGGTCCTTGACACATTTCCACGGGAGGGTGGCTGGGTTGGAGGGGGGACTGCGATTTCAATCCTGGGGCGGTGTCTCCCTCCAGCAGTTGGGGTGAGGGGGGCATGCTGGTATCTGGAGTCAGTCTTGGGAAAGTCTTATGACCATATTGGAGGTGGCCAGAGCTGAGTGGGGTCCCCTTCACTTGGTCCTCCTCACTGTCCTGAGGGCCTAAGGAGAGAGGTCTGCAAAGGTCACATGGAGGAGGGGAAATGGACCTCAGAACATGGGCGTCTGGACCCCACATTCCTGCAGCAGGTGCAGAGAAGGCAGCACCTTGGGGCCTGAGGCCATGTGAGAGGCAGGCCTTCCCCTGACAAGAGGAAATCTGTGCCCCTCACTCTCTGCCCCTCTCCCTCTCAAGCCATGGCCTAGGGTCTGGCTGCCCGGGAGCTATGGCTCAGAGCCCCAGGGGGGTCACAGCCTCTGTGGTGGGGCTGGGTCTCTGTTCGCTCACCTTCTGCCTTTCCCAGGGATGATGAGGTCCCAGGCCCCACGCCCATGGAACTGGAGGTCCAGCCTGAGGCCAAACCTAAGGCCGAGCCCATGCTCGAGCCACCTGGGCAGACGCCCAGCCTGGAGCCCATGGTGTCCCCGCTGGAGGAGACAGTGAGTCCTTGGAGGAGAGGGTCAGTCAGGGCAGAGTCCAGGAGAAAAGGCAAAGGCTTCTGGGATGCAGTGCCGTGGACTGTTAAGCCCTCTGAGAGCTTACTCCACAGGAAACAAAAAACATATAAGACAAGTTACTTCTGCAGGGCAGGGAGGGAGTGAATGAGTGAGTGTGTGTGTGTAGGGGACTCTACGAGGAGGGGAACCCTACAGGAGGCCTAGAAGGGGAAGGAAAATGCCCAGGGGTCAGCAGAGAGAACCTCAAGGGTCAAGGCCCTGCGGTGGGAACCAGCTACTGTGTTCTTGAGCCTGAAAGGAGGGTAGTGAAGTCAAACTGTCCTTGCTGGGGTGGAGAGGGTGGGGCCCTGCCAACAGGGCCCTCTGTGCAGCAGGCCTTCTCCCCTGAAGGCACAGAGGCTAGAAAGATGGTAAGCTGGGCAGGCAGGCTTAACTGAAGTGTCTTGGGAAAGCCCTTTGGAAGGAGGGTGGGAAGGGAGCTGCCTAAAGGCCAGGGGCCCCGGGGAGACTGGGGTGCGGGAGGGAGGGGACTTGGATCATTGCAGGAGCTGTGGGGATTCCAGAAAGACCTAGAGGTGGAGGGAGGATGCCAGGCCTGGGACCTATGTGCAGGTGTCCAGTGCTGCAGAAGCTACAGGCAGCCCTAAGCCTGGTCCCCAAGAGCAGGCTGAAGCCGCAGTTCTGGAGACCATTCCCAAGGCCATGCAAGAGGTGGCTCCAGAGATCATCCAGGTGGCCATCCCGTTGGTGGAGGAGGCAGAGGTGATGCAGGGAGATCTCCAGGAGGCCCTGGAGGAAGAGGTGTTTACCCGGCAAAGCCTGAGCCAGGAGCTGGAGGCCATCCGCATTGCTAACCAGAACTTTGCCAGGTCTGGCTGGGGATGAGGGCACTTGGCCTGTCTGCTTCTAGTCAGGATGCCCAGGGGCTCACGTCCTTACCTTCCCGCAGTCAACTCCGGGAGGCCCAGGAAAGGAACCGAGATCTGGAGGAGCACATCCGACAGCTGCAGGAGCAGGTGGAGTCGCTGCAGGCTGAGGGAGCTGCAGGCGAGTCTCCTGTCCGCCTCCTGTTCCTGGGGCGCCAAGGGGCGGTGGGCCTGCGGGTGTGTGTGGACACCTGGGGGCGGGCCAGGGGCCCAGGCTGGGGCACGCCGCGCCACCTCCGTCCCTCCACGCGCCCTACGCCTCTCTCTTCTCCTTCCAGCTGTCACGGGGGTCCCCACACCCCGGGCCACGGATCCACCTTCCCATGTAAGACCCCTCTTTTTCCCGTTCATTAAGCTTGCTGCCCCCTCTGCAGAGCCTGTACCTCCCCATCTACCCGTCCAGGTTTAGGGCTCACCCCGCCTCTTCGGGGTTCCAAGCGGCAGACACCCACCACTCAGCTACCCTGCTACCAGATCTTTCGGCTGAGGCTTTTTCACCAGATCCCTTGCGGGATCTCCCTAGATTCTCTCCCCGACCTCCACTCCCCTCGCTGTCTCTCTCCTCCCGACCCCGCCTAGGGCGTCCGGGCCGGGCTGGGCTCCGATCGGGTCACCTGTCCCTTCTCTCTCCAGCTAGATGGCCCCCCGGCCGTGGCTCTGGGCCAATGCCCGCTGGTGGGGTCAGGCCCCATGCACCGCCGCCACCTGCTGCTCCCTGCCAGGGTACGTCCGGCTGCTCACGCCCGCCCGCCCGCCGCGGCGCCCCCGCTTCGCCCCACGCGCCGGGAGCCGCCTCCGCTTAGCGCACCCCTGCGGGGCTGGGCCGGCCGCGGGAAGGGGGGGCGCTCGGGCAGCCAATCAACACAGTGAGGAGGCAGCCAATGAGGAGTTGGGAGAAGACTGGAGGCCTGGGAGCCAACCAACCAGAGCGGCCCGGGAGGCGGGGCGGGCACAGGAAGGCAGGAGGGCGTGGGCGGGGCGAGGCCCGGGAGCCAATCGGGAGCCGCCGTCGCGCTGACCCCGCCCCCTCGCCCGCAGGTCCCTAAGCCTGGCCTACCGGAGGCGCGTTCCCTGCTGCTGTTCGCCGCTGCGCTGGCTGGTGCCGCCGCCGTGGGCTGCGCTGGGCTGGCGGCCAGCGCCGACCAACTCGCCCCAGTCTGGCACCTCCGGGGAGCCTCCTTCGCCCCCTGACCCCTAGAGCCCCACTCGGGTCCCGCCGGAGGGCGGGTCACCCGGGCCCGGCCCAGAAAGCCCTGGCGGCGCCGGCTCCGGCCCCCGCTCCCGCCGCAGCCCCCGCCCTGTGATCCGGGCGCGCGCCAGGCGGCCGGGGAGGGCGGGGCGCGCGGAGCCGGGCGCGAGAGGCGTGTGGCCGGGGCGCCGCAGCCCCCGGGCGGGGGGCGCCAGCGCTGGGCCGCGCCGCGGAGGAGGCCCGGGCCGGGGCTCGGCCGCCCGTCGCTCACCTCCACGCGCCCGCTCCGCGGCTCGCCGGCCTCGAGCTCTCCCGGGGCGCTCCGCCCGCCGCCGCCGCCGCGGGGCCTCTGCCTGTGCAGCCCGCGCCGCGCGCCCGCCCCCCCGACGCGGCTCTCGGGCGCGGCCGCCCCGCCCGCCCCGCGGGGCGGGTATTTATTGGCCTGGCCTCAGCCCCGCTGACGGGCCCCGGCACCCCAGTCCACGTTTTGGATGCACTGAGACCCCCAACATTCCTCGGTATTTATTGTTTTCCCCCCACCTGGTACCCCACCCCCGGCCCTCGCGAATAAAGAGCCCCCTTGTCAGCCAAGGCCCGGACTCCGGCGTCGGGGCCGCCGCGGCGGGGAGGCCGCCCAGGGGGCGGGGCCGCGGGCGGGGGGCCAATGGCCGGGCGCGAGCGCAGCAGGGGCGGGGCGGGGCGGGGCTTCGACATCCGACCAAGGCGAGCGAGGGGGCGCCCGGGCGGCTCCGCCCCCTTCCAGCTGCGACCCAGCTGTGCCCCCCGCCCGCCGGGAAGAGGGGGCTGGGCCGGCGCGCGCGGCCGTCCTCCTGCACTGCGCCTGCGCGGGCCACGCGCATCCGTTCCGGGGCTCACGCCCAAGAAAAGTTGCTGTAAACTTTGCAGCGCGGGCCCCGCCCCTTCGCGCCGCCAGGCCCGCCCCCCGGGGAGCCGGGAATTCCGAGGGGCGGAGCGCGGGCCGCGATGGGGCGCGGGGGGGCCCCGCCGAGGACGCGGCCGACGGGGGCGTGCGGGAGCTCCGTCTCGGGGCGGGGGCGGCTTCGCGCCCTGGGCCCCGCGGGCGGCCCGTTACCTTCCCCGCTGTCCCGATGGGGAGACTGAGGCCCTGAGCCGGGGCGCGCGGGGCGGGGCGCGCGGCCGGGCGGAGGGAAAACAAAGGCAGCGCCACGACCGCGGGGGCCGGGCGCGCGGGGCGCCGGGCCGGGCCCCGGGCGGAGCGCCGGGCTGGCAGCGGCGGGGAGCCGCGGGGTCGGCCGGGGGCGAGGCGCGGGGGGGCGGCGCGGGGGCGCGGGCGGGGAGGGGGCCGGGGAGAGCCCGCGGGGGGAGGAGGGGGAGGGAGGAACTTCCCAAAGTTGCGAGAACATGGCTACCTCGCCCGCCGAGCCGAGCGCGGGGCCGGCGGCCGGCGGGGAGGCGGCGGCCGAGGAGGAGGAGGCGGAGGCGCGGCGGCTCCTGCGCACGCTGCAGGCGGCCGAGGGTGAGGCGGCCGCGGCCGGGGCCGGGGCCGGGGCGGGCGACGCGGCGGAGGGCGCGGGGTCCCCGGGCGCCGCGGGGTCGCCCCCCGAGGCCGCCGCCGCGCCGCCCGCGGGCCTGCGCTTCTCGCCGGAGCAGGTGGCCTGCGTGTGCGAGGCGCTGCTGCAGGCGGGCCACGCCGGCCGCCTGAGCCGCTTCCTGGGCGCGCTGCCCCCGGCCGAGCGCCTACGTGGCAGCGACCCGCTGCTGCGCGCCCGGGCGCTCGTGGCCTTCCAGCGCGGCGAGTACGCGGAGCTGTACCGGCTGCTCGAGAGCCGCCCGTTCCCCGCCGCGCACCACGCCTTCCTGCAGGACCTGTACCTGCGCGCGCGCTACCACGAGGCCGAGCGGGCCCGCGGCCGCGCGCTGGGCGCCGTGGACAAGTACCGGCTGCGCAAGAAGTTCCCGCTGCCCAAGACCATCTGGGACGGCGAGGAGACCGTGTACTGCTTCAAGGAGCGCTCGCGCGCCGCGCTCAAGGCCTGCTACCGCGGCAACCGCTACCCGACGCCCGACGAGAAGCGCCGCCTGGCCGCGCTCACCGGCCTCTCGCTCACGCAGGTCAGCAACTGGTTCAAGAACCGGCGGCAGCGCGACCGGACCGGGGGCGGCGGCGGCGGCGCGCCCTGCAAGAGGTGAGGGCGCCGGGGCGCGAGGGCGGGCGGCCTCTCCCGGGACGGGGGCCCCGCGGGCGCCCGCTGCCGCCGCCCGCGCGCCCGGCTCCTCCGGCGCCCCCGAGGGTCCGGGCTCGGGCCCGGGCCTCTGCCCGACATCCCGGCCCCTCCCGCCGAGGCCGGGGCCCCGCGCCCCTGGAGGCGCCGGCCCGGACCCCGTCCGCGCGCGCGGCCACGGCGGCGGGGGAGGCCGCGGGGGACGCGCCGCCGAGCGGGGGCGCGGCCGCCGTCCCCACCCCGCCGGGGCTTTCTTGGGGCCCCCCGGGCGCCCAGGCCCTGCCCGGACCGTTACTCGCCCTAACCCCCACCCCACCCCCAGGCCCGGCGGCGTGGTCCGGCGTCTGTCTTTGTTGTGAAACGTGAACCTTCGCCGGCTCCGGTTTCCCTGTAACCCAAGCCCTTCCCCTCCCACCCGAGCCGCCGGCCTCCCGCTCCGTCCCTGCCCCCGGGGGAGGGCGCGGCGGCCGCCTCCCGCTCTCCCGCGCTCAGCCCAACCCGGCGCCTCGCGGGGTCGCGTCTCCGCCGCTGGGTCCCCAGGCCAGGGGGGCGGGAAAGAAGGGCCTCCGCCCCCCCCCCGCCCCCGGGCGCCAGCTGTGGCCCTAAGGCAGCGATATCAGAACCAGGTTTGCAGAACCTCCCGCCCGGGCTCCGGGGGTGCACCGAGGAAGCTGGTTTTCTGCCCCCCGCAGTCGTGCGCTGAAGTGCGGGCTGGGGAAGGGGGGCGGCGGGGTCAGCCTGGGCTCCCCGTGCGGCCCTCTGGGCATGGAGGCGCAGCTTCCAGGACCTCAATTTTCCATGCTTTCTCCGGCCAGCGAATCTGATGGAAACCCCACTACTGAGGATGAGTCGAGCCGCAGCCCCGAGGACCTGGAGTGGGGGGTGGCCCCGGTGGCTACCGACGCCCCCGCGCAGGGCTCCATATTCCTGGCCGGGGCCGCCCCTCCTGCCCCCTGCCCGGCCTCCTCCTCCATCTTGGTGAACGGGAGCTTCCTGGCCGCCGGCAACTCCTCCGCGGTGCTGCTCAACGGGAGCCCCGTCATCATCAACAGCCTGGCCCTGAGCGAGGCCTCCAGCCTGGGCCCCCTGCTGCTCGCGGGGGGTGGGGGCGCCCCTCCGCCACAGCCCAGTCCGCAGGGGGTGAGCGAGGGCAAGACCTCCCTGGTCCTGGACCCTCAGACAGGGGAGGTTCGGCTAGAGGAGGCTCAGCCTGAGGCCCCAGAAACCAAGGGGGCCCAGGTGGCTGCCTCAGGGCCGGCTGGAGAAGAGGTGCCGGGGCCTCTGCCCCAGGTGGTGCCTGGCCCCCCACCCGCCTCCACCTTTCCTCTGCCCCCGGGACCGGTGCCTTCTGTGGCTGCTCCACAGGTGGTGCCCCTGTCCCCCCCCCCTGGGTACCCTGCCAGCCTGGGCCCTACCTCCCCGCTGTTGAACCTGCCCCAGGTGGTGCCCACCTCTCAGGTGGTGACCCTGCCCCAGGCTGTGGGGCCACTGCAGCTCTTGGCAGCTGGGCCGGGCAGCCCCGTGAAGGTGGCCGCCACGGCGGGCCCTGCCAACGTGCACCTGATCAACTCTGGGGTGGGCGTGACCGCCCTGCAGCTGCCTTCGGCCACTGCCCCAGGTAGTACCCCTGTCTCTCTGGCTGGGGTGTGGGCTGGGCGGGGTGGGGGGCAGTTGTCTCAGGGAGGGCGCTCACCCCCGGCGTGTCCCGGGACCCTTCCGTGCAAGGTGGGGCCTCAGGGTCCAGAGAATCACTCCAGGGCCCGCCCTTCCACAGCGGCTCGCCCGCCTCTTCTCTCCTGGCCAGCTGACCCCCAGCCGTCTCTCCCCACAGGGAACTTCCTCCTCGCCAACCCCGTGTCGGGCAGCCCCATCGTGACGGGGGTGGCCGTGCAGCAGGGCAAGATCATCCTCACCGCCACCTTCCCCACCAGCATGCTGGTCTCCCAGGTCCTGCCGCCCACGCCCGGCCTGGCCCTGCCTCTGAAGCCAGAGACGGCTGTCTCCGTGCCCGAAGGGGCCCTCCCGGTGGCCCCCAGCCCCGCGCTCCCCGAGGCCCAGGCCCTGGGGCCGCTGTCCGCGCAGTCTCCACCGCAGCCGCCGCCCGCCCCGGCCCCCGCCAGCCTGCCCTTCTCCCCGGACTCCGCCGGCCTCCTGCCCGCCTTCCCGGCGCCGCCCGCCGAGGGGCTCATGCTGTCGCCCGCGGCCGTGCCCATCTGGCCGGCGGGGCTGGAACTGAGCGCGGGCACAGAGGGGCTGCTCGAAGCGGAGAAGGGGCTGGGGACGCAGGCCCCCCACACCGTGCTGAGGCTGCCCGACCCCGACCCGGAGGGGCTGCTCCTGGGCGCCACGGCGGGGGGCGAGGTGGACGAGGGGCTGGAAGCCGAGACCAAGGTCCTGACCCAGCTCCAGTCGGTGCCGGTGGAAGAGCCCTTGGAACTGTGAGCCCGGGCCTCGGCCCGTCTGCTGACGATGGTGCTCGCGGGGGGACAGGACGCTGCCTCGGAGCCCACGCGCCGCAGGTGCTCCGCTCCGCTCCCTCGAGGTGCTGGGGCATCGCCCCTCTGGCCCCGAGGCCTCCTGTTACAGCCCTTCCCTCTGGCGGGTCCTGGCTCCGGGGCCTCCGCCCCCCTCAACCTGGTACTAGCTGTGAGCTGAGATCCTGCCCCCTGGAGCCCCCTCCCTCGCCCTCCCCAAAACACTATTAATAGCTCCCACCCTCAGTGTTCTCAGAAGTGCCTGGAATCCCGGGCTGGGGGGGCCCATCCGTCGTCTGACGGACGCCTCCCGGCCGGGCCCTTCCTGCTGAAAGGGGTGCAGCGTGGGGGCCCGGGCGGCGTGCCCTGACCTCCCCCCGGACTGAAGCCCTCCCGACTGCGTCTGGCCCCAGACCAAAGATCCCTCACCCCAGGGGGAGCCCTGGCCCACGTCTAGTTTGTACCCGAAATCTTTATTTTTCTAGGACTTGTGTTACGTCTCCATTTCAATTAAAATGAAGTTAACTGCCAACTAGGGCCTCCGGGGGCAGGTCACCTTCCCAGCGGCCGCGCCCGCTGCCATCCGGCGGCCGAGGTGCCTGGGGGGGCGGGTGTGGCCTGGGACTCAGGATCCAGGTTGAGGGACCTGGGGAGCAATCTTGACCTCTCCTGCTGGGAACCAGGCTCCACGTGCTTTATTTTGAAAACAGTAACCTATACGCAGAAGGGGCGCGGGAGCAGGGGAGGGTGAGAACAGCACCGGGACCATCTGACTCCCGGCTGTGGGGAGGCAGGGCGAGGGAGCCCTTACCAACCTGCCCTCCCCGCGGCGCTCGCGGGCGAACGGGGAAGGCTTGGGGTCAGCCAGTCCCCGCCGGCATCACCGAGGGGTGAGGCCCAGCAGGGGTGAGGCCAGGGATGGGGGGGGCACCGCCTGTTGTCACAGGCTCAGGGTAGAACAGGAGCTGCCGTGCAGTGGGAGCACCAGGCCGGCAGCCCTCAGACCCGGGGGGCAGGCGGCGGCGGGGCTGGCTTCGGGGCGCTGCGGGCCTTCTCCGCCAGAAGCTGGTAGAAGGGCTTGGGGGGCTCCCAGTCCTCGTCCTCGCTGCCGGAGCTCTCCTGCTTCACGATGCGGTTGTGCTGGCGGCTGAATCTGCGCGCCTTGATGCTGGGGACAGAGGCGGCGGGAGGGGCCCTCACTGGCTGCCCCTCTGGCCCCGGCGCTGGCCCGGGTCTGGGCTGACCGGCCGCCCTTCGGGAAGCTCCCCCGGCCCCACGTGGACTCGGCCAAGGGCCCCGCCCTCCTGGGAGGTCAGTGAGCACCTGGCACCTGTGTCGGGCCAGGCTGGATGGCTGGGCGGGGAGGCGGAAGAGGTGCGGCCAAGCCCCCGCGCCAAGGCCCAGTTTCCTGCTGAGGAGCTCCCTGCGGCCCAGGCGGTGGGGGAAGTGGGGGCCCGCGGGGCCCACGTCCCGCATGAAGCTGTCTGTCCTTTGGAGCTACAGGTACAGCCCTTCTCCACCCCACGCCCCCCCAACTCTCGCACCAGTTTCTGACGCCCAAAGCGCCCACCCACGCCCAGCCTGGGGAGCCTGGGCCAGAGGCCGGCAGGGCCTCTCCCCCCGGCCGCGCGGGCTTCTCACCAGTAGGGTCTCCGCTCCTGCTGGGTCATCACCCGCCAGAGCTGGGCCAGCTCCTTGGTGGCAGCGGTGGACGCAGTACCAGGGCAGGCTCTGGAGGGGGAGGGGCGGGGTCAGGAGAAGCCGCAGGGTGCCTGGCTCTGGCGCCCACACCCCTGTGCACCGAGGCTCCCTCAGCGCAGGGCAGGGAGGGACAAAGATGGCAGACACAGCCCCCGGCCCAGGGACCACATCTGACGCCATCTACCCCCTGAACACCTGTGCGGGAGGCCCCAAAACCTAACGTCCCAGCAAATCACAACAGGTAGAGTCCGGCTCCCCCAGTCGTAGAAAAGCCCACCAAAAGGTTATTTTAAAAAGCCCCAAATCCTTCTTAGCGGCAACAAACCTCTGCACCTGGGGCACCTCCGAGCAGTGCATGCAGTCACCCCCCTTTTCCTGTTCTCCACTGTCTACCCAATACTCCGGCGCGTCCAGCCCTCACCCCAGTATTAAACCACCACACCCCTCATCTTTCAAGGTGCATCAGCCAATGCATTCCCTTTTCCTGCAGCCTGGGCTGGGTTTCCCTGTTGCCTTCTCAGGTCTGATGAGGCACCTGGTCAGGCCAGGTGCTGGGGGAGACCGCGCCTGGGGGTCGTGGCTGCTCCCTAAGGGCGCATGCGTCAGGGCCCACAGGGCAGGCAGGGCCCGCAGGCCGAGGGGACCCCCACCCACCGGATATACTGCTTCCGGTTCATCCTGCAGAACATGATGAAGCCGTTGACGCACTTTTTCTTCATCTGGGTGGGGCCGGCGGCGGCCTTGCTCTCCTTGGGCTTCACAGGGCCCCGGCCCTTGCGGGCCTTTCTCCCGACCGTGGCCAGGGCGGGGGCCCGGCGGCTGGGGGTCCACGTGTAGTCGCCGTCGTCACTGGAGGACAGCAGGCCCTTGGGGTCGGCCTGGGTGTCCTGGGTGGGGGACAGAGGTGAGAGGGGGCGGGAGAGGCGGAACCCGCGTCTGGGGCCCGGCCTCCTCTCGCCTCCTGCCTCCATACCGACTCCGGGTCTGTGTCCGCGGAGCTGGGGCTGGCGGGCGCCCTGCCGTTGCCACTCAGCGGGAGGTAGCAGTGGTCCAGCGACACGGAGGACGGGCACAGGCCGTGGGGGCCGGGCGCGTCTTCGGGGGCCTCAGAGGGTGTGTCCTGGGGTGAAGGGGAGAGTTGGGAGGGGATGAGGGGGCAGCAGTGCCCCTGCTCACCGCCTCACGCTCCCACTCTGCCGTCCTTGGTGTAATGTGAGCTTCACAAACAGCCGGGCGGCCTCACCCAGACACACCTGGACATTTCAAGCAAATGTTCCCCAGTCCCCACAGGTGGGAGATGGTGGGGCCCAGGCCCCCTGCATCCTGCTCTGGGGCGCTGTCTTTTCTCCTGTAGGTTTATCCTTCCCCACAGCCGTGAGGCCTGGGCAAGTCTCACTCCTCTGAACATCAATTTCATCCACAGAACAGTAGTGGCCTCCACGCCCGAGAGCCGGCTGGGAGGCCTGCTTTTGTCTCTACCGTCAGTTCGGTCATTCATTGAAGTGGGAGGACTAACACACACTTTTGGGGGCCAGAGCTGGGGCTGCCTCCCCCTCAGATGATGGGTCTCCCTCAGAGGGTGGCTACGGAGGTCAGCCCAGAGGCCTGGGAGGTCCGTCCCCCTGAGGCTCCCGGGCTCCCTCTGCTGTGAGTTTCCTCATCTGTAAAATGGGGTCTTGAGAGCCCTGGCCTCTCTGAGCGGTGCAGTGTCTCGGGGACACCTGGTCGCCTCAAGCATTAATCCTTGTGTCCAGTTCACCGAGGACCCAGCACAGGGCAGGGGCCTGGCAGCAGCAAGTGTGCAGAAGACAGCACAGCATGGAGGGTGGACAGGCGCCTGGGAGGCTGAGGAGCGCAAGTGACGGATGGGGCGTGGGGGTGCCGGGAGCTGCTGGCCAGCTTGAGGTGGACGAGGGGCTCAGGCCTGTGAGCTTGTGCGTGGCAAGAGGATGGGCGTGTCCTGGAGTGAGGGGTAGGGGGTGGGCAGAGGCCTACCTTCCGTGGCTCCTCGAGCATGCTGGCCAAAGGCGAAGCCACAGGCTCTAACAGCACTTCCTCAAAGAGCGCTGTGGGGAGGGAGAGCAGAGGGGTGGCTGGCGGGGAAGGGCCTCTCACGCGCCTGCCTCTGGTGCATCCCGCCTGCTGGGGCCTGCTCTGGCTTTCTGCTTTGGGATCTCCTGCCCTGTTCAAGCCAAATGCACAGGCCAGGTCTCCTGGGTACCTCCAATCTGGGCAGGAGGGGGCTCCCCATGTGGCCTCCACGTGGGGCCTAGGGTGGCTCCCCCACTAAGCTGTGGGCTTCTGGACTGAGGGCCTGATGGGCTCACCCCTGGGATTCCACATTGCCCGACACGGTGCGTGTTACCACGAGTTTTCTGAGGGAGCCAAGGGTCGGCCCAGCCGTGGACGTTCACCTTGAGTCAGGTACTCGGTGTCGTCCTCCAAGATCTGTTCAGGCAGCATTTTCCCCAGGGAGCTGAAGAGGGAAGGGCTGAGGCCCAGGATCTCGCTCAGGTGGCCTGTTACACTATAGTCGTCAATCTGGGGTGGCTCCAAGGCCAGTGGACTCCCTAAAAAGCACACATCAGGCTTCGGGGTACAGTCGGAGACTGTCCTCTCCCCTCTAATATGAAGCTGATACTGGGAGACAGTGCCAGACGCCGGGATGAGGTAACTATCCTCATTTTTGTCAATTCCTCACTTTGAGCCCTCGGTAGAGGAGACCGAGACGCCTGGTGTTGTGAGGGGGAAACTCCCCGCCAAAGAAATCAGTGTATCACAGCGCGCCAGACCCAAAGACTGGCAGCAGCCGCCTGGAGCTCTGTGTGAAGAAAGATTCTGGGGTAAGGCCAGGCTCAACAGAGAGTGGCGGCCGAGAAGCGGTGTGTGCCGTGGCTCCAAGACGTGGGCACGCCGTGCGCTTAGCAGGCACCTGGGCCTCCCCAATCCCCCTTTCCGGGGAATCCTCAGAAGGACGCTACCAAAGAGGCCCCACACCAGCCGACGAGGAGGGAGTTTCAGTCACCGTGCGGGCTGTCCTCTCGGGTCCAGGCAGGAAGCCAAGGGTCGGCGTTGGGGTCCTCCTTGTCCGCTTCCTCACTGGAGTCGAACACCAGCTTCTGTCTGCAAGAGGCGGGATTCAAGGGGCTGGGAACCGCTGTGTGAGCCCAGAGGGCGCTCCCCTATGCCGGCCGCTGGGGGCAGAAGGCTGAAGCAGCTGAGAGCAGCCCTCAAGGCGGCGATGAGAAGCTGGTGAGAGGGCCAGTGCTGTTTTGGGGGGAAAGGTGGGCAGGGCAGGAGGGAGGTCGGCTCTGAACTTGCCCTAAAGAATGGGTAGGGTCTTCCGGGTGGACAGGGAAACAGGCTTGCCTGGAACAGGGCTCCGTGGGCCGGGGCCTGGGTCGCGTGGTGAGTGGAGAATGTCTGCTGGTGTTGAGGTTAAGATTCATGGGGGAAGGGTTGGCAAGAAGAACTGGGGTCAGGGGGTTTCTCGAAGGCCAGTTAGAACATTGGGCCCCTAGCCTGTGGGCACTAAGCAAAGCTTGAAGCAACAAGTTGGCAGGTGAAGGATGATGAGTTCGATGTGGCTGGACCAGTGAGGACCGGCTGGATGAGGTGGGGCAGGGCAGGGGGAGCCCAGAGGAGGCTGTGGCCTGGTCCAGCAGACAGGAAGCAAGCTTTCCTCCGAGTTGATGACGTCTGCTACAGAGCTACACCCGCAGCTCCCCAGACACCAGTCTAGGAGGTAAACTGAGCTCATTTCTCACTACCCCTCAGCCATTCCAGACCAAATACCTCAGCATCGCCCCTCATAGCCCTAGGGGTTCCCTTACCTGGGAAAGGGCTGTGTCCTGTTGAGAAACTGGAGCCTCTGAGCCCCTTGCTGGTCCTCTAAGGCAGAGTAAGGCCCACCAGGCTGGGCTCTCTTTCCACAGCAGCAGCCTAAGGAGCAAGGCAGGACTTTCACTCCTGTGAGTGTGTCACCTCCAGACTCACGGGCAGGGCCTGCCACCACCTCCCCGCCAACCCATCCTAGTCAAAATTTCGGGCCTGGGTTGTGGGCAACCCAAGTCACCCCAGGTGTCTGGAATCTCACACCCCTATAAGAAGCTGCAAGGCAGCTAAAAACCACAAACGCAAGGTGAGGACGCCTGTGTGGTGTAAGAGTCTTATTCAGTCACCCTTGGCTGAAGGGAGCCTCTATTATTTACTTACTTGTCACACAGTTAAGTAAACTGGGGCATTGATCAAGTAATTTGCCCACGTCACACAACTCGTGAGAAGGACTGGAGGCCCTTGTCTCCAGTTTGGGTACAGTGCCCTGGAGCCCCAGGAAGCCTGGATCACTCTGGATGGTCCGGGCGGGGTGTGTGTGTGACTCCTACATGGGACAGTGTGGCCAGCACCTGGCACACGCCTGGGCGGAGGAGATGCTCGGGAGCAAGGGCAGGGTGGCCTGAGACCTTGCATGCACATTGGACCTGCTCACCCCCTCTTGCGCCATCCCCTCGTCAAGCTGCACAGGGGCGAGGCATCTTGAAAGATTTTCTGATGACTTCAAGTGAAGTCTCAAGGAGAGGCCCTAACCCAGTTTGGTCATTGGCAGCCTGCGCAGGAGGGCAGCGCCCATCATGTCCCACTTGGACACCCACAACAGAGCCTGAAGGGGAAGGGAAACTGGGAAAGAGCCTGCCAACAGGACACTGAATTCCCAGCTACGAGGACTGGGCCTGGGACAGCTGAAGCCGCAGTCGCAGCAGACACATGAGCAGCTGCACGAACTGTGAGGAAAGAGGCCAACCTGGGGTGCCGCAGTGGACGCTGTTCTCAGCCACATCCAGCAACGTCAGCCAGGACCTGACGCCCTTTCTGTCGCCAGGAGGCAGAGGTGATGCAGCCTGGGGGAGACTGTAGGAGTAGGCGCAACTGGGAGGGGTGGTGGCCCCCAAGGCAGTTCCTCCTTGCTGCTCTGGGTATGGGGATTCCTGCTTCTTGGGCTTAACCAGGGCCAGATAGCGGCGGGGGTTCTGGGCCCGGCTGTGGCGTTCTGGAGAGCAGAGAGACAATGTCACACAGGGCTGGGCGCCTAAGCATGCCCAGAAGATGAGATGTACGTGCGTGGGTGTGTGTTTTTTCTCTTTCTCTGGTTCCAAGGCTCTGTTCCAAACCTTTGCCTGTCCTGGTCACTCACCAGCCCTCCCAGGTGAGCTGGGTCCGTAGTGAGAGATCACCGAGTCGGGTGCTCCCTTCCCCTGACCACATGTTAGCAACCCCTGTGAGTCTTGAAAAGAGGCTGACCCCCGGGCACCAGCCCAGACCAGTGGGCCTGGCTTTCTGGGCGTCGGGCATTTCCTACAGCGTGCTGATGATGCAGGCGCGCAGCAGGGCTGGAGATCGGTGACTACATCCAAGTCCCGTTTTAGACATGGAGACTGAAGCCCATGAAGGAAAAGGCCCAGTCATGAGGCTGAGGCTGCCCCTAGGACTCTTGCCTTCCACATGTGGGTCTTTCCACTCCCCCAGGCTCCCTGCCATGCCCTGGCCCCACAGGGACGGCTGCGTAGGAGGGCGGCTTCCATCGACTGCGACTGCATGCTGACCGCGTGTCTGTCTGCTTGGGCATTGCACCAGCGGGATGTACACAGGCTCCTATGCCTCAGACTGCCTGGTGGCGGGAACTCCATTCCCAGAGGACGCAGCTCAGGGATGGAGTGACCCCCGGGGCCTCAGCTGGTGAGGAGGGGCCAGGAGAGAAACCCAGGCTGGCGGGCATGTGGCATCACCATCATGGACAGTCTCCTGTTCCCCCCTGCTTCCCAGTCTACCGCCTTGGGCAGCTTGTACCTGACTCCCAGGGCCACCACTTCTTCTGAGGTTTCCGGCAGGCTCCCTGCAGAGGGGACTTCCGAGAGTGTGGGGTGCTCAATGGAGTGGAGTGTCTTTGCCTTGCGGGTCCGGCCGCTGGGTTCCATGCCAGCCCTCCTCCTGCAGGACGGAGGAGACAGGTCAGGCGCCCTCAGCCTTATGCCATCCAGACGCCTGCCTTGCCGACAGTGCCTCCCAGCCCCAAGTGGGTGGCCAGCCATGGTCCCCAGGCTGATTTTACAAATGTGGAAACTGAGGCCCTGGGAGGAGATTGGACTTATCTGAGGTTGCAAAGCCAGGCAGCAAAAGTATAAACGAAAACTTGGGGTTTCCCTGAGCCATTCTGTTTTCAGCTAAGAGGAAAGACAGACTTGATGCTTCCCCATCCCAAGCCCACTCCTCCTGCCTGCCTTGAGACAGTGAGGGCTCCACTGCCCACCCTGGGGTGGCCCAGGGCGTCGCCCCCAGGCTCTCAGTTCACATCCCAAGCATACCTACTTCTGCCCACATCCTCAGCTACAGTGCTAGACTGGGCCTCAGGGCCTCCTGTCCCAAACACTCTGATAAGTATCTTCATGATCTCCCCGACTCTCGGTCCTCACTTAATAACCAGCCCCCACACTAGAGGCCAGGATCCCTTAAAAAAAAAAACAAAACAGGGCCTCCCCGGTGGCGCAGCGGTTGAGCGCTGGGTTGCAAAGCTGCCCGTAGCCTCTGTGGCGCCGGTTCGATCCCCGGCTGCTCCCCGGCCACTGGAGGAGGGTCCCACATGGCGCGCAGACCTCTCCTGCCGCCCGCTGCTCCCCTCAGCAGTGTACTTCGGTCCTTCTGCCTGCTCTGCTCCCCGCTCTGGCTCTGGTGAATTCTCTCACCCTCCCGCGCTTCTGACTGTACCCAGTGCATGTATAAACAAAACAAATAAACAAATAAATAAATAAGTAAAAACATGCATCTATATAAAAAAAAATTGTAAACATCAGTGAAAAAATAAAATTTGAGACCCACCGAGGAAAAATATTAAAAAAAAAAAATAAAACAAAACAAAAGCCCTGGCTTTCCTGGGGCTGACAGTTCTTCAGTAAGACTCATCTTCATCTCCTTCTACCTCCTCTCCCCCGGGCAGGGGCTCGTGCCTGACCTGTCCGGCTCTTGCTGTGGGTTTCCCACACCAGTAATAATGACAGCTGCCTAGCACAGGAAGACCTGCACGTGCCACGCACATGTCACAACACGTGTCCACTCTGGACCCTCACGACAAACAGAAGTCCTGGCACTGGCTCGGTTTTGCAGAGGAAGAAGCGAGGCCCACAGAGGTCAGGTGTCTGAGCCCAGACCTGGCCCTAGAGCCCTTGTGCAGTCTCAGTGCAGTGCCTCCAGGCACATCAAGCTGCCTGCCCACAATCCCATGTGTTTTCCCGCCTGCGGGCTCTTGCTCGGCCAGATGCTTCTGCCTAGCAGGATTCCCTCTTCCAACATCCTCGAAGGCCCAGCTCCTTCCTGCCAGTCTTCCCAGACATCTCCAAGTTCCTGACTTTGTCCCCTGCACCAGCTGGGAGGTCTGGGAGGGCCTCCTGTGAGGCACTTAGTGTCCCTGACAGCCAGAACAATACTTGGCACGAGCAGGCACTGGAAAGCGTCGCCTGAACCTACTTACCCCGAAGTGTACTGTCCCCATCGGTGGTGTAGATTTTGAGCAAGGCCTTGGCCACATCGATGTTCCTCTGGAGGAAGTGGATGTAGTGCAGGACATGCAGCAGAATCTCCTTCTACTCCCAAAAGAAAGGCAGAGTGAGCACGGGAGCAGGGCCCAGGTGTGAGGCTGCTGACACCAGAGAGCGAAAGGCTCCCGGACCACAGCCATCCCCCTGCAGAGTCCCTCTTCCGCTGTCCAGGGCTCCTTGGGCCCGTGATGGTGGAACTGAGGCCCCACGTGGGGAAGGGACGCTCGCTGGTGACAGAGGAAGTGGCACAGCTGGGATCTGAAGCCAGGTGTGCCTGGCTTCCCTCCTCTCCCCTAGTTCCCCTCACTGGCTTCTCCTCCTCTGAGCCTCAGCACCTCGGCAAAGTGCTCTCCCCTGCAGAAGCTCTCCAGCCCCCACCCCTCTTGCCAGGCTGGGGCAGGTGTCCCTTCTCAACGCACCTGTAATGCCCTGGACCTGTTCCCCCCACACCGCCACCTAATCTTCTGCTCACACAGGATACTCGCCGCTGACCGGGAATGAGGTGAGGGTGGAGACTGTTGTGGCCCACTGACCTCTGTGTCCCAAGCACACGGAGTCAAGAGGCAGCCTAGCAGGGATGGCAAAGGGATGATGCCTTGGCAGTGGGCATGGGGCCTTCTGCTGCTGCGGGCATCACCACCTGGCCACCAAATGCCAACTGAACTGGTCCTGAGAGGCTACGCTAAAGAGACTGCAGCTCACACAGGACCAGGTACGGAGCGGGATGCAGCCTATTGGGGTCACCTGTGTGGCTCATAGTCTACTCGGGACAACAGACTTTAATAAATTCACATGTCACCCAAGTCACCTGCTGCGTGAGCAGCACTATGAATAAAGGAGTGTCACGAGAGACTCTGAAATGAGACTTGGTATCTGCAAAGGGTGCTCTGAAGCAGCAATTAAAATGAGACCAGAGGCCTCCCTGGTGGTACAGGTGGTTGAGCACAGCTCTGTGAGGCTGTCCGCAGCCTCTGCAGCACCGGTTTGATCCCAGGCCACTGGCGAGGGTCCCACATGGCGTGCAGACCACTCCTGCCGCCCGCTGCTCCCCTCAGCAGTGTACTTCGGTCCTTCTGCCTGCTCTGTTCCCCGCTCTGGCTCTGGTGAGTTCTCTCACCCTCCCATGCTTCTGACTGTACCCTCTGCCACTTACTGGGGGCAGGTCATGTGACTTCCTCCAGCCTCAGTTTTCTCACCTGTGCACTGGGAATGAGGATATTCAGGAGGAGAAGATTTTTTTTAAGGGTCAAGCCATTTTATTGAGGGGCTCCAAGAGAGGGAAGATGGGAGGAGGGAGACCAGATCCCATGGGGCTCTCCCCGGCTTCCAGTCAAAGAAAGCAGAAAGGACCATTATTGGGATGAAATAAATGTGTGTGAAAATGCCCAGCACAGAGCCTGACACATCAGTTGCTCCAGAAATGCTTAGTCAATGTTCGCCCAAGACCCCCGTCACCAGGTTCTCGAGGGATTACATGGGGACCTCCTCTAAATGTTGATAACCAGACTGTGGGTTTTTCGAAAGCAAACACTGTCTTTTTGGCTTATTATCTCCAACACCATGCTTGGCGCATGGTTGGGGCTCCCTGGGCTGACGACTGCAAACTGCGAGGTGACGTGACACGTTCGTTGGTTACTGTTGCTGGTGTAAAGGCTTTGCGGAGAAGGCAACTGGGGGTCATCTCAGAGCAGGCCCCCCTCTCAGAGGGCTCTGTAAGAGATACCCAAGAATTCTTTGCCTCCCCTTGTTGTGACCACAAATTTCTGATAGCCAATAATCTCCCCACAAATGGTTGATGAATGAATAAGTGAGTGAGAAGAAATACAGCAAAACAAGAGCACGCCAGCCTTCCAGACCGCTGAGTCTCCTATCCAGGTGTTCCCCTGGGAGCAGGGCGATGGCTCGGCAGGAAGATACATCTAAGTAGCCACGGGGACAAGCATAGAGCTTCATCTACTCTCACCTCTGGAGATGACTCCTACGAGTCACAAAACAAGGGACCCAGGAAGCAAGTGACATTTATTCAGGGCCAGTCATGGCTATTGTGTCATTCTGACTTCACAGTATCTCTGGGAAGTGACAGTTATTTTTCTCTGTTTTACAGATAAGACAACTGAGACTCAAGAGCTACGCAGAGGGGCCTGCCCAGAGCTCTGCAGGTATGCAGCCGGGGAGCTCAAGCCCATGGCCGTTTGACTCCCCAAACGGTAACCTCTGCCTGGCATCTTGCGTGTTTCCCCAATCGCCCCCCCTCCTTCAGTCCCCATACCTTGGTGAGCTTCTTGGTGCCAATCTTCAGGGCCATAGGGAGCAGCAGTGCCAGCTCTTGCAGTTTGCTGGTGTGATTCTTTCTCTGCTTCCTGTTGTTAGGGAAAAGGCTGGTTTGGGTTCGAACATTCAACGTGGTATTTGGCCTCTGACTCCCAAACCTCCTGTTCTCAGCATCCTCATCTCGGAACACTGCCTACCCCAGCCAGAATCCCAGGCTGGACTCACTGCTCTCCCTTAGCCGCTTACCCAGTCAGTCACCAAACCTTGTCCATTGTGCCTCTAGTCCCATCCCCCTAACACCACCACCCAGGTCCAAGTCCATGTTTCTCGTCCTAGTCCACTCCCTCCATCCCGCCCCAGCCTCAGAGGCATGGAGTAGAGCCATACTCTACTCCAGTCAGGGTGATCTGGTAGAAAGCAAGGAAGGAAAAATATCAGGGTCTACTGAAGTTGAAGATATTATCTGACGCAAATCTGATCAGTTTCTCTCATTTCCTCAGGCTCAGAGATGATCAAACAGACTAAACACACTAGTGTGTATAAACTCAGCCACACTGAGCCTGACACATCGGTTGTCCAAAGAGCACTTCAAACCTCTTGATGTCATTCATTATTAAGGATCAGGTTCAAACCTTCAATGTGGCTGACAAAGCCCCTGCTGGCCTGGCCTGGCCGACCATTCTGTTCTCATCTCTTACTTTCTTGGCGTCTCTCACCAGTGGAGTCGAACTCCACAGGACAGTGAGCTACCTCTGCTAAGGCCGGCCAAGTGGTTCCTGCACTGGGCTGTCCACTGGGCGGGGCACCACAGTATCTCTATTACCCCAGGATCTGGTCCATTTAAGGAAATCAATGCATATTTGCTAAAGGAAAGACTCAACAAGGGCATGAAAGAAGCTGACTCCTCCGCAGCTGTAGTATTTCCGGGGCCTTGAATTCATAATTCATTATCTATCCACGCGCATGTACCTCCACACAACGCTCCTACCAGATGGACACACACAGAGTTGGATTCTCCCAAATTACATGCCACTGCACTGCTCATGCTGCTCCCCTGGGAACGCCCACCACGTCTGTCTCCCCCAACCCTCGTCTCTCCTTCCTTCAGGGCCCAGTTCACTGCCATGTGCCCGGGAAGTCTCCCCTGGCCTCCTCACCTTCCTCCCCCACTCTGAGTGCCCACGGCGCTTTGTGTCCGTTGCATCGGACCAGACACAAGCACGCTCTTTATTTCGTGCATTTACTCTACTCTACACGCAGCCCCTGCTCACACCCGCAGGAGTCCTCTTTGCCAGTTCTGGTGTGGATGCCATGGGGAGGGTGAGGAGTCAGTCTCCTTTGAGGAGATAGAGGGTCGTGTGGGAGACACACTTAGCTCTCTAACCCAATCCTGAAGCCCCAAAGATGCTTTCTCATTTACTCATTCGGCAGTTACTCGTTGGGCACTTCTACGTGCTGGGAACTGATAGGTGACAGGGATAAAAGTATAAGAAATACAGCCCCATCAGAGCTCATCGTCTAGTCAGGGATAATGCCATTAATCTCAAATTGTCACACACAAACAAAATTGCAAGGTGGGCCAGGATCAAATGAAAATGGGGGGCCCCTTGTTCAAAAATTAAGGACTTCAGGATGGTGAGAGCAGAGCAATAAACGAAGCACCAGACTCTTTAAGCATAAGGCCCGTGACGGCCTGGGTTGAACCCCATGAAGCTGGCCCTGATGGGGCAAAGGAGGAAGGTTGGTGGTGATACACAAGGTTGTCATAAGGGGCTGTGATGTAATGGGGTCTTCCCTGAGGAGGTGGACTTGGCCAGAACCTGTTCTGAGGGATCAGTGGCAGAGGGAAGAGAACATGTCAGAGGTGAAGGCCCCGTAGCACCAGGGAGCATGGGGAATTCAAAAAAAATAAGGCCAGAGTTTCTGGAGCAAGGGACAAGGAGTCCTTGGGGTGAGATGGGGCTGGAGAAAGAGAGAGGGGTCAGATGAGGGAGGGTTTTGTCGGCTCTTAGTACAGAAGAGCTTTGCCTTTATCTTAAGACCAAGGGGAAGCCATTAAAGAGCTCCTTGCAGGGAATGACATTAGTAGCACCTCCCCTCAAGCCTGCTATGACCCCGGAGGCTGTACATACTAGTCATTGAGTGAAAGAAAAAAAGAATCAAGTGGTCTCTAGTCCCCTCCTGGTGGAAACCATGACTTTGAGGGACAGAATTCTGTCCTTGGGGGAAAATTGAGTAGGCTGACCTCTGTGTCCAGGTCTTTTATTTACCACTTTCCTTCTGTTCTAGAGGAGTCCCTTGAAGCCCCAGTGAGAAATAACACACAAAGCAAGGCAGAAAGTGTCAGTCCAGTTCTCTTTAAGTTCAAGATGCTGATTGACTGTGTCTGAGAAAAAGGGGATCATACCCACCGAAGTCCCTAGATGTTTACTTTGGGTTTTGCAAAGCATCAAGGGGAACTTCTGTGCAAACACAGAAGTTCAAGAGGAAGAAGTTAAAGGAAGAAAGTGTGACTAGGAATCGAAATCCTGGCATTTCCAGACAGCAGTCCCGAATAAAATAGGTGTGACCTGGACTGCACCCACAGGCCCCCAGGAGTCAGCACTCCTTCCCACGGGTGACCCCTTGCTGGATGGTTCTGGTTTTAGCCAATTTTTTTCCCGACAGTCTCTATCTTTTTTTTTTTTTTTTAAAACGGGCGGCAGGAGAGGTCTGCGCACCATGTGGGACCCTCGCCGGTGGCCGGGGATCAAACCGGCGCTGCAGAGGCTGCAGGCAGCTTCGCAGCCCAGCGCTCAACTGCTGCGCCACTGGGGAGGCCCCAGTCTCTTATCATTTTTTCCCAGCTGTGCCCTGTAGGTCTGCAGGCAACAGGTCCAGTCCTGGTTCTGTTTCTCTAAATGGCCAGGTTTGTGTTTGCTGCAGGGCCTTTACTATTCCTGCTCCTGGAATGTTCTTTTGCCTGGGTCTTTACACAGTTGGCTTCTTTTTTGCCACTCAGCACTGTGCTTAAATGTTACCTCCTCAGAGAGAGGCCTTTTCAGACTACGTTCTTTGTCACAGACTCCTATTGCTTATCAGCATCTGACATCTTTCTTTATTATAAACTCCACAAGGGCAGGGATTGTCTTTTTTATTTATTGCTATATCTCAGGCACAGTGAGCATAGTTCCTAGGGCCTCTGATACTTTTAGGGGCTCATGAGAATGTTTCAATTTCTTTAAAATCAGAAGAGAAAAACAGGAATCTAATCCAATTAGTAGTATATTCATCATACGCTGATGCTGCCATAAACTATGATTTTTATTTATTTATTTTTATTTTTTTTAAGATTTATTTATGAATACTAGAGCTGGGGCACAGGCCAGAGATGGGGGTGGTGGTGAGAGGATTCACTGGAGACAGAGCGGGGAACAGAACAGGCAGACAGACTGAAATACACTGCTGAAGGGAGCAGTGTGTGAGCAGGAGGGGTCTGCTTCTCCATGTGGGTTGCTCTCTGGCTGCCGGGGATCGTACTCGTGCTTCAGAGGCTGCAGATTACTTCATAGTGTGGTGCTTAACCCCTTGCACTGCCAGGGAAGCCCTAAACTATGATTTTTATTTTTATTTTTTTAAAGATTTATTTATTTATTTTATACAAGAGCTGGGGTACAGGCCAGAGGCGTGGGAGGGTGAGAGGATTCACCAGAGACAGAGCGGGGAACAGAATAGGAAGACTGAAGAAATACACTGCTGAGGGGAGCAGTGGGCCAGACAGGAGAGGTCTGCTTCACCATGTGGGAGTCTCACCGGCCGGCGGGGATCAATCCCACAATGCCAAGGCTGACAGACAGCTTCACAGTGTGGCGCTCAACCCACTGTGCCACCGGGGAGGCTCACTAAACTATGATTTTTAAATGGAGGAAAGGGACCAAGAAGCTAAAACTGCAGAGAGTCACAGAAGTCACAATGCAGCCCTGGCTGCACCCCCTAGCTCTTCCAGTAATGCCTGGCACTTAGCAGGTGCTCGATAAAATAATGATGGCATTAATGAGGGCTCCTTCCACCTTGTGAAGGCCTTCTGGCTTTGAAAGGGCAAATGACTCTGATTCCTCTTCTTCTTCCCAGGGCTAATCAGCCCAAACTCTCCCTAGTCCCTTTTTATCCAAGAGCTGGCCCGCATTTTTCATACCACAAATAGGAAAACCAGCTCCTAATTTGCTTAAATATGCTTAAGAATTTAAGAATTGGGGCAGCCCCTAAGTGGGACAATGCAGGAGGCAACCCCAAGAGTCAGCATAATGGCTGGTTATAAGCATCAGCTTTGGAAGCAGACAGACCTAGACTGATATCCCAGCTCTGCCACTGGCTGTTGACTTTGGGCAAATACTTTCAAATCTGAGTCTGTTTTTCTGTCATTTATAAAATGGAGATGGCTAGGAAGATTGATCTTGTCTGGAAGGTGTTTAGCACAGCAACTGGCAAGGTGGACAGTCATCTGTCAGAACGACTTAGGAATAAGCAATGTTGGACAAAGAGGTGGAAGTATTATATTGGAAGGCTGGGGTTGATAAGTATTGTTTTGGTTGACCAACATCTAACCCCATATTTTCTGACTACAGTACTTCAATTTTCCTTTGTAAACCACCCCTCCCCCGACTCTCAATCCAGGAGAGGATGACCCTTGTCTCCCATTCCACTAGGGGGCACCCAACCCAGATCAGCGGGTTTGGTCAAGCAGATTCAGTGGATCTGGGAAAGAGATCCCTACTGCTGGGGTTGGCAGGATATGGACCTGGGGCTGCTGGGGGCCATCTTGTCCCCACAAAGCCAAAGCCTGCTTGAGAAGGAAGCCAATGCAGCCAACAGCAGAGCCAAGGAGAGATAGATTCCTGGCACCATCATTTAACCCCCACCCTGGAACCAGCCAAGCCAAATGGCCTTGAATTTTTTGCTGAAAGGATTCAAATTATAAATTATAAAAGGATTCTGTTTTATGCTTAAGCCAGTTTTAGCATGAACAGGTGTCTGTTCATTGCAGTTAAGCATTTTTATTTAATACAACAAATCCAAATCTAGAAAGGGGGGCAACAGATGCAGTATTGGTGATCTCCAGGCTTCCAGAGGGGAGGGCATTCTTCTTTTTTTTCATGGTGCTCCTTCTGAGCACAGTACCTAAGTAGAGAACCTGAACAAAGCAGATGCTTAACTTTGGAGTTAAAAATGAAGGAAAGATGGAGGGATGGACACAAAGTCACCAGGGGGAGGTGACAGAGGTTAAGATGAAGTCTGGCTTTGTTTTCTTTATCCAGACATTGAAGGAAGGGAGAAATCTGATTGAACCCTCAATCTGCTGTGAAAATCCCCTTTCTAAGATTCCTGACACTTGGTAAGTGCTAGGTGGCTGAATGACTGACTATGTGAATAAAAGAAAGGGAGAAAGGACATATCAGAAACTTAGAATCAAAGCCTGCAAGGGCTTAGAGATTATCTTCACCAACCATCTCAGCGTTATCTCATCTTGAAAATGCTGGCAATATTCACTCCTACTTCCTGGAGTTGTGGAAGGATTAGAGGATACCATGCAAACAAAAGGCTTTGCAGACTCTGGCAAACAATAAATGCTCAGTGAACACTGTTAGTACTATTCAACCAGGGTAACTGGAGCCAATAGGGAGACGGGCTGGGGAGAGCCCTTACCTGTCATTGGGACTCAGGGGGCTGGCTCTGGGCCATTCAGGGGAATACAAGAGTCTGCTGGAACCCCACATCTGAAAAGAGGGAAAGAGAATTATTAGTGACTTCTGAGGTTCCAAGAGGAATGGGCAGCCTGGGCATCATTTCCCACCTAGTGTTCCTGAGAACATCCTGAGATCCCGACGAGGCCCAAACCCCGACAAATACAGGAGCAGAGGCCAGATTAAACCATGACCACTGAAACTGAAGCCCATCAATCCCAAACTGTAAATGTGTGCCCTAAAATCATCACCTGGGGGCCTCCCTGCTGGCGCAGGGGGTTAAGCATCGCACTATGAAGCAATCCGCAGCCTCTGCAGCATGAGTTTCCCCGGCCCACCAGGGAGCAACCCACATGGCGCAGCAGACCTCTCCTGACTCGCCCGCTGCTCCCCTCAGCAGTGTACTTCAGTCAATCTGCCTGTTCTGTTCCCCACTGTCTCTGGTGACCCCTCTCACACACCCCCCCCCCCCGCATCTCTGGCCTGTACTCCAGCTCTTGTATGCATAAATAAATCTTTTTTTTTTTTAAATCATGACCTAAAACTAAATCCCCCAATTTCAACTTCAGAACTTTGGCCTCAGTATGTCAGACTGTGAAATGGAGACCACCAGGCCTGACAACTGTGGCGTGGGATCTGTAAACCCTGACAGTAAGATACGAAAATGATGAGTCCAAACACCTAAAGGTCCTAGAACCCCAAAAGGGATATTCCCAAACCTAAACCCTAAATGAGATTCTAGATGCCACCAACAGTCAACTTCTGATCCCCAAATGACCCCAAACATAGGGTCACAGATCACAAACCTTAACACTGAAACTAAAATCCTGAAATGAGAAATCCAAGTTTCCCCAAAGCAAGCCTCAATTCCCCCAAATTTACCTCAGATCCTAAAACAAAGACTTCTAGACCCCCCAAACTGTCACTTCAGATTCTCTGCCCCAAATCTCATCTCACATGTGCCTCTCAGACCCAGACTCTAAAATACTGGGTGTGGGGAGTCCAGGCTCCACAACTTGATACTCAAACCCCCAAACTGACCCCACACCCTAAATCTCCTACCTCCCACTCTACATTGAGATTCTAGACTCCAACTCTATCCAGAGGCTTCAATCTGCCCAAATCAGAAGCCCCCCTTAGCCCCCACGATACTCCAGAAGGCAAAACGACGACGTCTAGATCTCCAGATGCGGCGATTTGGATTCCAAGAGGAATATTTTCAGTCACAAAACCCAAGTCTCTCAGATTCCGTTATACACAGACACGAAGCCCAAGAGCCTAGATCCTACCTTGAGACCCCGGACTTGAGGTCCCCAACACAGCTCAAACAAAGCTTCTGTACCTCAAACTTGAGCCTGGATCCCCCAAACCAGGCCCCACCTCAGCCCCAAACTCTTGGCTCTGCTGACCCGCCCTCGCCCCCAGAGCTGCATGAGGGGCACCCCGGCCAGGGCTCCCCTCCTGCCGGCTAGAGCCCGCGAGGTCCCCGCCCCACTTCCCTGGGCTCCAGCACCCGCCTCCGGACGTGCACAGTGGCGCGAGGCCCCCCTTCTGGTTTCACGCCAATCCCACGCCGGGGAGCAGGATCAGACAGCGGCTCGCGGCAGTGTGGGGAGTCGGGCTGCGCGCGCGAGCCCTGGGGGGCCCCGGCTGCCACGTTCACGACCCGGTGTGGGGTGGGCGCGGGTCGCCTGGGCGAGGCTTCGGAGCGCGAGGCCGGCTGAGGAGAGTTCTGAGGCTCCTGAGGGCAGGCCACGCCCCCCAGCAGTTCCCGCCAAAGGGTGCTGGGGACAGCGCACGGAGCAGGTGGCCGTGCGCACGCGCGTCCGGGAGCAGCCGGCGTTCCCAGCGCCGCGCCCTCTCGCCTCGCGCCTCGCCACCTGGTAACAGCCGCCCGCGCCAAAGTGCCGGCCAATCAGCGCTCGTCCCGCTGCCCGCCTTTTTGGTGGGCCCCGCCCAGCCCGGCCACGCCTCCTGGCGACGCCAGCCCGGGCCGGGATTGGTGGGGCGGGAGGCGGGGTCTCCCCAACTGCCAACTCCCTGGAAGAAAGAGGGCGCCCGCCAGCCGCCCCCACGCCCATCGCGCCTTTCGGATCAGGGCCCACCTTGTGCCCTGCGTGAGGGCGTTTTGCCTCGGTCTTCTCAGCGTGGCTGGGCAGGCCGGAGGGCCGGAGGCGCCAGTAACAGAGAGAGCGATAAGTGGAGAAATGCTTCAAAGAGGAGGGGGCGTGGGAATTGCCCCTCAGCAGCACACTCCACGTTTGAGAAAGCTCGTTTCACCACCCTTGAGGGGGATGGGAAGCAGCCCCCAGGGGAGGTGATCGAGCTCGCCGTGCGGAGGTCCTGGTCTCCACATCACTTTCTTGTTGTGTCGCAATGGGAAAGCGCTTAATCTCTTTCTGCCTTAACTTTTTTTTTTTTTTAAAGATTTATTTATGCAAGCACAGGGGTACAGGCCAGAAGTGTGAGAGCATGAGAGAATTCACCAGAGACAGAGCAGGGAGCAGAACATATGCCTTAACTTTTATACATTTCAGGTGATAATGCTTTTTATTTTTTATTTGTTTTATTTATTTTATTTTTTATTTTTTTTTAAAGATTTATTTATTTATTTATACAAGCATTGGGTACAGTCAGAAGCGTGGGAGGGTGAGAAAATTCACCAGAGCCAGAGTGGGGAGCAGAACAGGCAGAAGGACTGAAGAACACTGCTGAGCGGAGCAGTGGGTGGCAAGAGAGGTCTGCGCGCCATGTGGGACCCTCGCCGGTGGCCAGGGATCGAACCAGCGCTGCAGAGGCTGCAGGCAGCTTTGCAGCCCAGCGCTCAACCACTGCGCCACCAGGGGAGGTCCTATTTAATTTTTTTAAAGATTTATTTATTTATACAAGAACCGGGGTACAGGCCAGATGTGCGGGAGGGCGAGAGGATCCACCAGAGAGAGCGGGGGGAACAGAATAGACAGACTGACGAAAATACACTGCTGAGCAGCGGGCGAGACAGGAGAGGTCTGCCCCACCATGTGGGACCCTCGCCGGCCGGGATCGAACCGGCACTGCAGAGGCTGCGCAGCTGTCAACCGCCTGCGCCACCAGGGGAGGCCCTCGGGTTATAATTCTTACTAGGGTTGTCCATGGGAACTCTGGCATATAGTTAACATGCAATAAACACTCAACATTTATGCTGTCTTGGGTGCTTGAACAAGAAAGATACACAAAGATGCGTGTCCTTGTATACCCCTATTCTTTTAAAAAAAAAAAAATAGATTTAATTTTGCATACAAGACCTGGGGTACAGGCTAGAGATGCAGGGGTTGAGAGGATTCACCTGAGACGCAGTGGGGAACGGAACGGGCAGACTGACTGAAACACACTGCTGAGGGGAGCAGCGGGCGAGACAGGAGAGGTCTGCTGTGCCATGTGGGTTGCTCCCTGGTCGGCTGGGGATCGAAATCGTGCTGCAGAGGTTGCGGATTGCTTCATAGTGCTATGCTTAACCCCTTGCACCACCAGGAAGGTCTGTACACCCCTATTCTAACGAGGGTGTGGACCAGTTTCTAGTGCTTGGGGCTTCTCTCCTTCCCAGGGCTTAATTTTTTTATTTGCATACTAGATGGTTGTGCAAAGAACACGGGGAAGAGGAGTAATGGATGCTTGGAAGTACAAAGAACCGATAATGAATACGTTGCTCAGCATAAGTAAATCGATAAACTTGCTCTCTCCCAACTCTCCAGCTCTCTCCCATGGGCGTTTGCAGTTTCCCCAATTCCCTTTCCAGGGGCCGGGGGCCAACATGGCAGAGGCTGGACTCCTGTCCCGGCGCGCCTGCCGGGTGCGCTCTCTGCGCCTGCGCTGTCCAGCGCCTCCTCTGCCTGCTGGAGTTAGAGTCGTTCCTTTCCTCAGCCCGCCCCGCTTGTTTCCTTCTCCACCTCCAAGCTTGACCGTGCTGCCTTCTGGGAAGTGTAGTCCGTGGCCGCCCGGACTCCAATTCCCAGTGGGCTTCGGGGCGGGAACCCGGAAGGGGTGGCTGGAGAGGAACGAGTGGGGGAAACCCGCGTAGCCGAGGGAGCTGCAGCGCGGGGAGATGGTGAGAACCCCGAGCGGGGGCCGGGAGCGCTCTAGAGCCGGGGCGGCGGTTTGGGGCCGGGAGGCGAGAGGGAAGAGGCAGGGGATAAGGCAGGGGCTGGACGAGGGCAGACCGCTTGGGGGGAGGGGATCGGGAGGAACGGGACCCGGAGGGAGTAGTGGGAGAATGGGGGCTGGGGAGGGGTCTCGGTGGTGGAGAGGGGAGTCGAGCCTTGGAATGGCTTGTAAGGGAGCTCAGAGCTGGGGCAACGAGTCCCAAGTTGCAGAAGGGACTGGGCGTCCAGGCAGAGGCCCTGAAGGGGGCATTTTCGAGGGGGCTAGCCGGGGGCTTGTGGAAAAGCCTTGGGGGTCAGGGCTGGATGAATGAGGAGGTTTGGAGGCTCCGAGGGAGACACCAGCTGTGAATGAGGCGGTTTGGGTGTAGAAGGGCAAGCTGAGACGGTGGGAGAGCGATAGCAGTGTTAGAGTAGTGTGTGGGTTAGGCTCCAAGACTGGGGGCGGAGTGGATTGAGTGAGATGAGAGGCCAGAATGTAGCGAGTTCGCCTGGTCCAGCCAGGGACTGTGATAAACTGGACAGTCACAGAACTGTAGGACAGTAAGGCCAGAAGGGCCCATGGACACAACCTTCTGCTTCCTCATTTCTGCGATGGGATTTAGAAGAGTGTCCTGGTTAATCTGTACGGGCAGCCCGACATTCTAGTCTCTATTCTGCCACTCCTTTGTGACCTGGGCAAGGCTCCCCTCTTTGAAACTTGGTGCTCTTGTTTGTTTTGTGGAAACAACACGCTACTGAGAACATGGGAGGCTCCACAAGATCATTACTGTTTATGGGAGATCCTTGGCTTCAACAAGTCCCTCTCAGAGCTGCTGGTGGGACGTTCCCTAAACCCAGGAATGTGACTGGGCCACAGGTGATAATGAATTCTCTCCTTTTCAGTCCAACCCCAGGGGCATTTTGTCAGAACCTGGTTGGGATCCGGGCACACCCCAGCTCAGAGTCATACAGGGGCTCCCCACAGTCAATTACAGCTAACACGTACTGTTTAGGAAGTGACTGACCCTGTTCTTAGCTGTGTGTGCAGATTCGCTGATTTAATTCTGACAACACCCCTGAGGTGTAGGTGCTGTTAAGATCTCCATTCTACAGAAAGGAAGCAGGGGCACAGAGAAGTTAAGCAGTTTTCCCGAGGTTGTTCACCATCAAATGTTAGCGCTCTAGCTCCCAACCCAGGCAGCCTGGCCCACATCTGTGCTTTCACCACTGTGATTTAGACACCTCTCCTCGTACTGAAGTTCAGTGTCATGAGTGGGGCCCAGACTTGAGAACTGAGGCAATCTTCAGTTTGAATTTTAGTACTGCCAACTTACTTGCTGTATGACCCTGGGCAAGCCTGGTGATGTCTCCTCCCCTGACAGATGAGATCAGTAATCCTAGGACAGTTAGAGCGTCAGGGAGAGGTACTTGGAGTCAGTGTAAGTTGTCAATTTTTTAGATCATGAATGGGAAACAGGCCTGAGCAAGAGGCAGAAGAGAGGGACTAGTGAGGGGGATATGGCCGCTTTTTCTTTCTCTCCCAGAGCAACTTCATATTCTGACTCTTCTAGCGCCTTGTCCTGTACCCCTTGTCTCCTGAGTCCTGGGGTGACTCCCCAAGGGGATGCTCAGAAACTCAGTCTGTCCCCATTCCCATCCCTGTCCCCAGTTCTAAGTATAAATAATTCATTATCTAGTGTCCAGCCTGGCTCCATGCCAGGTATTTCAGTGAGTAGGAAATATTTTTAACAACTGGGTTCCCCCAACACCAGCACTACCAGCACCACCTCACACAACCTTTTGGTCATTCCCTCCCCACTTGGCAGTTTGGGGATTTTGTCATTAATTTGTCTTGAAACAGTTTGTTTCACTTGTTCTGAGACTTCCGGAATTTATCACCTAAGTTCTGTGGTTAAAAGCATTGGCTTCTGCTAGCCCCATGCTCAAATCCTCACCGCTGCTGCTGTGTGCTGTTGGCCAAGTTCTGTTCCCACTCTGAGCCTTGAGGCTCTCGGAAGGTGTTAAGGAAATCACATGTCTGTGAAGCTCTCAATCGGTGTGCGGGTCTTTTTGTGACCTCTGCTCTTTGTATTGAGTGTGTGCTGAAGCCAGAATGCCCAGATGTGAGTCCTGGTGCATCACCCACCAGCTGTGTGACTTTGGGCCAGTCACGTGACCCCTTTGGACCTCAGCTTCCTCGTCTGGAAAATGAGGGCTTACTCTTGAGTCAGCCATAGTGTAGCACCAGCTGCGGGTCGACACCTGGCCCTGGGGTGCTCACTGCTGTCAGCACCCCTGTACACTTCTGCAGCTCTGGGGGGCTGGTACCCACTTGTCAGGTTTGGGTTTCTCTCTCACTGATCGGCAGGCGGCCTCTCCTGCCAGCTTCAGAGATTTTTAACGCTGTGTCTCTCACTCTCCATGAACTATCTGAAAACCTATTGGTTTGGGGGTGGAAGGTACCAAGCTGTCAGTCGTCCGTGTTTCTTTATGTCCCTTCTGGGCACAACAGGTGATGTGACACTTCCTCACCCACTTTCCTCTATGTGTTTGTCTTAGAGAAAATGTGTCCACTTTACAAGTTATCTTGCCATTTCTTAAAATCTTAAATGTGTCTTCAGCCTGTGCTGGCCTAAAGCGACCTCATACCTAATGATATTTTTATTATTTTCATTGGTGTATTTGTAGCAGCGTGGGTAACACTGAATTATTCCAAAAAGCACAGGTTTTTTAAAAGGTTCGGCTGCTCCTGGATGCCTTGATTAAGAGTAGTCTCTCTCCTTCTCCTGACACTCTGCACCCCCTTCCTTGCTCTGTTTCCCCACAGCACTTGCCACCTTGAAACTTACTGTATTTTTATTGTTCCCCTCTCTCTGGTTAGTATGTCAGCCCTTTGAGGATGAGGGTTTCTGTTATATCTGTCCATCTCCTGTTCCAAAAATATCCAGTGCTCACCACAGTCCCTGCCCATAGTAGTGGCTCAATGAGTAGCTGTTCAATTAATAAGTGAGCCCGTACATTACACTGGCAAACAAATGGTCATATTTTGGTTACTGTGAAATAAAGAGGGAAGAAATCTTTGGCTCTGTGAGTCTCACCTCAGAAGGACACCGGCACTCGTGGCACTGAGCGCTCTGCGTCTTGATCTCAGTGAAGCATTAAGGCTGGTGCGGTTAATTATCTGTGTTTTACAGTGAGGGAAACTGAGGCACAAAGGATTAAGCACCCTGCCTGAGGTTACACCCCCAGAAGTGGGAAAGCTGGGATGCTCTAAGGCCCGTTGCTTATTCTGGCTTTGTCCTGGAGCTCAGATGAGAATTTGGATTGTTCTTATCTGACCAATAGGGTTGGGGTATCGTGACAGGGAGGGTGGAGGACCAGAAACTGAGACCCCTGGTGCCTGAGCATGACCCTGACAGCTTGGACCCTGGGATGGAGCACCTGTGGGCTTGGGATGTGTGTGTGGGGTCCATACATTTGCTCTTCAGGGTTTCCTGCCATGTCTGTCTTCTTAAGTTGCACCCTTAGCTCATTAATGTTCAGTTTTCTCCTTTCTTTGTGCATTTTTGGGGGTGGGTTCTCCCTAGTACCCCCATCAGGGAATTCCTTTTACCTGTTTTATGGGCTATGTGGAATTCCCTTGATCCGCTAGCTTCCTTTTTCTCAGTTTACTATTCATTTGGGGGAAGCAAATCGCCCAGTTGCTTCCTGAGAAGGATTTCGTGTGCATGAATTTTTTTGTGAACTTGTATCTCTTGTGGAGTGACGCTAAGGGGGTGGTGGTGGTGGTGGTGTGATAGAGTCCCATTTGTGTTTGGGAAGATGCCTCTGGCTACCCTGGAAAGGATAGGGCAGCAGGAAGAGTTAACGGGGCCCCTGAGCCCAGGGCAGGGGCTGCAGCAGCTGTGCCTTTGATGGGGGGGCCTCCCAGAAACCCACTAGATGGGGAACTGAGAGGTCCTCCCCCAGGTCAATGTCATTCAACAAGGTTATGACCTGTGTTGCAGGAGGAAACCCCAGGGGCAGGAGAGCCCCAGTAGCTCCAGCGGATGGGGCGGGCAGGTAGGTGCCAGGGCAGCTCCCAGGGGAGGTGGCCTTCTGCCTTGGTTCTGGGAGTAGGATTTCCACTGGGCACGCAAGGTGCCCACAGCAAGTGTGCAGGAGATGGCCGGTGTGGCATTGTTAGGTGATCCTTCAGTCACTGTAGCCCATGCGCATCGCACCCCTGCCATGTGCTGTGTCATCGCTTCTCAGACTTAAATGTGCACAGGAATCCCCTAGAGATCTTGCCGCAGCACAGGTGCAGCGAGTGTTGGGCCAGGCAGCAATTCTGTGTTTTAACACACCCCTGGGGCAGCTGCTGGGAGACCCCACTTAGCGTAGCCAAGTGCTTACTCAGTGTTGTCCCAAAAGCCAGGGATAGGGCAGTCAAAACAAGACCCAGGAATGCCGACCCCCAGGAAGCTTTGATTTTACTGGGGAGAGACTGACAGTGCACTTTATAAGCAAAGATTATAATGTCCTCTATAGTCATACACACTAAGGAGGAAAATAAGTCACGGAAGGAGGGAGTCCATGTAATTTTAAATCAAGGGAGGTTTCATGGAGGGGGTGATTTCAGAGCAAATCCTGGAGTTGTTGAGGTGGGGAAGAGCACTCTAGGTAGGGGGGAACAGAGCGCAAAGACTCTGGGGACAGAACTGGATGACCCAGGCAGAAACTCAGTTTACTCAATAAAGGAAGCTGTTTGTCGCTTCATGAACTCCTTGTTCTCTGTTTGATTCAAAACTCTACCACAAAACTGTCCAGGGACTGCTACTTAGCGGTTCTGTACCTCTGTTTCCTCCTTTTTGGTGGAACAAGATGCAAAATAGTGAGCTGAAGCTGGCATTCAATGTGTTAATATGTGTGAGGAATTTCAAACAAGGCCAGGCTCTCCCCGTGGGTGCTTCAGTGTGAACTGCTGTTGTGCTCACCATTTTCCCTCTAATAAATTCATGTTGGTCACGATTGTTTATTTGAATGTCTGCCTCCTTCCCCATGCGCTCTTCCTGGTGAGCTCAGTGTCATCTCTGGGTTGCCAGCACACAGGAGGACATCTGAATGCCAGAGTTTTTCAAATGCTTTGAGGCTGCTAAGGGAGTCTCTGATTGCAGGGATTCCATCAAAGGTATTGGTTGTGTAGTTCAGATAGTTACTAGGGAGAGAGGTAGTCAGGTTTATATGGAAAGATATATTAAGTTTTCCTCTGACAGTTGTGGAGTTGTCAAACCCTGTCCTTCTGTTGTGTGTGTGTGGTTTTGGAGTTTGCTTTTTTTTTTTTTTCTTTTTTTCTTTTGGTTTATTTTGAGGCCATAGTATTAGGAGCACATATGTTGAGAACTTTTGTGTATAACGTGTCGGTTTGTTTTGTCGCCATCTCTATCCCTAAAATACCTTTTGTTTTTGTCGGTTATTTTAAGTGGTAATGTCATGTCTCCACTTATAAAATATATTTGCCTAATCCGTCTTTTTCCAGTTTCTTTATGGCCAGTCTTTCTGGGTCACAATGTTTTTCACAATAAATGGATCCTCAAGGAGAATTCTCTGAAAACAGACCTAGCATGGGGGCTGGTGTTGTGTGTGGTGGTGGTGTGTGTGTAGAAAGTTCTGCCCACTGACCTCTGGGTGTGAAACAGAGTTTACACTGCCAGTTCATGAGGTTTGGGACATGGAGCCCCAGGGAAGAGAGCTTTGATCCTTCCAGTCCCGTGTTGGAAAGTGCTGCTGGGGACACCACTGTAACCATCAGAGCTTTGGCCCTTCCTCCCTCCCTATAACCACCCCCCCTGCCCCCCGCCTTCACAGTCCAGTGGAGGCGACAGATCCATCGCTGGACAGTGATTACCCAAAAAGGGATGGTTGGGGCAAGGAAACTCAGATCTCCCCGGTTTTGGGCAAGTGAGGGGTTTTCCTGAAGATAGTTCAGGAAGAGCCTTTCTGTTGAAGTTACCTTTGAGCAAAGACCCTAATGAAATAAGGAATGGAGCCATGTGGAGATTTGGAGGGGCGGGGGGGGGGGGGGCGGTGTGTGGGGTGTGTGGGAGACTTTCCAGTCAGTGGGAACAGCAAATGCAAAGATCATGAAAGGGAAGAACTTGGTGACCTTGAGAAATAGATAGCAAGGCCAATGTGGGGGCCCAGAGGTGGAGCTGGACTCAGTCTGGGGGATTCTTGGGGAGTTCTAGCTTCTTGGAGGGGACAGCTGAGCTGAAACCCCACAGTTCCTATAGTGAAACAACATAGCTCAGAGATCTGGAATCAGGGTTCTGGTTCCTGTCCCTGCTCCAGCTCACACCAGTTCTGTGTGACTTTGGACCGGTCAGATGCCCTATCCTGCCTCCGTTTCTTCGTCCATGCATACAGTGGGGTGCTGTTGGCTCCTACTGATGATGATCAGAGAGGGCCCAAAGGATTCTGGCTGTTCTGTATGCTAGATCAGGCGCTCGCCTAGGTCCAAGGATCCTGGAAAAGTGGGGAGGGGGTGCCCGGGGACATTTGGGAGCCAGGCAGTCTCTGAGCCTGTGTTTCATGTTCTTCTCTTGCACAAAGCCTGGGTCGGATTGAAGCAGCCTGGTTGAAAAGGCTGCGATCAGAAGTCTATTTGGCCGCATGGGCTGAGCCTTGGATGCCAAGCCCAGAGGCTTTGCCTCACTGCTGCGGGAGCCCTCACAGGCTTCTGCCCATTTGTTTCTCGGGGTGATCCAGCTCCCCCGTAGGAAATCTCGGTTCCCAGGGTTGCCAACCAAAGCTGGGCACCCTTAGATCTTTGCCCGCTTCCTTCCACCCTGGAGTACCCATTCTTCGCTTGCTTGGCTCTTTAAATCCCAGCTGTCAATCTGGGCTCCTGTTGACAGGGAAGGTCGTGTATTATAAGCCTCTCCTAGAGTGCCGGCGGTCTCGGTCTTGGTCTTGTGCCTCCGTTTTACGAGAAGTTGGGAATTGTTACACGCTCTCTTACACACAGCTGTTTCCACACCCACCTCATCACCTCTCGCCTACTCCTCCCTCTTTCGAAGTTGGGCCCCTTCGCCAAGACTTCCCTTATATGGGCACGGCCCCGAACGGCGGGCGCTCATTGGCTGGGGCCGTCACGCGCGTGTCTGTCAACAAAGGGGCGGAGGGAAACCAGCACCGCCCGCCAGCCCGCAGGGCCGAAGGGTAGGAACGAGGGGGCGGGCCCTCCTGCTTATCATGTACGCATGCGTGTGTGTGCGCCCGCCCACCCTCCCGCCTCGAGGGGGCGGGGCCACCGTGGGCGCCTTCGGGGGCGTGTCTAGAGTTAAGGATCGCTCCGGGCGGGTGGTGGTTTGCGTGTGTGTGTGGGGGGGGCGGTTACAAAATGTGTGGGCTCCCTTTGCATTTAAGCGCTACTTGAGGGGAGTGTTTTGAGTGGGGTTGTGAGTATTTGCGCCTCCCTTGAGCTTGGGCCTGGGATTTGGACACTTGGAATGTGGGAGGTTGGGGTGCGCCGGAGGCATCTCCCGAGGTTGGGGTTCCCCTCTGAGATTTGGGGAGCTAGCGAAGCTACTTCGAAACATAGTAAAGAATGCGAGCATACTCACTGTGGAGCCGAGTGGAGTGAAGTAAATGGGGGTACGTGGATTTGTAGGCAAAATGCCCGGGCTTTGGGCGGCCTCAGCGTCCGTCCACCTGTCTGACTGTCCACCTGTCTGTCCACCTGTCTGACTCCAGACTCGGGTGACCCCCGGCCTCGTCCAGAAACAGGAATGAATAACACCGCCTGCTTCCCAGAGACCTGGGAGGATTAGGAGGAGTTCTGAGAGCTGCCTACTAAGCTTCCAGTGAACTTGCCGTCAACACGTGTCTGCCATTGTATTTGTGAGGCTTGCTGGGGAGTGTTTTGAGGATTCTTTTGGCCTTGAGAAATAGGTGGTTTGGGATTGTAGGTGTTCGGGAGCTTTTGTGTTTTGGTTCTTTTGTGGTTGGAGACTTGTGGAATTAGGGGCTGTATGTGATTACAGGATTTCAGGAAACTGGTCTTTGGGGGCATCTGTGAGGTTGGGACATTGCTGTGTGTCAGTTTTTGGAGGCATGGGATTTGATGCGATTGGGGCCTTCTGGGCTGGAGGGGGTAATTTTAGGTTTGGGAAATTAAAGGTAGGATTGGAGGGCTTCCCTGGTGGTGCAAGTGGTTAAGATGCAGCACTATGAATGTATTCGTAGCCAGTGCAGTGAGGAGTCGATCCCCAGCCAGGAAGCTGACCCACATAGCACAGCAGACCTCTCCTGTCATGCCCGCTGCTCCCCTCAGCAGTGTATTTCAGTTAGTACGCCTGCTATGCTCCCTACCCTGTCTCTGGTGAATTCTCTCTCTCACACACACACCCCCCCAACCTCTGGTCTGTACCCCAGTTGTTACATGTGTAAATAAACAAATCTCTAAAAAGAAAAAAAAGAAGGATTTGAAAGAGTCCGGTTATTTGAAGGTGGCATTGAGAGCCTGGAAATAGGGTAGAAATTGATCAGGGGATTTCAGGTGATCCAGAAGGATGGCATGTTTAGAGAATGGTCTTTGCTGTGTTAGTTCCTGTTCTGGGGTGTTTAGAGATATCTGAATGTACTGTTGATAAACAGCCATCTATAGGAGCTATGGGGGAGGGTTTTTTTTTTTTTTAGATGTATTTATTTATATAAGCACTGGAGGGGTGTGCGGGAGGGTGTGCGAACTCACCAGAGCCAGAGCAGAGAGCAGAACAGGCAGAAGGACCAAAGTACACTGCTGAGGGGAGCAGAGGGTGGCAAGAGAGGTCTGCGCACCATGTGGGACCCTTGCACGGCGAGCTGGGATCGATCTGGCACTGCAGAGGCTGTGGGCAGCCTTGCAGCCCAGCGTTCAACAGCAGCGCCGCCACTAGGGAGGCCCTGGTTTTTTTTTTGTTGTTGTTGTTGTTTTTTTTTAAAGCAAGGAATTAGGGGTCTAAGAATTTTTTTTTTTTTAAGACTTATTTATTTATTTATTTATTTGTACAAGCACTGGGTACAGTCAGAAGCGTGGGAGGGTGAGAGAATTCACCAGAGCCAGAGCGGGGAGCAGAGCAGGCAGAAGGACCGAAGTACACTGCTGAGGGGAGCAGCGGGCGGCAGGGGAGGTCTGCGCGCCATGTGGGACCCTCCGCTGGTGGCCGGGAAGCAGCCGGGGAACGAACCGGCACTGCAGAGGCTGCGGGCAGCTTCCCAACCCAGCGCTCAACTGCTGCGCCACCTGGGAGGCCCTAGGGGTCTAAGAATTTGAAGGGTCGGTGGAATTAGGGATTATGGGGAGTAAGCTTTTTTTTAGGATTAGAGCTGTTACTGGTGTTTAGAGGCTATCTGGATTTTGAATGGTGTTCATGTCTCCAGGACTGTAAAGTAAATGGGGAGGGTATGTGGATTTATCTGAACTATGGGGATAGGTAGACTTTTTGCACCGATAATGAGTATTTTAGGCTCTGCAGGCTATCTGTCCTCTGTTGTAGCTACTCACTTCTGTCACTGTAGCATGAAAGCAACCATAAACAGAGGAGCACTTTTTTTTAAAGATTTATTTATTTATGCATACAAGAGCTGGGGTACAGGCCAGAGGTGCAGGGGGGTGAGAGGATTCACCAGAGACAGAGTGGGGAACAGAACAGGCAGATTGACCGAAGTACACTGTTGAGGGGAGTAGCGGGTAAGTCACGAGAGGTCTGCTGTGCTGTGTGGGTTGCTCCCTGGCCGGCTGGGGGATTGAACTCGTGCTGCAGAGGCTGTGGACAGCTTCATAGGTTGCGTCTTAACTCCTTGCGCCACCAGGGAGGCCCCCCAAAAGAGCACATTTCAATAAAACTTTATTTGCAAAGACAGGTAGTGGGCCAGATTTTGAGTCTCTTGCCTTAGTGTGCTGACTGCTGACCAGCCCTCCCTTCCACCCTAGGCTATAGGCATGTGAAAGACTTAAGGGCCAGGAGCTATTTTGTTTTATGTATGTATGTATGTATGTATGTATGTATGTATGTATGTATGTATAGAAGAGCTGGGGTGTAGGCCAGAGTGCAGGGGTGGGGGGGTGAAAGGATTCACCAGAGACAGGGTGGGGAGCAGAACATGTGGACTGACTGAAATACACTGCTGAGGGGAGCAGCAGAGAAACAGGAGAGGTCTGCTGCACCATGTGGGTCAGCTCCCTGGCTGGGGATAGAACTAGTGCTGCAGCAGCTTGTGATAGCTTCATAGTGCTAAGACTTAGCCCCTTCCGCCACCAGGGAGGCCCCAGGAGATTATTTTGGTTTGCTGAAGTGTGGAGAGGAATGGGCCAGGGAATGACTGAGACTCTGGGATAGACTGCCTCCAGTGGAAAATAGTGAAATTGGGCTGTGTAGCAAAATGGCCTCCATCAGATCATGCATACAAAGTTGTTGTAAAATAAAATGACTGTTACTAAGTGAACCCTGAATGGGAAAATCCAGAAACCAAGTTTGAGGACCTGGTTTTGTTCTATGTATGCCTTCTCTACTCTGAGCCTCAGTTTCCTTGTATGCAACTTAAGGAGGAAGCTGGACTGCAGCAGGTCTTCGCCTGGGGTTGGGGGCTGTGTTTGGGGGAATTACCTGCACAGACATTTTTATGGAGCAGGACACACAGCTTTAGAGATTATCAAAGAGCCCAAACAAAAGAGCAGGTTTCTCCAGTGCCTGTCTGGCTCTGACCTCAGATTTTCTGACCCCACCGAGCCTACCTCGTTCCTCCCTCCGGGGGCTCAAGCAGCCGGAGCTGTGGGCAGGGCTGGGAATTCTTGTCTTTTCAGGAACTGGCTACTGAGTGAGCAAATAGAAAGAGAAGTTGCTGTCTGGCAGTTGGTACTTGCACTTAGGATTAAAGGTTATGGCCGCAGGAGGCCTGTGGATGGTGAGTGAAGGCAGCTGGGTAGTGGAGTTTGAGCTGTAGGGTTGGCGTCGGCGCCCTGCTTGGGGTGTTAAAAGAGCAGGTCACAGCCCTTCTGCAGCCCTCCGTGTGCTCACCGGTGGGATGGGAATTGAGTTCTTGGTGGTCTGCCCCTGCGGGAGAGGTTGAGGCCAAGGAGACCCTGGGAGGGCTGGCGATTCCCCCAGTGCCCCAACCTCCTCTTCCCTGTCTCCAGGTAGCCTGTGCAGCTCCCCACCAGCCAGGTCCTGAGATTCGGTGAATCCCTGCTTGTCTGCCACCGTCCCCCAGAATGGACCGTGGTAGCCTCCTGCCCTTCCAGCTGTGGTGCCCCAGGCCCTTCGGCACCTACTCCCAGAACCAGCCACGCCCACCTTCTGCAGCTCTCAAGCCTTCAGCCTGCTCAGAGCCAGGCAGCGGGGCTGAGCCAGACCATGGACCTGCCCTCTCAGAGAATACACCACCCACCTTGGCCACGGAGGCCCCGGCCTCCCAGCCTGCCCCGCTTCTGTCAGCAGCAGCAGCCGGCGACGAGGGCCGCGTCCTCCTGGACACATGGTATGTTATTAAGCCCGGGAACACGAAGGAGAAGGTAGCCTTCTTTGTGGCCCACCAGTGTGGTGGGAGCAGCCGGGCCAGCTCCATGAAGGTCAAGGGACACTGGGGCAGTGACAGCTCCAAGGCCAAGCGGAGGAGGCGCTGTCTTGAGTCGACCAAGGCCCCACCGGACCCAGGGGGCCAGGAGGGGCCCCCTGCTGCTGAGGGGGCCCCGGCCTCAGCGGGTGAGGACGTGGACCTGCTCTCCGTGGCGGAGATGGTGGCCCTGGTGGAGCAGCGGGCCGCCCTGGCCCTCCAGAACTACCCGCGCCCTGGTACCCCAGCACCCGTGGTCTTCGTATCGGCTGAGCAGGGTGGTCCCGCCAAGGGGCTGGGGTCTGAACGGCGGGCTGGCGGCGGGGACTGCAGCCGGGTAGCCGAGGCGGTGGCCCATTTTGAGGCCCAGAGAGACAACCCTCCTGCCAAGGGCCTCCGCAAAGAGGAGCGGCCTGGGCCTGGCCCTGGGGAGGTGCGTATAGCCTTCCGGATCTCCAACGGCCGGGAGCCTCGTGCCTCCGATGGCAGCATGCCCAACGGGAGCGGGGGCCGCCCGGGTTGTGCCTACCCTGGCAGTCCAGGGCCCGGGACCCGAGCCAAGGACAAGATCACCTGTGACCTATACCAGCTCATCAGCCCTTCTCGGGACGCCCTCCCCAGCAACGTGGAGTTCCTGTTGGCCAGGGCTGATGAAGCCAGCGAGGGTGAGACCCCAGCCCAGAGCAGGCCTGAGGACACGCCCCCAGCCCCCCCTCCACCCCCTGCCCGGGACTGCGGGGCCTCAGGCTTCCACGTGGATGTGGTGGTGACCGGCGTGGTGGACGAGTGCATCTTCTTTGGCAAGGACGGCACCAAGAACGTGAAGGAGGAGACCGTGTGCCTGACAGTCAGCCCCGAGGAGCCGCCTCCGCCGGGCCAGCTCTTCTTCCTCCAGTCCCGAGGGCCTGACGGGCCTCCCGACCCCCCTCCCGCTGACTCTCCAGCCGCGGCATCAGGCCCAGATGACGCGGAGGCCACAGCGGACACCTCCCTGTGCCGCCTGTACCGGCACGTGTCGCACGACTTCCTGGAGATCCGCTTTAAGATCCAGCGGCTGCTGGAGCCACGGCAGTACATGCTGCTGCTGCCCGAGCACGTGCTGGTCAAGATCTTCAGCTTCCTGCCCACGCGGGCCCTGGCGGCGCTCAAGTGCACCTGCCACCACTTCAAGGGCATCATCGAGGCGTTTGGCGTGCGCGCCACGGACTCGCGCTGGAGCCGAGACCCGCTCTACCGCGATGACCCTTGCAAGCAGTGCCGCAAGAGATACGAGAAGGGCGACGTGTCGCTCTGCCGCTGGCACCCCAAGCCCTACCACCACGACCTGCCTTACGGACGTTCCTACTGGATGTGCTGCCGCCGAGCGGATCGCGAGACCCCCGGCTGCCGCCTGGGTCTTCATGATAACAACTGGGTGCTGCCCTGCCACGGGCCGGGCGGGGGTGGGGGCCGCGCAGGCCGGGAGGAAGGGAGGTGAAGCCGGGGGAGGGGGGGGAGAGCCCACCATGCCCACTCCCACCCCCTCCCCCGGGGAGCCGAGGACCCATACCCCAGTCCAGACGCGCTCACCCCTGCCCCCAAGACTGAGATGAAGTTCAGGGGGGTGACCCAGGAAAGCACTCTGACACACACCCCCAGTTGGTTTTCTACTCCTCAGACCCAGGGGCACGGACCCTTGAGTAGGGTGTTTTTTATCAGCATCTCAATTTCTCCATTTAGCCTCAGTACCCTCCCTGCCCCTCGCGCTACCAGGGGTCCCCAGCAGGGAGCAGATGGCAGCTAATTTTAGTACTACTTAAGGGTTTCCCCACTTGGGCCCCCTTTCTGCTCACTCCCCCATCTCTCTCTGGCGCTGATTTTCTCCCAAGAGGCTACATCCCCAAAGTTGGTACCTGTCCATTTAATGTACCATGCCAGGGCTCACTTCCTCATGAATCGGGGGCCACTGGGTCACAGATCAAATTGAGCACGTTTCATGGCCATTTCTAGGTGTTTCCCCATTAAAATAAAAATCGCTGTTTTCTTCTTACAAGCTACCAGTCTCCACTTCCCCCAAGGGGAAGAGAAACAAAGTTGGCATATAGAAATTCCCTTCCTCCTCCCATTATTTAAGCTGTTGCTCACTCTTCTCCCACCCCCCAAAAAAGCTGTGAAGCCCTCCGCCTCGCTTTTGACAGCGTGGGGGGGCCGGTGGGCAGGGACTGTGGGTTTGAAATTCTGGGTTTTTCCTTCCATTCTGGGCACTTGTTCAGGCACGGGGTCCCTTCTCCCCAAGCCACCTGTGTTTCTTTAGAATCCTCTGGTCAACGGAGACCTTCCTTTTCAGGCAATTTGCTCTGGGGTATTTTTGTTTGTTCTGTTTGGGTTTTTTGTTTTTTTTCACCATTGTGGTTCTGGAAGCTTCTAGAGTGTGGCATCTGACCAATTTTGAATTGGTCCTTTCTATAAAATCAATATTTATAAGCCTGGGCCCAGACTGGTTTGTGTGTTGTTCAGGGAAGGTTTGGGAGAGGAAGGAGTCACGGGTCTGTGCATGGTGGGATGGAGCACAGTTTAGCCAGCCGATTCTTAAGCTGAGATTGTGTTTGAATTTCCGCACCTGTGTAGTTTGGATTCAAAGATCTCTGAGTAGTAGTAGCTTAAACAGCGTAGCTTTTATTTAGAAGTCCAGTGTCGGATAGGTCATGGTGGCCCTGCAGTCATCCAGAACCCAGACTCTCCAAGCTCAATTCAGGACACACTAAGCCAGAAACTTAAGGGAAAGAAACGGAGGCCCTGAAGCCAGTTTTTACTCCGCGGGCGTTTGCTGACGTGGACAACTCAGGTTTCCTATCTGTAGTCTTACTGGGATGACCAGGCAGAAGTCATGGCCAGAGCCCGCCAAGGCGAGGCATCCACAGGAGCTAGGTGCCGCGGACCAGCACAGCAGTAGACGATGAGGCCACCTCAGGGTTGAGAGAAGCGTGCAGGGTGATCAGGGCGTCGGTGAAAGAAATGACAAACAGACACACTTCAAGAGTGAAAATCTGAGTGTAATTTTCTTTGAGTTTGTGACCAATATATATATGTTTTCCAAAAGCACAGGGACAATGAATATCAATGAAATCAGCTTGCTCATGGGCTCAGTCTATCACCATCAGGGAGGTGATCTACGTAACAAGCAATGACTTTTATAGAAGAAAGAAGGAAGTTTAGAAAGACAATAAGGGATAAGGTTATTTAGCATTCTTGTAGTGGTTCCTGGTGGTCGTTATCTTTTGATAAGCTTCTGTCTTTTCAGGGAGCTTCCGCTGTACTTCCCCTGCTTCAGGGTGTTATGCTGTTCTCCCCCTGCCCGAGGGGAGCCCCAGGCCAAAGGGAAGGATGAAAGTGGGCCCTGAGAATTTGGGGTCCCAGGCTGGCCCTTGCCTCAGGCCTGCAGCCGGGTTTGTATCGCCTGTGCACTGCTAGCTGGGCTCTCGGGCAGAAACAGACATCAAATGTGTCGGGAAGAGCTGACACTTAGCATCTTCCACAATTTTTCAGATAATGACCATAAGCAGCACCCAGACAGATGGAAATAAAGCCGCCTGAGCCAGACCCCAGTGAAGGCTTCAGATGGTAAGACCACCAGTCATAGATGTTAATACAAGAGCTTGGAAATACCTGCAGGGAAGCCAGGGCTAAATGATGGCCTAGCGGAGATGAAAGAACACACACACACCGTAACCGGAAGTGAAAACGCCATGGCTGGCCTAAGCAGCAAGTCAGACATAAATGAAGATTTATTGAAGTATAAAGTAGGTCTGAAAAATAGTACAGAAATCCCCTCGCAAAAAAATACATAAAAGGTTATGGAAGATGGAGAAAGTCTGAGACAATTGGAATTCTAGAATCAGAAGAGAAAGCTGCAGAGGTAATATTTAAACACACGATGGTTGTGAGTTCCACACTGGTAAAATGATACCACTAAGCCCAACGAGTCAGGAAATTCAAAGAACTGTACACCTACCACATTGCACTGAAGGTGTCCGGCTGCGGGAAATTGGGCAAGTGGTTTCTCTAAAGCTCAGTTTCCCCTGAACAATGAGAATACTGACAGCCCCCCCAGAAAACTGATGTGCGAGACATCACATTGAGATTGCTTGACATTGCTCATCAAATACACCATCATGCAGAGCTGGGGGGGTGGGGAGCGGGGGCAAGTTTGGGGAGTTGAGGAAAACACTGCCCAGCACCACAGCCTCATCTGTAAAATGGAATGAACAATCCTCGTCCCAAGTGGAGATAGGCATCGGCCCCTGCCCGGTGCATTCAACCAGCGTGTCCTGCGGGGAGGCATAAGGGCTGGGTGTGGAGCTGAACACGGAGCCTTCCCTCTCCCAGAGATGGTGGTTTCACTATTTCTGGGAGCCCAGGGCAGAGCGTGCACTTGAGTGCTTGACCCTGTGTCCCTGTGGGTGATCCCTGTCAACCTCCCTTTCTGATGTCTGGACTTCTGTCAGCCTCACCTCTAAGAGGCCATTCATCCCCCTGCCTCAACCTCCCTCTTGCTTGCAGCCAGTCTCAGAAGGGGCTGCTTTTGGTCAACAACTTGTTGGTCCAGCACAGCTGATTTTTGGAGAGAGGTAAGGTGGTAGCCCAGCTGTAGGAGAGAATCTGGGCGCTGTAAACAACTACTTCATAATTCTCAGTCACAAAGTGTAACCAAACTGGACCTAGCTCAGGATCTGGGGATAGTAGAGAGGGTGGGGGCAGGGCGGGGCCTAAGTGAGTGAGTGTGTGCAGAGTAGTTCCTGACACATTCTACAGCTGTGGCAGGTGAACCAAGGACCTTTTCCAACTGATACTCATCTGATACCCTGAGTCTCGGCCCATGAGCCTCCTGAGGCTTCAGCTTTGAGTTGGCGCTAGGGATGGTGCTAGAAGGTTAATGTTCACTCTCACTACTTAATAACCCTGCAGCCTGGCCTGGCATCCTGCTGCCAACCAAGTCTCCATCAGTCACACAACCAGCAGGCACAGAGCACAGGTAGGACCCCTGTTTTTTTTATACCACCCCCCATTCTATGGAGTAAGTTTCCTAAGCAGCTATGAATGCACCAAACCCTATCCATAAGGACAGCGTGCCCCAACCTGTGCTCATCCTTGTGATTCAATGCGTCTGGATGAGGCCTGGCAGTCTGCATTTTTTAAATAAGCAGCCCAGTTGAGTCTGAAAATGAAGGAGGGCTGGGAAATACTAGCAGTTACACCCACCATTGCACTCTTGTTCTCATGGCTGAAAGACAAAGAATGGTTTGGTGTAAATAATTTGCAGAGAATCTAGGTCTGACTTGCCCATTCTGAACACCAACGCACTCAAACTGTCAAGGTACCTTCTGAGGTACCTTGCTTCTCTGAGTGCTTTCCCCATGGTGACATACTTTGGGGGAAGACCGCCTTTTGTCTTAACCTTGACAATTCACAACGTACCGTGAAGAAATTCAATGTTTCACCCCGCCTCTTTGATCTCTGCCAGGTGCGCCTCTCTGAGAGTCCGTGGGACAGACTAGAGGCCCAGATACTCAGCCAGGAACACAGCGAGGATGCGGCTCAGGTTGTGTACCGTGGGTGGGTGGAGGTTGGCCTCCGAGTCCTCCGGTGTGTGCCAGACGACAGGGAAGGGCGTGGCGATGAGGTGGAGCACCGGGACCCCTGCAGGGCAGAGAGGAGACCTCGGGTCAGGCCCAAGCTGACCTGGGACACCCGGCCTGGGTCACCAGGCTTTGCCTTAACATGGAATGGGGAAAACTCCATTCTGGCGCATGAAGAACTGATCGGCAATTTTAAGGGCATGAGGGTTGAGGGTGTATGTCAGTTTAAAAATAGAGCCATCATCCCTACTGTTTTCCTAACACAAATGGGAGAAACTCAGAATTTCATGGATTGTACAAAGATGAGAAGTGGGGGAGACACTGGTACCTCCTGCCAGGCATGTGTTATTTAGGCTCTTTTCCTTGCCAGTGAGCACTACCAGCTACCTAGTGCTGTGAGACCACACCCACACCACTTCCTCTACCCTGCCTTTCTGGGGAGCACGCGAACTCCCCTGCTTTATCCCACTTGACAGACATGGACCCCAGGTAGAGGCAGGCAGAGCGATCGGCTGAAGATCCCCTCCAAGTCTCAGCACACTCAGAAATTGAGCCAAGGGCACCAGGCTCTGTTTGCAGCGCCTGCACCAAATCGGGATCCCTGCCTAAGAGCATTTCCTTCTGTGTCAGTCCAGATTTGCTAAATCCCAGCCCCCGCCCAGCTAGACAGGAGCCAGGTGGATGATGGCCTTCATGTACCCTTGAAACCTGGCTCAGTCCTTGCCTGAGTGCTTGCTCATTGATGGACTCAATAAAGAAGGCCTTGTAAGGGCCTATTTGTTGAATGAGTAAGTGATAGAGTAGAACATTTAAAAGCCGTCCCCAGTATCTACTCTATGCCAAGTGCTGTGTAAAGAGGCATTTTATATGCCTAATCTTATCTGCCCTGCCCTGCGATTATGACAATACCCTTACACATGTGCTTGTGTGTGTCCCTGTCTTCATTTTCCAGAAGCAGTGAGGGTTTGGAGAGGCTAAGTAATGGGCTTTCATCAACTGGTGGGAACCCAGGCCTATGCAGTTCTAAAACCTATGGTGCACCCCTCTACTTGATGTCTTTGACCTGGCTGCACCTCAGAATCACCTGGGAGTTTTGTAAAAATAACTCAGAGGCCCAAGGCTGTGTTTCAGTGGGCCTGAAATGTGTCCGGGCCTTTTCCGATGGTCTCAGTTCTCCTGGACCACCAGGGCCTTGAAAGGCATGAGGTAGAAGGCACTCTGCAGTCATTAGGCACGAACAGAAATGCCAACATTCCTTGACTACCTGATGGGTGCCAGGCCCTGGTCACGGTCTTTACGTGTATTTGTGCATTCAGTCCCCTCAGCACTGAGGTGGGGGTGGGGGTGTGTGCTGGAGGAGAAAAATTGAGGCATAAAGATGTTAAACAAGTTGTTACCAGTTTGCAGCTTGGGGAAGGGGCCAGGACCAGGACCCTTCGGTGGCTTGGACAGACAGATGTGCACACACGCACGCATGCACACACGCACGCAGCTGGTACCTCTGCGGAGGAAGGGGATGTGGTCGTCTTCCACGGAGCTGATGGGTTCCCCTGGCTGGAAGTACATCACTTCCTGGGGATGAGACTGTAGCAGCTTTAGACGGTGCAGGCGCTTCTCTGGAGGTGGAGGGGGTTAGAGAGCAAAGGTCACCCCTCAGGAATCAAAGGTTTCCCTGCTCATAAATCAGCGGAGGGCAGGAGGACTCTGGGTAAGGCACTGGTCCTCCCAATAAGAAAGAACGAGGCTTACTAGGCTCCCAATCTCATCTAGTCTCTCTGAGTCAGGAGGTAGATATCACCATCATACTCATTTCTGGAAAGGAAATTGAGGCTCAGAGAGATGAAGCCATTTGTCTAAGTTCCTATAGCTGTAAGGAGACCCAGGATTTGACCCAGGGTAGTCTGACTGTAATCATTACATTGACCTCAGAGGGATCTACTTGTTCCTGCCCTCCTAGGTTCTCGGAGAGAGGCTAGGAAAGTAGGGGGAAGGCTGGATGACTCCTACATGCTCAGGTGCCTGCCTCAACTGGTCCTCCCTATCCTCCTGTACCCCATACTGGTGCCTGCTTCCCCCTTTGTGCTTACCGATACTCCTCAGACGATGGAACCAGCGGGCTGTGCGAGGGAAGTGACTGTAGAAGGTCGGATTGGGGGCCCCCAGAAGATCAAGAAGCATAAAGAGCTCCTAGGGAGAGAGGCCAGAACTGGAGTTGCAACCTCGCTTCCCCCTCTCCCTCCCCTGCCAGAACCCAGGGGACCCTGGTCTTACGATAGCCTGGATCCTGGTGGGGCCAGGACTGTGGGGCAAAGACTCCATGAGCCGGGCCAGATGCCGGGAGCCATACAGGGAGTCCTTGGGTCCCCACTCCTTTAGTGCCTCTTCACCGTCCAGGAAGAGAAGCTGCAGGGTCACGGGGGCTGCCTGCAAAACCAGTGGGCAGGGCCAGCTCAGTGCCAGCCTTGACCCCAACCCACCCACATTTCCTGCCTGCCTGCTCAGTAGACCTGAATATAGGTGTCTCCTTAGTCATTCAGGGTAGTGGCCAAGAGTACGGACCGCACCAGAGTGCCTGGGTTCAGATCCCGACTCTCCAGCTTCGTAGCTGAGTGGTCTTGGGTAAGTTACTAACTTCCCAAAGCTTCACTTGTCTCATCTGGAATGGGGTTAATCATACTTCTAATCACAGGGTAGGCCAAGCCAGGTTCTAGCACAGTGCCTGGCCTATAGTAACTAAATAAAGGTCAGCTCTGATGTTGTTGCTATTCCTCAAGCTTGTTTAGCAAAAGAGATCCATAAGTAAATATAGATGAATAATTATGCAGACAGTGAAATGCAGTTGAGACAAATGCTTCCCAGAACTCCAGGGTCCTGCAAGAGCATAGGAAGGGGGCGGGGTGCGTGTGTTGAGCCCGGGGTGCATGTTGAATTTGCTGGGATGGGGTGTGGATACTGGGGGTATGTAAAAGCTGACCTGGCAAAGTGACACAAAGTGTTCCCAGCAAGGGAGCAACACGGAGCAAGGTTAGGGTGAGAGAAGGAACCAGAGAAGTCAGCAAGGGCCACAGCTCAGGCTTCGTTACAAAGCCACTGGGGTTAGAGCCATGGAGGGGGTCGGAGCAGGGAGGGGCACCAGGAGATTGAGCTTTTCATTCATTCATTCCTACATTTTGATTGACATCTTATTTTATGCCAGGGAGTAATCTGGGCTAAGGGTATGAATAAAACAGGAAACAAAAGCAGCCAAGTCCCTGATTAGAGGGAGCTTATTGTAGTTGTGGAGACACACAAATCAACACAAAGGATCAGGAAATGGGGTGGTGATGGGGAGATATTTTAGGGTGGCTAGGAGGGCCTCTTTGAGGAGGTGACATTGGAGTGGGCACCTGAATGAAGGGTCGGGCAGACAGCTGAGAAGAGCACTTTCTAGGTAGAGCAATGCCCTGAGGTCATTCTCTAGGAACACAGAAGAGGTGGGTGGCAGAATTGCAATGAGCAGGGGGAGAGACTAGAGAGGTCACAGGGGTCACCGAAAGGACTGGATTATGTTGGGAAGGAGGTGAGAGCCACAGGAGGGTTTGGAGCAGAAGGGGGACAGGACTGCAGGAGGTGGAAAGATGCCAGTGGCCATGTGTGTAGAGTAGACACAAGATCAGAGACACAAGGTGGTGGGGGTAGGTGGCATGAACCAGGGCAGAGGCAGCCTCCCCCCACCCCCGCCCCGCCCCACCCCGCCCCATCCCTCACCTGTTCCTTGGCTTTGCTCAGCTCCAAGTCGAGGGCCTGGGCCAGCTCTAGTAGCAGGGCACAAGGCACAGCTGAATCCGTGGCCCCCACAAAGGGCGCTGACCCAGATGGGAAGAGCTTGGAGTCGTAATGGCAGGCAAGGGTGAGGTGACTGGCAGCCCTTGGGTCCAGTGTGGCCACCACATTACCAAAGTTCAGTGGCCCCAGGGGTGTCGAGGCTGTGAAGGGGTCCAGCTCCACATGCCAGCCTGCTGTCAGGGTCCGCATGGTGGCCTCCAGGAACTAGTGGCGAGAGAGGTGGGAGGGTGGGGAGCACTGGGGAGGAGGTCAGAGAAGGGCCCGGTGACCTGAGCCTTACAGAGCAGTTATGTTGAGTCTGCAGCCCCACTTCGGCTTGCATCACTCCCTCGACACATTTCTGCTGCGCGCCTGTGGAGTGCCAGCAGGATGTGACCCTGCTGTGTGCTGAGCTCTTTTTAAGATTTACTTATTTATTTACACAAGAGCCAGGGTACAGGCCAGAGGCATGGGAAGGTGAGAGGATTCACCAGAGCCAGAGCTGGGAACAGAACACACAGACTTACGAAATACACTGCTGAGGGGAGCAGTGGGCACGACAGAAGAGGTCTGCCCCGCCATGTGGGACCCTGGCCGGCGGGCCGGGAATGAACCAGCACTGCTGAAGCTTCGGACAGCTTCACAGCGCAGCGCTCAATGGCCTGTGCCACCAGGGGAGGCCCCCGAGCTCTATTTTTTACCCCTGCCGGGTAGGGTTTGTAATGACTGTTTTGCAGATGGGAAAAGTGAGAAACAGCTTAGGAAACAAGTCCAAGGTCACAATTTAAGTGACCAGAGGTGGGTTTGAACCCAAGCAGTATTCAAATGACTCTCCATGCTTTCTGGGAGGTGACATACAGATGACCCAGGACCATTTCTGGAGCCAAACTGTTTGGGTTGAAACCCTAGATGCACCATATATTAAGGATGGGATTTGGGCAAAATGCCCAGCTCCTGTGAGCAAAATCACCCATCTGCACGATGAAGAGCTCCTTGGATCCCACCTCATAGATGCTCGCTGGTCATGTAAGTTTGGGGAGGGGGCGGGGCCGGGGGTGGCAGTACAGAGGGTGGTATGGCCTGGTGGTTACCAGTGCGGGATCCTGAGAGTCACATTAGCTCAGCTCTGCTTCCTAGCTCCTTTGGGATTTTGGGCAAAATGCCTGTTTACTATTTGCTGGCAGGCTGGGATGTCAGGGAAGACGGAGGGGCTCTTTACCTTTCGCACTTGCAGATTGCCAGGGCTGCCCGGATTCCGCACAACCAGCAGGGGGCGCAGATAAATGTTCCAGAGACGCTGTGGGTCCAGTTGCCCCACCACCTGCCGCAGCCGGTCTTCTGGGAGGCTGGAGACCAGCGGGGTCTTGGGAGAGTAGGATGGGGAAGAGAAAAGTAGAGCTTGACAACAACCTCCATTCTGACCCGACCCCAGTCGCCATCGCCCCTAAGATGCTCCAGTTGCTCTTTGCAATCGCGGCCTGAGCATCGGAGGTTTCCAGGGTAAATTCTAGGCTCGAGACCGTTCCCCAAGTCCATCCAGCCCAGCCCGCCCCGATCTGAATGGGGGAACAGAGGCCCAGCGACAGGAAGGGGCTCTTCCAAATAGTTAACTTTAGAGTCAGAACACAGGACTGTCTCATTCCTCTGGATCCTTCCTCTCAAGGAAACTACTGCGGAACAAACCCGAAGCCGCCTTCGGTCGGCAACGGGCATAGGCTCCGAAGACAGAGACGGAGGCAGGTGCGGGGAGGGCCTGAGAGAGGCCACGTCAACCTAAGAAACCAGAAAAGCAGAAGTGGGGAACCTGGGTCCCCGCGGTGCCCGCGTCCCCGCCCGTCCTCACCCGCAGCTCCCGGCCCGGCGGCAGCGCGTCCTTCCCGCCGCGCAGGCCGCTCCAGACGGTGTACAGGGCCGAGCTCACGCCCAGCGCCAGCAGCAGCGCGGGCAGCAGGTGCGCCCGCGGCAGCAGGCGGCGCCTGGGCTGCGACGGTGTCTCCAGGAGGCCGCGCTCCCCGAGCCGCAGCCGGGGCCGCCCGCGGCCTCCGGGGCGCATGGCAGCTGCGGCCAGAAGCCGGCAGGGGGCGCGGAGAGGGCTCGGGCCCGGCCCGGCCCCACCCCGCAGGGGCGCGGCCCGCGGGCGCCAGCCCCCCGCGAGCAGCGCGGCCGGCGGGGCCTCCGGGCCTGAGCACTCGCTTCGCCGTCTCCCGGGGTTTCGGGGTCGGTTCTCCCCGGCGTTGCACGATCCCGACGGGAGCGCGGAAGGGGTGGGCCCCGCCTCGCCGGGCGGGGAAGCCAATGAGAAGCGGCTGGTCCTGGACAACATTCGCCCCCGGACGCAGGTGCCCGCCCCCGCCGGCGCGGGCGCGGGATTGGTCGGCCCCGCGGAGGGAAAGTCAACTGACCGCCGCGGCGCGGCCGGGGGCCCTTTGGAACGGCGCCGCCTCTCCCTCCTCCACCCTGCGCCGTGGTGCGGCGAGATGGCTGGCGCCGGCCCGCTGTCTCGCCCCCTCCATGGCGGTGAGCGTGGCCCCGGCCGGCTCTGAGCCGGCTCCAAGCCCCGCGCCGCGGAGCCGGGGGGGGCGGGGTCGCTGTGGCAACAGGCCACGCCCCCCTGGCTGGGTGTGCGCACGCGCCGCGGAAGTGGCCCGCGGGAAGCGGAAGTCCCGCCCCTCGCGCCCGCTCTTCCCAGGCCGGACAACGCGGTGGAGACGAGAGCGACCCGGGAGCGCAGCCGCCGCCACCATGTGAGGCCGGGCGAGGCTCGGGCGGCGGGAGTGGGCTCGGGGCTGTACATGTAGCTCCTTACGGGCGGAAGGGTGTGGGCAGAGGTTTTCGGCGACGCGGCGCACTCGCCTCCTGAGGATTGAGGACGGCCGCGGGCCCGGTGGCGGGTCCTGAGTCCGGGGAGGGCTCAGCTGCAAACGTAACGGGCCCGTTACTTGCCGTTGGGAGGGGCTGGAAGGCGCGGCGGGTTTCTGAAGACGAGCCTGGAAGAGGGGAGTGCGCACTTGGGGAAACCGGCATAGGCTGTGGGACTTAACCGCATGCATTGCTCTGGAGAAGGGTGGCTTTTCGGCCTCGTTTTGCGACTTTTACGGATAACGAGGCACCCGAATGATTTTCCTTACTCAATTATTTATTGCCTGCTCATCTAACAAGCCCTGCTTTGGACGCACGGGATACAGGGGTGAACCACCCCCCACACCCACCATCCCTAAAGCTCCTGCTGCAGCCTATGGGATGGGGAGAGGCAGACAATAAATATAATGATAATAAACAGGTAAAGTGGACGCTGTGTTAGGTGACCGGGGCTATGAGTAAAGAACTGGTAGAGCAGGGCAAAGAGTACTGGGGAATGCCAGTTTGGAGAGACTAACTTAATAACTGGTACAGAAAGACACTTGAGCGAAGATCTGAAGAGAGTGAAGCTGGGGGGTGGGGGGGGAATGAGGTGCATTGCAAAAACTTGGGATTTTACTTTTTACACTGAGGTGGGGGTTATGGGAATGAGAGGAGGTGACAGACTTTGGCATAATCCCTGGTTCTACTCTGTGGCAAACAGAGTGTTGGGGAGCAGAGTGTTGTGGGAATTGCTGACAGATTGTAGGATATGAGGAAAAGGAAGGTCAAATTGACATCAAAGTTATTGCTCAAAAGGTTTATAAGGATGGGGACTCCCTGGTGGCACAAGGGGTTGAGCACCACACTATGAAGCTATTCGCAGCCTCTGCAGCACGAGTTCCATCCCTGGCCAGGGAGCAACCCACATGGCGCAGCAGACCTCTCCTGTCTCGTTGGTGGCTCCCCTAAGCAATGTGTTTCAGTCTGTTCTGTTCCCCACTCTGTATCTGGTGAATCCTCTCACCCCCCACATCTCTGGCCTGTACCCCAGCTCTTGTATGCATAAATAAATCAATCTTTAAAAAAAAAAAAGGGTGTATAAAGATGGAGCTTGCCCCATGAAATGAGGAAAGCTATGGGTTGAGTAGGTTGGCCTGGTCAGGATACCTGGAGCTTACTTTAGGACAGGCAAGGTTGACTGTGCCTACTAGGCATCTGGGTGGTGATGCCAACAAGGAGTGCTGAGCAAGAGGATGTGTGTTGGGGGAAGGTGGAGACTGTTCTCATAGCCACCCAGGCCTCTCTCACCAATGGGATCTGTACTTTCCTGCTCAGGAGCCTCCTCAACAAGCCCAAGAGTGAGATGACCCCAGAGGAACTGCAGAAGCGCGAGGAGGAGGAGTTTAACACGGGTCCCCTCTCTGTGCTCACACAATCGGTCAAGAACAATACCCAAGTGCTCATCAACTGCCGAAACAACAAGAAGCTCCTGGGCCGTGTGAAGGCCTTTGACAGGTGAGTGCCCGGGCTTTGGCAGTTGTTCTGTCCAGGTCTAAATCTAAATAAGTAGAGAGAATAAGTAAATAGAGAATAAATAAGCAGAGAGAAACAGCTCTAGCCCCCATCTGAAGAGTCTGAATGAAAGGTGGCTCAGACGCCTCGGCAGAAACATCTTAAAGCCCTGAGGTGTTGTCGGGGTCTCATGGCCCCTCTGCGTGTGAAGCAGAGTGGGCAGGTTCTGGGGATCCACTCTGGGTTCATGTCCCAACTCTGCCTCTCAGCAGGCCTGTCACCTTTGGCAAGTTTTTATCTCATCCTTAACGTGGTCATTGCAAAGATTGAGGACTTGAAGATGTGCAAAGTATAGTAAGGCACAGCAGGCGTAAGTGACACATACATGACATGTAAATCACATGTCCTAAAGAGAAGGGGTGATAAATCCTATGAAGAAAAGTAAAGCCATGTAAGAGTGTGGAGTACTGGGAATGGGGTGCTATCTTTATTGGGGGTAATTGGAGAGGCACCCCATCAGAAGAGGCAGAACAATCTAGGGTCTGAGTGCTTCACGCAGACGAAGTATCAAGTGATCTCTCCTCAATGGGCCTCATAACTATACCCCTCATAGAACAGTTGTGAGGATTTAACGATGGTCTGTGTGTTGCTACTTGGCTCAGACCTAACAGGAGATACACCCCATAAACATAGAAGGGGATTACATTCCTTGCAGTAGTGTGAGGCTCAATTCTAGAACGTTTTTGCCACTAGCTACTACTATGTGGCCATGAACAAGAATTTTGCTCTCAGCCTCAGTTTCCTCTTGAATAGATTGGATTAAGAACAGAAGAAAGTGCTGAGCAAATGGGGACAGAGATACTTGGATTTGAACACAGACTGTGCCACTGCCAAAATCTGTGCCCTTGGGTGCTCAGTTTCCTGCTCAGAGGCTGAGGATGACACTAGTGTTTACCTCCTGGACATGAGATATAAAGGATTGATGGATTAATGCTTAGAAAGTGCTAGATAGGGGGCCTCCTGGTGGCTCAGCCGGTTGAGCACAGCGCTGTGAAGCTGTCCGCAGCCTCTACAGCACCGGTTCGAATCCCGGCCGGCCAGGGAGATGCCCACATGGTGCGGCAGACCTCTCCTGTCGCACCCGCTGCTCCCCTCAGCAGTGTACTTTGGTCCTTCTGCCTGTTCTGCTCCCTGCTCTGTCTTTGGTGAATTCTCTCACCCTCCCACGCCTCTGGCCCATACCCCAGTGCTTATATAAATAAACAACTCTTAGAGAGAGAGAGAGCGCACATGCTAGAATAGGCCTGATAGCATGTAAATGCTCAGTGGGTGGTAATTATTATAGATTATATGTATGCATGTATATTTGAATTTGTAGGTACACTTATTTATTAAGATTTTTAGATTTTTTTAGATTTATGCATACAAGAGTTGGGGTGCAGGCCAGAGGCACAGGGAGGTGAGAGGATTCACCAGAGACAGAGTGGGGAGCAGAACAGGCAGACTGACTGAAACACTGCTGAGGGGAGCGGTGGGGAGACAGGAGAGGTCTGCTGCGCCATGTGGGTAGCTCCCTGGTCCGCAGACAGCTTCAGAATGAGAGTTAACCCCCTGCACCACCAGGGAGGCCCCATGGCAGCTCTTGCGGGTCACTCCCTAGGAAAGATGAGCTTCCTCGTTCTTGATTTTTTTTCTTTTGAACCACTTGTTAATATTTACATATTTTGTTTTCTGCTTCCTTGTTTTTTCTTCTGATTAATTTTGCTCCATCCGCTTTCTTCCCTCCACCCGCACCACATCCTCTGTGTCCCCTAGGCCCTTTCCCTCGGCCTCCCTCTGAAACTCAGAGCCATCCGCGTTTTTATTACTATCTGCCCGTTCTTGAAAGTGTTTTCCTTATCGACACACCCGCTCTGTAGATGTTGAGTGTTTGTTTTTTCGTGCCGACTGCTGCACAGGCTGCTCTCCAGCTCTCCGTTTCGTTCGTTCTTAAGGTTGTGTAGTCCCCCGTGGCGTGGACAGACCACATCTTGCCCCCGTCAGTGGTGGATGTACTTTGGCCACATTCACCCAGTGCCCTCCTTAACAGCCGTGCTTCCTCCCGTCCCGGCTCCCTGTGCCTTTCTCCTCTCCGGCAGTGCTTTCCCTGAGCTTCTGTGTTTCTCTCAGCAGCGACCACCGCTTGGCCGTGTGCTCACGGGGCTCCTTGTTCACGTGTTCCATGTTCTCCTCCCCTCACTAGAATGAGCACCCCAGGAAGGACAGGGGTGTCGTATCTTTTATTCCTTTTTTTTTTTTATAGAGGCATGCTTTATTTATTTGTTTGCTGGTTTGTTTGTTTGTTTTGTTTATACATGCACTAGGCACAGTCAGAAGCGCGGGAGGGTGAGAGAATTCACCAGAGCCAGAGCAGAGAGCAGAGCAGGCAGAAGGACCGAAGCACACTGCTGAGGGGAGCAGCGGGCGGCAGGAGAGGTCTGCACGCCATGTGGGACCCTCCTCCGGTGGCCGGGGAGCAGCCGGGGATCGAACCGGCGCCGCAGAGGTCGCGCGCAGTTTCGCAACCCAGCGCTCAACCGCTGCGCCACCGGGGAGGCCCTCCTTTTTTTTTTTTTAAAGATTTATTTATGCGGGCCTCCCCTGGTGGTGCAGCGGTTGATCCCTGCAAAGTTGCCTGCAGCCTCTGCAGCACCGGTTTAATCCCCGGCCACCAGGCGAGGGTCCCACATGGTGCACAGACCTCTCCTGCCGCCCGCTGCTCCCCTCAGCAGTGTACTTTGGTCCTTCTGCCTGTTCTGCTCCCCACTCTGGCTCTGGTGAATCCTCTCACCCTCCCGCGCTTCTGACTGTACCCAGTGCTTGTATAAATAAATAAATAAATCTTTAAAAAAATATATTTATGCATACAAGAACCGGGGTACAGGCCAGAGGTGTGGGGGGTGAGGGAATTCACCAGAGACAGTGGGCAACAGAACAGGCAGATTGACCAAAATACACTGCTGAGGGAGCAGCGGGTGAGTCAGGAGGGGTCTGCCGTGCCATGTGGGTTGCTCCGCAGCCAGCGGGGATCGAACCAGCACTACAGAGGTTGTGGACAGCCCCACAGCGCTGCGCTCAACCGCCTGCGCCACCAGGGAGGCCCCCTTTTATTCCTTGGTGTGTTCATTGCAAGCGTTTCGATTTGCTGATCCACACTGTCCTCCCAGGGGCCCCCCTGGCACCCTGAGGATGGACAAGCAGGACTGGAGGCATCACGTGGGCCCTGCAGCCAGGGAGCCTGGGTCTCTGAGAAGAGCGTCTGTGCTGCCGCCTGCAGAAGTCAGGAGCGTTGTAAACACACACAGGGACGTTCTGTTTGCCTTTGCCAGTGCGCAGTCCTGATCGAAGCACAAGGTGCACTGCATGTATTGGTTTATTTCATCTTCACACCAGCCCTCTGAGACATCCCCACCATGAATGTCTCCATCGTGGAGAGGAGGAAACTGAGACAGACGTGTGAGGTCTTTTGCCCACACCTCATCCTGCGGACTTGCGGCAGGGGTCCCTGGCCTGCGCCCCACACTGCTGCCAGAGGCGGGAGGCGATGCTTGCCGGGGAGAGGCTCCAGAGGCTCCCCCTCACTCCCGGTGCCTTTCTCCCACTGTCCCCACCAGGCACTGCAACATGGTGCTGGAGAACGTGAAGGAGATGTGGACGGAGGTGCCCAAGAGCGGCAAGGGCAAGAAGAAGTCCAAGCCGGTCAACAAGGACCGCTACATCTCTAAGATGTTCCTGCGCGGGGACTCGGTCATCGTGGTCCTGCGGAACCCCCTCATCGCCGGCAAGTAGGGCCTCTCCCTGCCGCCAGAACGCACGCCCTCGCCCGTGAAGACCTGCCCTTTCTGATGGGAATAATAAAGTCCTGTTTGTTTGTTTTTTTTTCCCCCAGTGGCATTTGTCTGTTCCTGGGCCGTGTGCATGGGGGTGGGCTCCAGGGTGAGGGGCAGATGGTGCGGGCAGGGGGCTTGGCATCCCCCAGCAGGTGAAGAGGCCCTTCCCTGGCCTGCGAAGGGAGTGGGTTGGACAGAGCTCTCGCCCTCTTGCAGTTTCTGCCTCTCCTAGCTCCTCGCTCCTGCCTCTCTTCTAAGTCGGTCTCAGGATTTCCTGCAGTCTTTTTCCTTTGCTCGGTCAGCACACGTCTTGCGGGTGCTGCCCGTGGGCCCAATGCCGTTCAGACTACGAGCAGCTCTGCACAGGCCTGTAATGTCACCTCCATTTCCAGAGGCAGGAATCGAGGTACGGGAGGTGGTGATTCCCTGGGGGCCCCCAGCCTCTGAGCCTGGGGCTTAGCCCCTGAATGGTGCCCCTCTGGTTACAGCGGGATTACCCTTGAGAGTCTGTCAAACACGGGCCTCTAGACATGGGAGAGGGGTGGGGAGCTGCCTTTCTATGGGGGATGAAGGAAGATGTGGCTGGCTCTGATGTGCACGCGGGTGTTCTCCCCCCCATGTCTCTTCTGTCTGCGTCTGGCTCTCTGCTGTCTGGATGGGCCTGAGGCTGGGCAGCTGCAGGAGTTGACGGGGTCAGATGAGATGTGCTGGCACCTGAGTGGGGTGCAGCACAGCCTGACTTGCCTGTGAGCCCGTTCATGGCAGAGCCGGGACCATGCCCTGGGAGAAGTCCCGGCACGCCCGGAACAGCAGCTGCGTGCCCGCGTTTACTTGCAGCAGCCGTCCGTGGGGCAGAGCCTGGAGCTCGCCCCTTTTACAGATGAGACTCCTGAGGCCCAGAAATGGTAGAGGACTGTCTCAGGGCCCCCATTTATGACATGGTGGAGCCAGGCCCTCGGGAGCAGGGCCTGCATCTGGGAAGTGGGGCAGGGGCACTGGCGCAGGGGACCGCTCCTGTACAGGAGAAGGGGCGTCCCCGGCCCTGGGGCGGCAGGTCATACCCTGGGTTGGAGTCCCCTCCCCTGGTGGTTGACTTGTGCGCCCCCAGGAAACGGGAATTGATGTCCCAAGCATAGGGGGACCATCATGATGTCCATTGTCCTGAGGAAGCTGAGGCACCCAGGGGTGGGGGACTTCCCTGTCACAGCTGACCGGTGGCTGAACTGAGATTGGAAGCAGGCTGCTGCATGCTGTGCCGACTTCCCCGAGAAGCGGCCCTCAGGAGGCGTCTGGTACACACACGGTAGCTTTAATGGGAGTGGGGTACATGCAGGTTGTGTCAGGTCACATGAACATGCCTCTTGGGGCCTGGGGCAGCGGGTGGCTGAAGCCGAGCTGCCTTGTCTCCCGCCACTCAGCCTCGCCCTTGCTGTCGTGCCTGCCCAGAGGACAGTTGGCTCCTGCTTCATGTACCAGGGCCCCCAGAGCCACAAGGGGGTCTCAGCAGGATCCCAAGCTTGAAGGACTCCTGGATACATGGTTCAGGAAACTGGGGATGCTGAGAGAAATAATTGACAACACCGAGGACTAGCCGAGTCTTGTCTGCATGAGGGTGGATTGAGAGGCTCTTGGGGTTCACAGGTGGGCCAGCCACAGTGAGGCTGCCTGCTGCCTAGTACTACGGGGCTGCTGGGAGGGTGGAGGTGTGCAACTGCCCTTGTCCTGCTGGCCACGGCCTGGCCTCTGGCTGTGTGGAGGCCATGCCTATATCTAGGCATGGAATCCTGTCTGGGCCCAGGGAGCGCTCGCCTTTCTGTGTCCAGGCCCGCCCTCTCCCCCGAGCTGCAGACCCCTCCTCCTAGCTTATGTGCAAAGAGGACTCCAAGTGCTCCCCACCCTCCTAGTGCTCCTCTCTCCACTATCCCACACGCGGGGATGGTCCTTGACTTCTCTGGCTGCGCCTTCCTCATGGTGCCCCATGGGCAAATCCTCTCATATCTACCTTTAAAATAGCCCCGAATCCAACCCCTTCACCCTCTTCCGCGGCTGCCACCCTGGCCCAGCCACCAGCCTCCTCACCGAGCTCCTGCTCCCCCCACCCCCCAGTAACCTGTTCCCTGCCCTGGAGATGCCTTCCCCAGCTCCCTCATACGCCTGGAATAAAATCCCAAGTCGTGCCCCTGCCAGCTTCTCTCTCCTGTTGGTTCTGACTCAGCACGCGTCACCCTTCAGCCATGCAGGCTCCCTCTCCCTCAGATCCCTTCTGCCCCGGGGCCTTTGCAGGTGCTGTTCCTGCAGCCTCCACCATGTCTTGCCTTTCTTCCCAAAGCTGTTTCTTTCACTTTCTCAGGTGTGGCTTAAATGTCAGCTCCTCCATACACCTCCTGAGACCACCCCAGGCCCCTTCACCCCCTCCCCCCAATTTTTCTTCACAGCGAGTATTTAGCTTGTTTGTCTCCAAGGTCTGTTCCCCCCTCACTTGTCATCTCCGGGAGGACAGGGGCCTGGCTTGTTTCCCACCCCCACCCGCCTTTCCCCAGCGACCTCCACACCAGGCCTGGTACACAGTGGGCGCTCAGCTAACGCGTGCCAACTGGGTATACCCGCGAACCCCACGGCCTAGCAGTAACTTTCCGAGACGCGGCTGGCCTCATCCCCAGGCCTCGGGAGGGTCCCCGAGGACAGGGCGCGGCCGGTGGGCACCGGTCCGGGGCCGGAGCCGGAGCCCTCGGGTAGGGTCCGCGAGGCGCGCTCCCAGGCCTGGCGCTGCTCCTCGCCCAGGCGGCGGCGCAGGCGGCAGCGGTGCCAGCTGCGGCGGATCTCCGACTGCACCTGCGAGGGCACCGCGCTCAGAGGCTGACTGGCGCGCCGTTCCCGCGGGGCCGCCAGAGGGCGCGGGGCCGGCCGGGCTCCCTACCTCCTTGTTGATGAAGCAGTAGAGCACGCTGACCAGGAAGCCCTGCCAGGGAAGGCTGCGCGTTAAATCCGCGTGGGGCGGGCTCATAAGCACCCCCTTAATGATCTCAGAGCCCCGACAGGCCCCAGACCATCTCAGCTGCCGCCACCCGGGTCCTAGAACTGCCGCAGCCTCCTCCAGCCCGGCTCCCCGATCCCCCTTCGCCCTCACAGGTCCGCGGAGCCATGGGGCTGGAGGTTAAGAACAGGGACCCCAGGACCTCCCCTGGTGGCGCAGCGGATGAGCGCTGGGCTGCGAAGCTGCCCGCAGCCTCTGCAGCGCCGGTTTGATCCCCGGCCGCAGGCGAGGGTCCCACATGGCACGCAGACCTCTCCTGCCGCCCGCTGCTCCCCTTAGTAGTGTCCTTCATCAGTCTGCCTGTTCTGCTCCCCGCTCTGGCTCTGGTGAATTCTCTCACCCTCCCGCGCTTCTGACTGTACCCAGTGCTTGTATAAATAAATAAATAAATAAATCTTAAAAAAAAAAAAAGAAAAGAACAGGGGACCCCGAAATTAGGCTGCCTGGAAGTGATAACCTCTTCTCCATTCGTGCAAACTGCTTGACTCCTCTGCGCCTCAGTTTCTTCATCTTATATAACCATATGCATTAATATAGTGATGTATATTAACATTCTAGTGATGTATATGCTCTATATTGTATATAAAAATATACGTGACCACATATATATTACATACTACATTATATATAAAATATACTATAGATCATGTATGATATCGTGTGTATAACATATAGCATATAAATATGTAATACAATGATATTAACATGTTCATGTATACGAAATACATTTAAGAATTTGTTACGTATGTCGATATGTTTTTATATATGAATTTAAATGGAAAATGTCTTATAGCTATAATTAATAATGACTTGACAATACAAATCAATTATGTGTATGTATTATTAGGAAAATGTGATCTTATTGTCACTTTCCTTGATCCTGTTGAACTAACTCTGATCACGTCCCGTGGCTGAGAGCCCCGCAGTGGCTCCCGCCTCATTCAGAAGAAAAGGCTAAGTCCTCACCTGGCACCAGGCCCTGTCTGGGTCCCTCACCCCTCAGTCCTATCTCCCCCTTGCTCCCACACCCCCCCAACCCCCCGTTTCAGGCCTTCCTTCATCGTAACACGTTCTCTCTCCCATCTCAAACATCTTGTATCTTGCATTGATGTTTCTCTTCCGGAAACTGCCTCACCTGTGCCTCCCCGTTGGGCCTCGCTCCAGTGTCTTTTTTTTTTTCTTTTTGTGGGACCCTTGCCGTCGGCCAGGGACAGCCTCGCAGCCCAGCACTCAACCACTGCGCCACCAGGGGAGGCCCTCGCCCCAGAGTCTTCTCAGGGCGGCCTCCCCTCTGTAACCTGCCCTTCTCTGTCTATGCCTCACCTCCATTTTCCTGCCTCCCCCTGCCCCCCAGGCACATGGCACCATCTGCCATCCCGCGTGTCTTAATTGCATGGCATGTTGAATGTCTGTTTCTCCCGTACCCACAGCAGCGTCTGCCAAATCTAATGAATGAGCGGCCTTGTGAGGTGAAACTGGTAATGTCCCCACTTTAGAGATGACAAAACTGAGGCCCAACAAGGTAAAGCATGGTGGGGATTAGGGTAGGACAAGCAAGGGCAGTGCCAGTCTTAAATTTGGGGGTGATCACCTCACATTTTGCACCTTAGGCACCTCACTTGCTCATCCTCACTCCAACCCTGTGACAAAGGCCACAGAGCGGGGAGGTGACAGAAGTCAAATGTGGCCCTGGTCCTGTCCGGCCTCACAGCCCGCCCTCCTTCTTCCCCAGGAGGCAGCTGCTGGGGCCAGCCAGTCGCCCGCCTTGGTCCCCTGAAGCTTCCCCACCCAGGACAGCACTAACTCAGTATTTCCTGTAGAATGAAGGAACAAAATCCCATCTAAACCACCCACTCAGGGGCCGCACCAGAGGATGATTAGTCTCCTGCCTCTCTAGGCTGAAAGGGCCCAGGTTGAAGGGTGTACCCCCTACGCCCTTGAGCACCTGGAAGGAGCTGAGGAAGATCTCAAAGCCAAGTTTGGCAAAGCGCAGGGTCCCCCGGGCCTGTTCCTCTGTCACAGGAGCAAACACCATCTCATGGACGCCCAGCAGAGGCACCAGTGTCAGCGTGGAGCGGGCCAGCCTGTGGGTAAAAGGGTGGGAGTGGGCCTGTGGCCCCAGGTCCCTCATCTTGGACCAGGCCACCTCTCTCTCAGTCCCTGTGACCCTCTCTCACCTCAACCGGTAATCAGGGCAGCGCATCTGTCTTGTCCTCAGCTTTGAAACAAGGATGCCAAGAATACGAATAAAGATGAGGAAGTTAATCTGCAGGGAGATACAGAAGCTGAGGACAACCTGGATCCTGTCCTAGCAGGCAGAGGGTGGTACCCAGATTCCCTGGAGGGGAAATCCCTGGGGACAGCCTGGAGGAGGCAGGGTTCGCCGTACCAAGATGGTCAGGAGTATAGGGGTACGAATGATCCACCAAATGGCCTTGACATCATTCCGCTCCCAGCACCTGAGGGTGGGGGAGTAGAGCTAAGAGAAATCCCCAAGCTCACCGGATCACAAGCCCTCCCGCCAGGTCCCGCCCACATTATTGAAAGCCACACCCACAGTCCTTTAAAGCCCCGCCTGCTGCTATCCAAGTCCCGCCCTCACCCCGCCCCTGCCAGTGGTCCCCAAAGACAAGCTTACCAAGCTACCCATTCCTTCAGACCCTACCCAGGTCCCCTCCAAGCCCCTAGTTGCCATCAGAAGCTTCCCACGTTTCCATCACACCCCGCCCACATCCCGGACCCCACCCCAAGCCCGACAACTCACTGCGTGTTCTCGTACAGGTACCTGACGATCACCCAGGGAATGACGAAAAGCCCGGGGGCCCCTGTGCAGACCCCGACCCCCGCCCCCCACCCCGCCGCAGCTGTCAGCGCGCGCACAGGCACCGCCAAGCCCAAGACCCGAGGAGTTCTCCCGCCCTGGTGGGGAGGCAGAGGCTGGAGCGGGGAGGAGACCCCCTGAGGCCGCCCAGGTCAGTTGGGGGAACAGTGACGTGCTGGGCTGGACTGGGAACAGGGTCGGGGCTCACCCCAGCCAAAGAGAAGGTAGCAGCGGAAGTGGCCCCCCTCAGAGGCCCCCACCAGCACCAGCAGGCTGTGCAGGTAGATGCCTTCTACCAGGAGCCACGTGTAGTTGGCGCCCACGCAGTACTGGGTCACGATCTGGGCCACGCGGCAGGCAGCCCGGGCCTAGGGGCGTGGCCAGGCATGGGGTGGGGGGGGGTAGAGGCAGGTAGGAACAGGTAGTCAGGACCACCAGGGTGCTCCCAGGCCTTCCTCCAACTAGTTATCCCTCCACCCCCAGTTCTTGCCATCAAGAAAATCTCTCACTGGACATTCTCGCAGATATGAATTTTCCCTCTCCAACCTCAGTATCTCCCCTCCTGCTGGTGTAGTTCCCCCGAGACCCCTAAGTTTGGCCTCTCCCATCCCTTCGCCTAAGAACTGAACTCAACTCACTGGTTTCTCTCTCCCCCAACACATGACCCCCCCCAACCCCCCACCCCCGCTTGCCCCATGGCTTCTCTATCTCTGGTGTGGCAACTTGCAGGCCCTCACCCCCAGCCCTGGTCTCTCCCAGCAACAATTGGTATCTACCAAACCCTCCCTTGACCAGTTCATTTCTTCCATCCTGTCACCACCTCATCGCCAGCAGACCGAGTCTCTCATTATTGGAAAAGTCCAAAACAAAAAAAAAAAAAGCCCGAAGATGGGTGAGATGATGGATAGAAGAAATGGAAACTTCCAGTAAAGGACAAGATGGGGGAGAACTCAGTGCTGGGGGACGCTGGAGCTGGGAGAGGTCAGATGTTTGGAGAGGTCAAGAGAAAGAGTTGAGGGGCTTCCTTCAACTGGGGGTTAAGGCACAAGGGGTCAGGGTTCAGCACTGTGAGGCTAGCAGCAGCCACTGCAGCATGAGTTTGAGCCCTGCCAGGGAGCTACCCACATGGCACAGAAGACCTCTTCTACCTCACCCGCTGCTCCCCTCAGCACCCTATTTCAGTATATCTGCCTGTTCTGCTCCCCACTCTGTGTCTGGTGAATCCTCTCACCCCCCCCCCAACCCTGGCCTACACCCCAGCTCTTGTATGCATAAATAAAAACATAAATCTTAAAAAGAGAGAGAGAGAAACAGTTGATAGGAGGTAGCACGGGGACTGGGAACCTACTGGCCCCACCAGAGGAGGCAGCTTCCCAGCTGAGGAAGAGGAGGGTGACACACACCTGGTTCCACAGGGTGGGGCCATGGTCCCCAGGGTAAGGACCCGGGGGAGGTAGCAGCCGGTCTCGGGTGAGGATGGCTGCCGCCCGCAGCATGAAAGATGTGAACAGGTTGATGTGGATGTAGTTTCGGGTGCAGCGCAGTCTCCTGGGGGGGTATGGAAAGCAGTCTGGGGACCCTGGAGACCTGCCCTTGGCCACTTAGAGCCCCCTGAACCACCTCCATCCCTTTCCACAGAACCACCATCAGATGCTCGTTGCTGGAGAACCAGTCTCATGGGGTTAGGGATCCCACCTGAAGACAGTCAAGATGAACAGGGCTAGCAGCAGCGTGGCAAGGGACAGGGAGTAGCCGACAGTGTATACAACCTGCAGCCGCTCCAAGATAAGCTTTTGGTCCTGGTGGGGGGAAGGAGGCCAGGAGACTAGAGGTCAGCTCTCCCCTAAGGTTGGAAAGGGGCCCAAGGAAACCTGCAGTTCCTGTCCTGCACCCTAGTTTTCTCTTGGGGATCCACGCACCCATGTTTCGCTGAGACTGACTCCACACCTCAGCTCCAAGACCAGCCAACCAGAAATCTGACTCCTCCCAAGCCCAACACTTGTTGTTAAGTGTGGGCATGAACAACCACATACTGATTAGATGAGGGGCCACCTATGACCCAAACTAGGCCAATGACTAGCCAGGCCTGGGACATTATGTTGGAACTATTGAGAATGAAGCTCAGTCTCCCCGAGTGTGTTTTGGTTGGTGCTAATGGGAACCACCTTTTCCACCGTGAAGAAAAGATGAGACTAGCAGCACAGAGAAAAACAGGGCCACAAAATGGTGAGAGACAGAGATTCCCCACCACATGATTTGAGCACCTAGATCCAGCTGTGCCTGAAGCTGTTGCCTAACGGTTTTCAGTCACAGGGGCCAATAAATGCATTTTCCCTCCTTCTCCTTCAAGGAAGTTTGAGTTGAGTGTCTATTATCTGGAGCCCAAAGAACAGTATTAACAAAACGTTCAGGTCATCACAAGGCAACTGCTCCCCTGCCTGTCCACCAACATCCTGACCGGAATCCCTCACCTCTTCTTACCTGAAAGGCTCCATTCTTGTCTGGGTTCTCACACTGCGAATGGTCTCTCCACGGGCCCCACTGGCCATCAATACCACACTGGCGGAGGACAAAGCCTGCAGCCACTGTGGGTAAACAGGGAGGGGGTCAGAGACACAGAAAGAGAAAGCTGGAGGCAGGGAGACAGACCTGAGACCACAGCAGACAGCGAGAGCGAGCGCCAAACATGGTGATGATCAGCCCTTACAGAGCATTTATGTGTGTTATAAGTCTGTGAAAGCCTGTGAACTGGTAGTATAATCAAGCACATTTTACAGAGGAGGAAACTGAGGCAAGAAGAAATGAAACCGCGACAAGCCACACAGCCAGTTAGGGAAGGAAGACCAAGATGCCCAGAGACTTGGACAGAGGATTGGCATGTGGCAGAGCCAGGTTTCAGCCGACCCATACAAGACGGGACAGATGGAAGGAGACACCCAGACAGAGAGAAGCAACAGACGGGGTGCAGGTGAGCCACTTCAGGGGAGTGGTGTCTGGGACAAGGGTGTTTGGGGAAGGCCCGGGTCCGGGGGCACCTCACCATGACTGTGCCAGGGCAGGTACCAAGGGCAGGACGCACGGGCAGTGGCATTGGGCGTCGCGTAGTCCCAGCAGACGTACATGTCGAAGGACCCGTTACAGGCGAGGCCTGGGGGTGCGTATGGGGGCAACTGCGGGTGGACCCCCAGGTGCTTCTGGGTGTTCCACATACAGCCCCTGCCCTGGCCTCGCTCACAGTTCTTGGTCCAGGCTCTGCTCCACCAGGGCTCTTCCCACAGCCCAAAGCTCCCCCCCACTGGCTCCAAGCCTCCTCCCATAACCCAAGGCCTCTTTGGGCTCCCCAGTCCCTCTCCGGGCGCCTCCCACCTAGCCGGTACCAGCCGCAGATTTTTCCCACTCGAGGCTCCACCCCAGCGCCGCCCCTTGCACGGCTCGCTCCGGGCCCGGCCCAAGACTCCTCCCTCCTCAAACTTCTTCCGACCAGTCGGTGTCAAGCCCGTCTCCACCGCGCTCAAATCTTCACCTCACCCCCGGCCTCCATCTACTTCTCTTTCAGACCCTGCCAGGCAGCCCTGGGTGCGCCCCGAGACCACCCCTCTCCCTCAGCCCCCCACACCTGCGGGCGGCTCCGCAGCCTGCAGCGTCTCCCGGCACTCCCTGCGGTACCGCTCCCAGCGCCGGTACAGCTCCCCCGCGGTCTGCCCCGCGGAGTCTGTCTATGAAAAGAGAAGGTAGGAGCACCCCCAAACTCCCCCCCCCGCCCCCCGTCAGCTCCAGGCAGAATCGTTCCTGGGCCAGAAACCCCAGGGCTGTCCTGTTTGGCCCGCTAGTCTTGGGTGACAAAAACGGCTTCTCAGTCTTGAGGGGTGCCTGGAAACCTTCAGGGGAGTTACTGAGGGCACTGAAAACCTTTAGGAGAACCAGGGAAATCAGCAGGAGACTGTGGCGGGAGGGGAGGAACTGGAAACAAGTCAGCATTGAATTCGGGCACGCAGGGCAGTCTTAATTCTCTCTGCGGTGGCAAAAGACTTAAAACCATCCCTGGGGCCCCCCTCCAAGCCTTGAACTCCTGTGGCTCCTGGGGTGCTCACCTCCACCCTCTGGAGCACACCCCCCCACACTGAGAGCAGCATTAGCAGCCTCCAGCACGCAGAGCTCCCCATGGTGAGGCCCCGGGCATGGGCGCAGAGGTCTGGTCACCGGCAGGAGCTTCTGGCCTGAGGGTCCAAGGGCAGAATCAGGCTTTGTCCTGCACCCCCAGTCCAGGGCCACTTGGATTCATACCCGAGGACTTGCAGGCAGCGCCCCCACCCCAACCCCCAACTGTGATGAATTTGGGGAGGGTGGGAAGGGCGCATAGGGAGTGGGCTAGGCCAAGATCCCAGCACATGATTCCAGGCCACCCCGCCGACTGCGGCTTGGGTGGCAGCAGCGCGGTGGAAGGGGGCTGTTTGCTGAGGGTGCCCTTGTCCTAGAGCTGCGCTGGGCGGAAGCGCTAATGTCACTGAGTCTAGATCTCCAGACGCTGAGGAATCTGGAAACCGCCTTGGAGAAGAGGGACAGACGCTGTCAGCCACAGCTGGGGAGAGAGGACCCTCAAGAGTTTCCAAATCGCAGAAACCTGATCTTATAAAACCTTCCTGGCTGTGGCTAAAGCCCAGGATAATGGAGCAACCCTCCCCTGAGGGACCAGAGGGGTGACACACCTGGATGCCTGGAAACCTGCCCAACCCCCAAGGCTCCCCATCCCTCACCATGTAGGGAAAGGGAAGCAGGGAGGCTCTCGGCCTGTGCCCCCAAAGACAGAACTGTCAGTCACACGAGACAGAAATACAGAAAGAGACACAGAGATAGACACACAGCCAGAGATCAGAGACCAAAGACCGAGACAGAAGGGGGCTAAGAGACAAAGGAGACAGAGACAAGAAGGGGGGAAGGAAAGATAGGGGTACAGAAGCAGAGCCACCTGGAGCTGATCAGAGATGGGGAATCAAGGAGGATAGACAGAGACTGGCCAGAGGGACACAGAGACAGTCAAGGGCTAAGAAAGAGAACTAGGGACCCAGAGATCTGAGGGCACCCCGGGGACCGGGAACTGCTTGGAATTGGGGAGCCCTCACCTGCCCCCAGTTGAGCTCTGGGTCTCTTGCTCCTGGGCTGCCGCTGCCTTCCAGGCTGCCTGGGCTCTGAAAGAGGTGACAGCCGGGGTGGTGGTGGGGGCGGGGCCGGGCCGGGCGGGAACAGGAAGGGGGCTGGGGACCAGTCGCTGAAGATCCCTTGGCAGAGCAGTCAGGCGTGATCATCTTGATGACACCCCCCAGAGCCAGGGTCCCACACCGGCCCCCCCAGGCTCCGCCCTCATTCACAGCACAGCGCCTTCCTCACAGAACGGATTCCTCGGTTCACTCACAGCCTAACAACTGACGCTCACACCCGCGGTGGACAGGCCCCCGTAGTGACAGGCGGCCACCCGCCCCGGGCGGGGACTCCTCTGCACGCACAGTCACGCAGTCACAGCTCCCCCCAGTCCCCACAGCGCCAGTGCCCGTCGCACACATGTTCACAGTCACCGCGGGCGAGCACAGGGCCAGGGCGCCTGTCACCGCTCGTCCCCAGCGTCCCTCGACGGGTTCGGGCGCAGAGCGGAGGCTCGTGGGTGACCGTGGGTGTGAGTGGCACATCTCGCAGGCGCCCCCGCCGCCGGGCTGGGGCTCACGCCGTCTCACTCGCCGGCCTGCTCCTGCCGACACACCACCCCCCTCGCAGCCTCACCAGACACGCGCCACACACACCTCACACCCCACGCAGCCACACAAACCCACCGCCTCACGGGCGCTCGGTCAGAGTCCCCGCTGAATCGCACCCCTTCTCAGTCTCTACTTCTGGTCTGTCCCCTTATTCTAAAATGTGGGGCGGGGGAAACTTAGAACCTGAGTCCCGGTTCTCAGCGTCCTTGTCTCCTTGAGTGCAAGCCTCTGATTCGCACGCCTTCATCAGGCTATCAACATCCGTGAGCACACCCTCCCCTGGGAGCGATAAGTGGGCCAGAGGCCAATCTGCCCATTTTGCAGAAGAGAGACTGAGGCCCAGAGGCTCCAGGAGGGCGGGTGTAAGGGGTGCCGGAGGTCAGGCACCAGAGGAAGGAGACTAGTTTGGGGGAGGGGCGGGGGGTCAACCTGGGTTCCCAGCCTCTGGCGCCTCCCCGCTCTCTGCCCCACTTTCCTGGCGCCCTCGGGGTCCTGGGAAAAGCTCAGCTCGTAGAGAGAACAGGGAGAGGGTCTGAGATGGCCCAGCACCTCTGGGAGGGAGAGGCTGGGGTTCGGAGGGAACCTCTCCTTGGCCCCAAGAGGGCCCAGGGGTCACTGCAGGGCTGGGGATGGGGGTGGACAGGAAAGGGGGAGGGGAGAGAGGACTGGAGCAGTGGGGAGAGAAACAGGAAAAGAAACTAAAGATCAACAGACAGAGAAGGACAGGAAGAGACAGACAGGGAGAAGAGAGATGGAGAGACCAGGACAGCTGGGTACCAGGGGAGGGGCATGGGCCAAGAGAGGGCGAGAGACAGAGAAACAGAGCCAGGGGGGCGCAGAAACCTGGAGAAAGGGAGGTGGGGAGAGGTGGGGGGAGAGAGAGAGCCTGAAGGACGGGGCCCTGAGGGGAGACGACGGGGCCAGGGACCCCAGCTCCGCAGCCCCCCCTGCTCCGGGAGAACACTGGACCAAGCTGGGTGGGGTGGGCCTGGAGGCCAGGAGGGGGCGTGCCTGGGTCTCCACCATCACTGTCCTCCGCTGGGGAGGGGAGCCCCCTCCTGGGGCTGGGGAGGGGGTGGGGCAGCCAGGCCACAGGGGACCACAGGGACACATTCCAATTCCCAGACTCAGGGCTTCTAGAAACTTCTGGCAGAGAAGCACCTGTGCCTTCTCCTTCTGCCCTTTTCTCCTTTGTCCATCTCTCCACAGCCACCCTGTCCCCTGGTCTGAATCTCTCCTCCTCCGTTTGCTCCAGGGCAACACCCAGCTTCCCCGTCTTCTCTCTTGTTCCCGGCCTGCCCGTCCCTTCTCAGGAGGCTTTCTGCCCCCTGCTCGTCACCACCATCTCTGTCCCCTGCTCGTCACCACCATCTCTGTCCCGGGCAGTCCTTCCTGCCTGTCCTTTAGCTTTCTCCTCTCTTCTGTTCCCTTCCTACTTTCTCTCTGGGTATCTGTCTGCTCCTCTCTCTCCACTGCCACTGGCCTGGGTCTCCAGGTTGTGTCCACCTCCCACCCCCCGCAGCAATGACACAGGAGGGGGGGCGCCCCCCACCGCAGGATGCAGGGGTAGGGAAGAGCTGGAAGGCCTATGCCTCCCCCCATGGGGCCGCTGGCCTGGCAGAGCCTGTGGGGAGCAGGCGGGGGCCTGGAGCGCTGGCAGATGGTGTAGGAGAAATGAGGCAGAGAGAGATGAGCAGAGGGGGTGCCCCATGGGGACTTGGGCCAGAAAGGGGAGGCTGGGGTGGCCCCCTGTGATTCACGCCTGCAGAGATGACGCCTGAAAGACAGACAGACACACAAAGGCAGAAAGAGACAATAAGAGCCAGCGGCAGAGACTCACCCGCAAACATGGGGCTCTACAGGGGGCAAGAGAGAGACCTAGGAGGTGGAGACCAGGGATCTGTGCCAGGGGCCAGGGACCCAAGGGGAGACAGCCCTCCAAAGATGTCCAGGGGTGGGAGTGGGGGAGTGCCCCGATAGGATTCAAAGAAAGATGGAAATCCAGAGGGAGACCAGAGACAGGACCTAGAAAGAGAAACGAAAAAGCAGGGGATTCGGAGAGAAAGACAGCGACTCGGAGAGGCGACATGGAGACTGGAACCCCAAGGAGGTGGGGTGGGCGCCTGAAATAGATGGGGGAGGGGGGCGCAGCGGAGACTTGGATCGCAAATGGGGTTGGAGGTGAGCTCTCACAACACCACGATGAGACAGAAAATCGGCAAAGACACTCGGCTCCCATCACCCTTTTCCGGGAAGGGGTGCTCCCCCACTCTGTGCCCTACCCCTCCGTCTCCATAGCGACCTCCCCAGATGCCGAGAGCAAATATTTTCCTGGCTAGACACAGCGGGGCCGTGTTGACATAATCTTGCATTGGGTGGGGTAGGGGCTCCAGGGGACCAAGAGGCCAGGATGGGGGGGAAGTTAAGAGAGCTGAGGGGCTCTCAACCGGAGCCGCACAGGCTGCTCCAACCTCCGACCCGCTTCAAATGGGGGTGCAAAAATTCCCGCCCTGGGCGAAGCCGCTGAGAGTCGAACCTGTAACCCATGCTGCCCCCTGGTGGTGGTGGGCGAGCCCTGCCGCCCCGATCCTCGCGTCTCCAGAGCTGGCAGGTCTAGGAATTTCCCTCCCGGTTTGGGTTTCTAGAACCTTTCCCCTTCTCCCTCCTCCCAACCCCTGCTCCCATCCAGGACCCTCCTCTTCATCCAGGTCTCCTGACCCCAACCTCCCATCCCCCCACCCGCGCTCCCCCCAGCTGGCCGTCTGGAGTGATCCAGACTCAAACCTGCCTCTGTCCGTTCCCCCACCCCCCACCCCGCCCCCCTCAGCACAGGACCTGCCATGGCTCCCCAGTGCCCTCCGGGGAAAGCCTTAGCCCCTCTCCTTGGCCTCAAAGCCTTCACCACGCCTTCCAGCCTTCTCACCACCACTTCCTGACCCTTCAAACTCTTCCCAGGCCTCCAACCTCTGTTCTGGCAGTTTTCTCCTGAAATGTCTGTGCTCGGTTTCTGTCCGGTCTTCCAGGCTCATCCCAGACAGCTCATTCATTCATTCCTTCAACAAATAATTGTTTCCTCGACTGGATTGTGGGCATCGTGAGGGGAGGTCTGGGCTGTGCCTACTCCTGCTGGATCCCCAGCAACACTGGTCTGGCACAGAGTGGGATCTGATTCATCTTGTTGGGTGTTTGTTTGGTATCAGGCCCTAGCCTTGTTAAGCCTGGGGATCCAGGACAATCTTTGGCCTGCCCTCAGGGCTCTGCCAATCCAGACACAGGGCCACGTAGGGAGACAAAGAAAGACAGGGAAGGGGCTGAGATCAGTAGTGGTAACAGAAATAATAACATACCCACACCTGGGGCTTTCATATGCATTTGGCTGAAAATTCTTTTTTTTTTTTTTTTAAGATTTATTTATT